AAATGACTGAAATGAAACCAAACCAATATTAAGAACGGAGACTTGATAAATGTTACAAATGGACACTAGAGGGAACTAAAGTCCAGGCAGAAAAGAGTTAACACAGCTAAACTGAGTAGATTTTTGAAACATTGACTGACATATTAATAACTAATATTTCAGTAACGATAATTTCAGTGGATAAACTTTTAAAAGATGAGAAAAACTTTACAAAACTTTCACCTGATATAAACATTACAGAAAATCAAGAAAAGGATCTGGACATGGAACAGCTGTGACAAGAAAACCCAGGATTATGTTTTTTTATGGGATTTAAAAAAACAAGTTGATGAAAGCTTTGAAGACTCCCTTTAAACCCCGAAGATTGATAAAAAATCAAATCCTGCAATACCATAGAAATGATTTAAAATTCAAGACTGAGCACAACAGAAATAAGGAATATAAAGTTGGACTATTTGATCAGGGCTAAACTATTTGTTTGAGATTTCTGGTAACTCCTAACAGACTTTTTGCTGAATTAGGATGGAAAAGATATGATTTCTAGGTCGCTAAAACTTAGGCTATGGAGAGAAGCGTTTTTGTATTTGTAACTTTAAGATAGAATGAAAAGTTAGTATATTGGTTCATGTTCCGTGTAATGAAAGTTGGAAGCCATTTCTTTATTACTATCTTTGTTGCCTTTTGCTTTTCTGCTTTTTTCTTTTCTTTTTCCTATAACCTTCTGGACTCTCTCTCTTTTCTTTTTGTTTACTTTGTGTTAGTTTTTACTGTTTATTAAAAACTGCACTAAAATTATGAACAAAAGAACTACTCAAGCGGTACAAGATTCTGAAGAAGGGGCTTGCATAGGTGGATAACACATACTGTTAGACAGAATGGAGAATCAAAATTTGTTTATCTCCAAGCACATGACATATAATCAAGGAAAGGAGAGGCATGTTTTGATATATTCCACCTGGGTTTTTGTTATATTATGGACTCAGGAGAGGAAAAGGTCAGCTTGCAAACCAAATAACAGCTGGTTCATAAATAAAACTCAATTCCTGGCAACAGATCATATAAGTTATAGTCTAAATCATCTGGAATGCACCATTTTTTTTCTTAGTTTTATTCCAAAGCAAATATGTTGTGACTAAATTTAGAATTGTATAGTAAATTTGGAAGAACTAAAGTTGCCCTCCCCAAAAAAAGTGAATTATAATGAAATGACATTTCAGTGTACAAGCAAGGAAGTTACATTTGTAATTTACAAATTGTCAAATATGATGTGGGTCACTGTGATGGCTTAACCTACCAGCATTAATTTATGTCATTTGCATCACTACATAATCATACAAATTATGTAAATCACTGCAGAAATAGAGTCTATTGCATGGAAAGTTGGGTAAAGCAAGGTCCACTAAATAAAAGCTTCATTATGGTCAGGTAGCTAATTTTTTTTTCCAGTAGAGCTGTGCCGTATATCATTCTTCCACTTGGATACTTAGGAAAAAGAGTTTTATTAGATAAAGTATAGGTATAAATGATATTATGGAAAGCAGTACACCAATACTGTTATTACATTGCACAAGTATGTAGAACTCTTGCATTGGAAAGTAGGGTTCTAATTCTTAAAAATCGGACAACTCTAATGCGAAAACAGTGTTTAATATTACAGTACAGATAGTCAACTTATAACAGTTCATTTAGTGACCTTTCAAAGTTACAACGGCACTGAAAAATGTAACTTATGACTGTTTTTCACACTTATGACCATTGCAGAAACCCCATGGTCACATGATCAAAATTCAGATGCTTAGCAACTGCTTCATATTTATGATGGTTGCAGTGTCCCGGGGCCATGTTATTTACCTTTTGCGCCCTTCTGACAACCAAAATCAATGGGGAAGCCAGATTCACTTAATAACCGTACTAATTTAACAACTGCAGTGATTCACTTAAGGGTGCAAGGTTGAAAGGTTCTAAAATGAGTCAAAATTCACTTAACTGTCTCAATTAGCAACAGAAATTTTAGGCTTTTTAGGCAACAGAAATTGTGGTCGTTAAGTCAAGGACTACCTATACTTCTGTTTTCTGAACATACCAAGTATGCCATTCATATAAGAAGCTGAAATTGAAGTTGGTCTGATAATTTTCTTTTCCTTTTTAAATAAAGTATAAAAACATGAGGAACTTCACATTGATCATAATGCAATCCCATACAAAATAGTTGATACTTCTACAGTAACTTATAAGTTAGCAAACTCATTTTCTTCAGCAGAAAGTATCTAACTCAGGGGTGTCAAACTAGCATTGTCACAGGGGCATCACATGATGTATCGGGACTTTCCCCCCCCTTTGCTAAACCAGGCGGGGGCAGCATGTGACGCATCTGGCCTGCGAGTTTGACACCCCTGATCTAACTCATCTAATGTTTCTAGCATATTTAAACATTAACTCTTTATACTAAGATTTCCAAACCAGGCATGTAGAATTACAACTTCAATAATTCACAGCCTACATGTTCAACATTGACAACACTGATTAGAAACAATGAAAACTGTGTTCAATTCATTTTAGGGCAGTGATTGATTCAAGACTGCTTAACACTACTTTACACTACTACTTTCAGCAATAAATGTGGTTTGAGCTCAGCTAAAAATATCCAAATAAACCATAATTGAAAGTCTATGTGGGGATATTTCTTTAAAGTAAATTTCATTATTCAGATCTTCAGTATAAAGGGCAGAAATCACTAGATGCAAGTGGTATAGAGGGTGTAAAACAATTCAATTAGACATGAACTGGCAAATTAGGACACCAAGCTTACACATGTCATTATATATTTCACCATGCTTTTAAATAACACCCTTCCTTTTTGGCCATTGTTCCACAAGCCCATCATTATAGTGGTAATTATAGTGGGATTTAAATGAACAATTAGAAAGGGTGTGCAGAATTATATAGAAAAGCCACTGTAACTTCTGCTGTTGAATATTATTTGGCTGACCAAAAAGCCATAGCTTTTCATGCATTTTTAAATTAAAAAGAAATAACTTATACTTTTAGATAAGAGGATCATTCATTCAAAATTGTCAGAATTAAAACTCCTGACAGTTTATATCATAAAAACGTAATAAAAACTTAACACCCGATTGCTTTCATTCCATATACAAATAGCTTACCTTAAGACAATAAGCAGAGTTGTGACATTTATTCCCGAGAACAGCTCTATTTTAAATAGTTTCCTGAAGTGAGCAATGAGGACTCTAGCCCATTCTGTATGAATATTTTGGGATGTTACAAACACAAGCAAGCATGATTCTAATGATGCATATAGTCCCTGACCATAATGGAGTCTGCCCATCAGAGCCATAATTTGTGAGGGTTGTAAAGAAGGCTGGTCACATGACCAAAATGAGCCTTGGTGGTGCAGCAGACTAAAGTGCTGTTAAATAGCACCAGCTGCTTGCAATTACTGCAAGTTCAAATCTCACCAGGCTCAAGGTTGACTCAGCCTTCCATCCTTTCGAGGTAGGTAAAATGAGGACCCGGATTGTGGGGGCAATAAGTTGAATTTGCATAAAAAAAAAAAGAACACCGCTTAGGGGAGGCCAAAAGCCCTACTAAGCAGGTATATACAAAAGTATGAAGGCTACTGCTTAACACATTGTAAGCCGCCCTGAGTCTCCGGAGAAGGGTGGCATATAAATCGAACCAACCAACCAACCAACCAAACAAACAAACAAATAAATAAATCCCGACTTTAGACCTTTTTTGCAACAGTCATTAAGAAAATTACAGCAGTCATTAAGTGAATCCATGGTTGCTAAGGAAATGTCATGGTCATTAAAGCGAATCAATGGCTCCCTATGGGAGCGGTTTTGCTGAAAACATGAAGTACCAGTTTTTGGCAAAACTGTCGCAAAGTGCAGTCATGTGATTGGGGGATGCTGCAAACAGCTATGAATGTAGATCCAACTGCCAAAGGCTCAAGGTGAAATCACCTGACCAGAAGCAGCAGGGGTGGGTGGTGGGTGGGGGAACGACATCAGAACTTCAAATCTGGTCACTAAGCCGGTCACAACTACAGCTTGTTCAGTGCCATTTTAAGTTGGAAGGCCACTGAATAAGTGGTCATTAAATGAGGACCACCTGCATTTGTTTTTGCCACTCTTGCAGTTTCCTATCTAATTTGCAGTGTATTCTATCATTGTTGAGGTAGGAATTGGATCTATGCGTATTTGTTCTATGATTCTATCTATCTGTAGCAACCAAATTTTAAACATTTTCAAATTAGGTACTGTTGATTAATTGTGCTTTGAAATTAATAATTACTTAATATTATGAATTAGTGTTTCTGTATTATGCAATGAATTTTGACCTGAAAAAATCAAGAGAATATATTTATACTGCAAGTAGCCCTTGACTTACAACCATTCATTTAGTGACCATTCGAAGTTACAAGGATACTGAAAAATGTGATTTATGACCATTTTTCACACTTAAAACTATTGCAGCAACCCCATGATCTCGTGATCAAAATTCAGATGCTTAGCAATTGGCTCATATTTATCATAGTTCACGGGGTCATGTGATCACCTTTTGCAATCTTCTGACAAATAAAATCAATGAGGAAGCCAGATTCACGTAATGATTGTGTTACTAACTTAACTGTAGGGGATTCACTTACAACTGGGGCAAGAAAGGCCATAAAATGTGGCAAAACTCACTTTAACAACTGTCTTGGCTAGTAACAGGAAATTTTGGGCTGACTACCTGTGCTTGGGACTTTGAAAATGGGGAAAGAAAGAAGTTGCCCCTAAGTTAAATATTTATCCAGGTAATATAGAAAAAGCTAAGACAGAATCTTTCTTTTTAAAACCAGTCCGATTGGATAAGATGATTGTCTTCATGGTGGAATTTCACAGCAATGAATTATTCAAAATCTACCTACTATCACGACTGCATTTTCCCACACACCTTTTTTTTTTTCCTGCTTAAGTCTTTAGTTTACTAACCTGATTTTCTTCCTGAACCACCCGATACTGTTCTTTCCAAATCGTGATTTTCGATGCTTCGTCTTTCCTCAGGGCCCTCTCTTTCTTCAGCTCAGGGCTCCAGAATGTCTTGATGCTGTTCATGGAGGAGCTAAGCTTGCTTTCTTTCACTTCTACGTCCTTCCGCAATATATCATTTTCCCGGAGCACTTCCTTTAGTTGTGTCTGCAGGTCCATTATTGTGTTGTCCCTAGCTTGGCGTAGTGAATGAGGCACTGTAGAAGCCATGCTCACAGGAGGAAGATGATGTTCTCCAAATGCAATGGTATCGCTTGCAACCCCGCTACTGGCAATGTTGGGGCTGCTGCCCATTGCAGTCATCCTAACACCGTAAGGCAAACGACCCCCAGATCGCCCAAGGGTCATGGTGCTTTTAGGTGTGTCCGCGCCCACATTTTCATGTTCACTTAGGTACATAGGGCCTGACGTGGCATAGGCAGCATTTAAGGACTGAATATTTTCCATTGAAAGTGTCTTGCCACTTCCACCTCCAGTACTACCTCCAGAGCTGCCCCCCGTGCTGTTGGTTCGACGGTGGCCCAATCGTGGTGAACGTGGCAGCCTTGGTGAACGCCCAGGGCTCTGGCTACTTGGCTCAATTTTCCCAACTGACCGAGCACTTCCATACATGATTGAATTTCTGATGTAATTTGATTATGACTTGAGATTCTCTGAAATTTTCTTCCTATGGTTCCGTTTAAGGCCGGTTACTTTTATATTAGGTCCAAACATTCGTTCCTGAAATCATAGTTTTTTGATGTCACTCATCTGAAACAGAAACAAAAATATCAATATCTCATTTCCCACAATCTATTCCATTTTTCAATATGCTTTAAATTTCCTTATATTACTAAAATATATAATACATGGTATGTTTAAATACATGGTGTATTATTGAGGAAAGCAAATTTAATACTTTAAAATTATTTTGAATCTCCTTCAGGAGTATTTGTAAAATCTGTATATTATATTCGCACGTTTATATACTTTTTTTCTCTTTGTCTTTACTCTTGTGCACTGTAACATTTATCAATTAGCTCCTTATGCACACATATAGAAAAATAAAATAGCCCGGATATGAAGACCATGATAAATAAAGGCAGCAGCATAAATGCAATTATCATGCCTTTAAAAATTGTGGTACAAACATTTGTGCTATTTTTTAAGCATCAGTCATCAGATTTTAATCTGAAATTTAGAATTTTGTTATTAAATTGAAGTAAAAAAAATCCATCTATCAGAAAGACTGCTAGAAATATTTCAGACACCATAGTGTAAAACAGACTCAGAAGTGACATATGGCAGTGATGTTTATAAGACACTAAATAAAAGATTTGTTCCTTTTAAAGGATCAAAACATTTAACAGATTAAAAACATCATCTAAACCACAACTACTGCATGGTTAATAGCATTGTGTCACTTATGATATAAGTTACCCAGAATCTGGTTGAGAGGGGCGGCTACAGAAATCAAATAAATAAAAAATAATGAAATCATTGTTAAGGATAAAAAGCAACAGCCTTAGTTAAACGAAAAGCTACTAATCAACTAAATGTATCAGATTATTCAATATATACCGGTATAAAAATGTAATTAAAGTGAAAGTGTAGAACAGGGGTGTCAAACTCAAGGGCTGGGGGCTGGATCTGGCCCGCGGGGTGCTTAGATCTGGCCTGTGGGGCTGCCCTGGAAACAGTGAAGGACCGGCCTGCGTTGCATTTGTCAGTAAAAACGGACCTGCGAGGGCCGCATGTGGCCCTCCCGAGCTTGGTTTTCCCTGGCACAGGGTTGCAGGAGGCCATCACAGCTGAAAATGGACCTCACAAGGGCTGCGTGTGGCCCTCCCGGGCTGTGTTTTCGCTGCAGAGGGTTGCAGGAGGCTATAGCAACTGGAAACAGAGCCCAGGAGCCCATTTTCGCTGGCAGACTGCTCGGGCCACCAAAGGTGCCCCTGACACAAGTGACATCGAGTTGGCCATGCCCACCCTGGGCACATCCACCCCATCCCGAGGTTAAACACAACCCTGATGCGGCCCTCAATGAAGTCGAGTTTGATGCCCCTGGTGTAGAAAGTGTAGAATTTCTAATTGGTGAGAAGTTAAAGAAAGAATGTAGAATGGAATTCAGACAGAAGGAGAACTTGAAATAATATATTTAGACTGTCAGAAGGGAAAGAAATGATGTGCAGAACATTTTGATTCAAACTGCTTTGAATAGCTCTATTTGAATCAAAATGTTTTCATATCCCTGAGGGACATTTGGAGTACAAGAGAATATGGAAAGGAAAAATAATGGCACTGGTTGCAATTACTCATTACAATTTGGTAAATTGACTTTGGCAGGCAAGATATAGGAATGTTATACTGAACTTGAAAGTAACACTTAGTCTTAACCAGAGTGGATAAAAATCAATGATTTTTTTTAAAAAATCAAAAAAATCAGATTTTTTAAAATTTAAATCGGATTTTTTTGATTTTTATCGAATTTATTTTAATAAAAAACTTTTGGGGTAAAAATCTATCGTAAGATAGTTTTCTATTTAAGATACATAAATAATTTAGTTTATTCAGCATGAAATGGAGCTTAGTTATGTAGCATGAGGCTGTATATTCTGCAACACTGGGACTATCGGTGAGTCAACAGTGGGTCAAAGGAGTAGCAGAGATGACAGTTGCTCTTTAAAAATTATGATTTAAATTGAGTTGATTTAAATCAAGCCTCTTTACTAGTGATTTAAATCATGATTTAAATTGTGATTTAAATCAACTCAATTTAAATCAAATCCAACACTGCCTTCTCCAGTTACCAAATTCTGAAAAGAACTATCTGTTTGCAGAAAATTAGCATAAGGAAAATGATTTCTATGTACTGGTCTGCTTCATACAGATGAGCAAGGTGTAATAATATCAGTAAATGTCTTCATCTATAGTAGGAATGAAAATCAGAGGATTCCTCAACCATGTAGAACAGAGCAGATTCTGTACATGATTATGTGAGAGTAGACGTTACCTGCTCAACTTAATATATAATTTCATAATTTCTTCATACAGTAGCCCAAATAAAAAAAAAATCTGAATCTAAACTGGCAGAGCAAGACAGAATATCAGTAACATAATATCTAAGACTATTGGAATTACTCAGTATTATTAAAAGGTCCCATTCTGAGGTTATAATGAAGATTGTTCTCATTATTCAAATAGTCCGTGTGTCCTCCTTCTCAATTACAGATAGATCCCTATTTCTTTCCACTTTGGATAAGCTGCACTGTATCACCTCTCTAGATGGGGATTCATGCTTGAAGTCAGTGCTGGAAAACAGACCCTGACTTTAACTCTCGGGAGCTGGGATTTGTTTGTTCTTAGGATCTGCACAAAAATACTTAATTATACAGTTTGTCAAGGCACATTCAAATTAGAGTTGTCACGGAGGCATTTTTGTTTCTCACTCACTAGTTAAAAAAATAGAATTGCTGTGGGTGGAGAAGCCAAGATTGTTTGATGTAATAGGATGAGCTAAAAGCACATCTATGCAAAGCAAGAGCTAGATAAAAACACAGTGAGGAGAGCAGGAAAGAGACACAAACTATGTGCAAATAGTTCATGGAGAAACAGACAAAGTAAAGGTAACACAAATTATCCTAAATCTTATTACAGAACTATTTAGTATGAGGCAATTCAGTGTCATTTATTCTAACATGAAGCAACAACATAAGCAAGTATGCTCTCATCACTGAATAGATACTAAAGATTATGACCTACAAATGAAAACAGCAATTCTATAATGCTGTTGTTGTTGTATTTATTTGCCCTTCATTTTTATTAATGGCATTTTGGAACGGATTTATGTTAAAGTGGGGCTGAAATATCCATTAAAACAGCAAGAAAATGTAATATTTTTATCAGAGTTTTCATAATTATATTGTGTCATATAAGGTACAAGTCAGGCAAAAGTGGAAAAAGTATAAACAGGCTTTATACCTCTTCTGATACATATTCAGGTTCTGATCATCAACACCTTGTGAAACCATTTCCATTAAACTACTGATACACAATAATTGTATATACAATGTACAGAAATAGAAATCCATAAGGCAAGAAATAGGGGAAAAAAATCTTAGGTCAAGATTCAGAAACAATCAGGAGTACTTGGGTAAAATCTTGACATTGGTTGCCAAGTCAACTAATTATTTTTATTCATCTAGCTTACGGATGTCAATTTGCTGCATCACTTTACACTTTCCTCATTAGCGGAGCTGGGGTGGGCGTGGTTTGCGCATGACGCATCTGGCCTGCGGGCCACCAGTTTGACACCTCTGATCTAGCTTATGAAGTGACAGCACCAGAATTACACTACATTAAATTGACCCGCCATTTCTATATTGACTTCTCCAGTTTTCTGTATGGATTTCTCAAGATCACTTACTCTACTACTGATTAAAAGAAGTTGCTCATAATGTTACACAAGCATACCAATTGTTACTATATTAAAAAAGCAAGCCTGCATGAAATTTTTTCTTTGAATCTCCCTTTGAAAGAAAGGGAGCAGAAGCAGGCTTTTAAAAAGAACCATTATGATTATAGAATATTCAACTGGTATAAAATTCTCATTATGCAGCAAAAGATACACTCCTGACAGAGCCACTGATACTATCAGTAATGTGGTATAATGAGAACCAAAACCCATCCACATTCCATTAGGTAATTTCAGACAGATTTTCACAAGAAATGAAGAGACAGCTATCTTCTTTCCCACACTTACAGATAGTCCTTGAGTGAGACGTTGAGTGAGTTTTGCCCCATTTTACAACTTTCTTGACACAGTTGTTAAATGAATCTGGCTTCCCCATTGGTTTTGCACTACAAACAAAATACACTACAAACAAAATATGATAGAACTACAATTCCTCATGAACAAAGAGCAGAAAGCTGCCGATTTCATACTATACGCAATACCATTTATTGTTTCTTGTGTAGCTAAAATGCATTGGATTTCATAAAGTGCAGTGAGTCATTTAATAGAAAGCAGCTACTCCTTGTTCTAAGCAGCGGCTTAAGCAGGGTATATCACATATTAAAGTGTGCTGCTAGAGTAGGAACAAAAAGGTATTAAATTCAGGGTGGCCCTCCTTCCTATTTTGTCTCTGGCCTGAAATATAACAAATGATATCTAAATCAATAGCAAACCACGCCTATTGTTTTCTAGAAGGTAAACTAAAAATAGACATCTCCCTTTTATGAGAGGATCTACTCCATTTAGTCATGCTTTTTTAATAAGAAAACTGTTTGCTCTGCTTTATGGCTAACCAAAAATAGCAAAATCTTATCTGAACAGAGACAAAGGTCTACAATACGTAAATTATTACAAACCAAGTCAAATATGTGAAACAACAAACATCTCTATAAAGCACTTCTAATACCTCTTTTGGATTAATCAAATCAAAACATTCAAATTCATTATTCTGAATTATTGAATTCGAAGTTTAATGGTTGTGTAATTTTGAAAAGTGATTTCAGACGAGTTTTTAAAATGATGTCTACATATGTCAAAGTTAATATCACATTATGCAATAGGAGATGTAAGAGTAATTCTCAACAGATAACTTCCTTATCTATAAGGGTGCTATTTAAATTGACAAAAGGCATCAAGGCATACTTTTCAATAGGATTTTTAAAAGTAGGAAATGACAAGAGTTGTCCAGGTCCCCCACCAACTAACTATCTCTTTCAGTACCCTTAATCTGTACTTTTTTTAAAAAAAAATCACCACTTTAATATCTCATCTACTATTTCAAAGTGCCTATTATTAGTGGAGGAAAGAATAAGTCAAGTACCTGTTAAGTGAGGATGAATCTATAACCCCATCAAATAGCTTAACTGCTTAGGATCTCTGCAAAGGTCCAAAATGATCCAATTGCTCAAGTGATGCACAACTTGTTACCTCAAATCGATCCAACAGATCTCCTTCAGAGATCACAGTGGGCAACATTAACTCCAAAGAGAACAAACAGAAGAAGGGGCCGGTTTGACATTGATGTGTCAAGATTTTTTTTTTTAATATATATTTTTTAAACTTGAGGCTCTGTGTCAATCATCTGTCAGGATGGGCTAATTATGGGCTGTGGTGGCTCACAGCTTCGTCCTAAAAACCACTAGTTGTTTTATTTTTAAGGAGGTGGGACCGTGTGTGTGTGTGTGTGTGTGTGTGTGTGTGTGTGTGTATGTAGGTATGTATGTATATATATATATGTTTTCTGAGGTTTTCGCGGGTGTTTGTATGTAGGTCTTTGGTTATTCGGGTTTTCTCCCGCGTAAAATTGGACACCTCCCGCATGTGTGTGTGTGTGTGTGTGTGTGTGTGTGTGTATGTATATATATATATATATATATGTGTGTGTGTGTATATATATATATATATATATTTATTTATTTATTTTATTAGGCTTATATGCCGCCCTATCTCCAACGGACTCAGGGCGGCTCACAACAATAAAACCACAATAATCCATCATGCAAAGTTAAAATGCCTAATTAGATCAAATACTATTAAAAACCCGTAAAAAAACCCCATCAGTCCAGTCCAGTATAATTCCACGGATTGTGAAGAAAGGGACCGGGGGGGGGAGGTGGGGGGGGGGGGGGGCTCACACGGACAAGCTCTTTCCCGGGCGGGGAGGCTCGGCCACTCAATTCCAAGGCACGGAGCCAGGACGAAGAGCCCTTCTCCCGGCCGAGGGACCCTGGATGCCCAGGCAGGCCTTGAGGGGGGCCACCTTCCTCTTCCCTGAGCCCGGGGGGGGAGGGGGAGGCCGGGCTCCGGGAGCCTCACGACCAAGGCGGGCAGGCTCCGCCCAGACCTTCCCTTCCCCACATCATCCCTCCCTCCCCCCCTTACAGGAACCCTCGCCCCACAGCCCAGCTCGATCCCGCTCGGCCGTGGCCCAGTGAGATCCAGGCCGGCTCTCTCCACTCCCCCCCCCCCCCCCCCCCCCCCCCCCCCCCCCTCCCGTTACCTGTCAGCGGCGTCCCGTAGCAAGCCCGCCTCCTCGCCCCGCTGCACCGGGCAAGCGCCTCTTCTTCACCTCAGCCAGCGGCTCCCCGCCCGCGCCTCCAGCCGCGGAATCAGGCAGGCTCCGCCCACTCTCAACCCCACCCACCCCCACCCCCGCCGTCAGCCCCGCCCGCTGGCGTGTGAGGCCCCCCCCCGAGGCTGCCGGCCGAGAGTATATATGTGTGTCTGTGAGGGGGGGGCGGAAATCGATCGGCCGGACGGTCAATTGGCGGCACGCGCAGCCCACGCCCTGCCCTCCCCCTTTTCTCGAATGTCGACTCACCTCGGCCCTCCGCTCACCGTAGCGCTTGAACGCCCCACCCACCCATGCCTGCCAATCACGAGAGGCGCGTGGCGCTCCTTTCCCCCCCCTTCTTCTCCCTCTCACCTTTAGACCAATAGAAGCTTCCTGCCGAAACGTTGTCCCGCCTTCTCCGAGAAGGCCTGGGCGGCACCCAGACACGTCCCGGATGCCCCCTTTTTTTTCCTATGCCAGTCCTCTTCCAGGCTCCTCCCCCTCCCGGGCGGTCCGGCGCAAGCGCAGTCAGCCCGAGCGGGAAGTTCGTCTGCTTTTTTTTTTTTAATATTAGGGGAGTCCGAGGTGGCCTCGGGCTTGGTTTATCTTTTATCCGGGAGGGTGGTGCCCTTAACAGCTGCCTTGTCCGGAGCGATAAAAGGGGCTCAACGATCTTCCCCCTCCTTCTGAGCTGCCTGACAACGCCATTCCGAATTTCTTCCGTCCCTTTGCGTTCAAGGAATCCAACTTTCACGTAAGTTGATAAAACATTCGATTTGCTCAGCTAGATAGCAAACAGTCTGATAATGAATAGCCTGACTAGGTGGCTGAGTGGCTAAGACACTGAGCTTGTGGTCGGCAGTCCGGCGGTTCGAATCCCTAGTACGGCTCTCCTGCAGGGGGTTGGACTAGATGACCTCCAAGGTCCCTTCCAACTCTGTTACTGTTACAATTAGTAATAAAGTGGAATATTTGTGGCTCAGGGGTGACATGATGAGGGGGGTCCTTGGTGCTCTCTGAGCTTGCTTTGTTTTCTTGCAGACGTTTCATTACCCAAACTAGGCAACATCATCAGTGCTAGAAAGAATGTAATGCCAACTGACAGCGAAGCTCACGCCTTACTAGGAACGGATGATGTTACCTAGTTTGGGTAATGAAACGTCTGCAAGAAAATAAGGAAGCTCTGAGAGCACCAAGGGCCCCTCAGGCTGATCATAAACTGCTGATCAGGATCAGATAGTAGTATAGCCTTTATTGTCATTGTACATCATATTTTTTTTTTAATTTGATTTATATGCCGCCCTTCTCCGGAGACTCAGGGCGGCTTACAATGCGTTAAGCAATAGCCTTCATACTTTTGTATATATTTTATACAAAGTCAGTTTATTGCCCCCACAAACTGGGTCCTCATTTCACCTACCTTAGAAAAGATGGAAGGCTGAGTCAACCTTGAGCCTTGGAGAGATTCGAACCAGCAGTAATTGCAGGCAGCTGTGTTAATAACAGGGTGCTTAGACCACTGTACCATCAAGGCTCTATATATACAATAAAATTGGTTTAGCCTCTCTGGTGCAATCCGTAACAGAAAATACAAATCACCATAAATAGTATAGAGCAGGGGTGGGCAACTGTGGCCCTTTTACAAACAGCTGAAGTCCACAGGTTGTAAAAGGGCCACAGGAATTCTGGGAGTTGAAGTCCACAGGTTGTAAAAGGGCCACAGTTGCCTACCCCTGGTATAGAGAATAATCCCTATACAAGTAATTGGGGAAAAAAAGACCAGTCATACTTTTCCATATGTGCGTATTGTGATTGTGTTTAAGAATCTGACAGCCCATGGGTAGAAGCTGTTTTTTTTTTCTTTCTTTCATCATACATATTTTATGAACAGAGTGTTGACCGAGTCACATCTTATACATCTTATACATAATAATCTATTCTAATCGTCCCATTTTTTCCATATTCATCTCTTTTACATAATCCTTTATCACAAATTAATCATTTTTCACCATATCTTATTATTTCAGCTTCTGCCATGTTGTTCTCTTTTCAAATCCATTTTACATCACATCTCCGTTTCCAATTTCAGCCATCATATTCTCTTTCCATGTTTTCTTTATCTTATCATTATACATAAACAATATTACTAATCGCCCTTAATTCCTAATCTCTTACAATAACATCAGTTAATGATCTTATTTCTCCATTGCTAGATATATTCCTCAATTTCCCCATTCCACTTTTTTTAACATTTCAACTTCATCTCTCAATTTAAATTGTCTTCAAAATTAAACCAAATTGTAGAAGCTGTTTTTAAACCTGTTGGTCCAGCTGGCTATGCTTCGATGTCTTCTGCCCGAGGACCGAAGCGAAAAGAGACACTGGCCAGGGTGTGAATCATCCCTAAGCAGTGGTGAGTTCCTCCCGGTTCCGCCCGGTTCCGCCGAGCCGGTAGCGGTGACGATATGACGTCACCGAACCGATTCTGCCCCCCCCCGCGTTATTCTTACTTTTTATTTGGTCCCACCCCTAATCTATTGCTGCCTCCTGAGTCCCAGATGATGGGCTATAAGAAAAAAAAACTGTTTAAACTCTTGCCCTGGGGCTTCAAAGGGCCACCCTACAGCTGATCAGTTGGAAAAGGCAGTTTGGTGGTAGACCGGTGCCTGCAAAAATAAATGGGTAGACCGGTGCCTGCAAAAATACATGAGTAGACCAGTGCCTGCAAAAATAAATGAGTAAACCAGTACCTGCAAAAATAAATGGGTAGACCGGTACAGCTCTGCAAGCAGTTAAAAGCCTGGTAGACCAGTACCTCTGCTAAATCCTAAAGAATTGTCACATGGCCATCAAGTCACGCCCACAAAATAAGCCACGCCCACAGAACTGGTAGTAAAATAATTTAGAACCCACTCCTGTCCCTAAATATCTTCCTTACTCTGCTGAAACAGGGAGACCTGGCGATGTCATCCAGTGGTGTTAGAGGGCAACCGATGGTTTCTTGTGCTGAATTGATCACTCTCTGTAGTGCCTTCCTGTCCGCAGCTGTTAGACCAGGATACCATACTGCAGGGCTGGGCAATTATGGCCCTTTTATAAACTGTGGACTTCAACTCCCAGAATTCCTGAGCCAGCATGTTGGCTCAGGAATTCTGGGAGTTGAAGTCCACAGTTCATAAAAGGGCCATAATTGCCCAGCCCTGCCATACTGTTATAGAGTAGGTGAGGACACTTCCTATCATAGACCGATAGAAAGAAGTCATCAGCCGTTGTTCCGCCTGATTTTTCCACAGGACTCTAAGGAAATGAAGTCTCTGTTGAGCCTTACTAACCACCAAGGACGTGTTGTTTTTACAGATCTGGCTAGAGTTGGGAGATCTAGATCTAGAGATGGTTAGAATGGGAGACCACTAGGAAATCCTCCCCCCCCCCCCCCCGGAGAGGGTGAGGGAGGAATTATCATGGATTGGAAAGTCAAAAATAATTATGGAAAAAGACAACTACAAGTAGTCCTCGAAGTACGACCACAATTGAGCCCAGAATTTGTGCAGTTAAGTGAGACATTTGTTTTGGGTGAGTTTTGCCCCATTTTACAACCATTTTTCTTGCCACGGTTGCTAAGTGAATTGCTGCAGTTGATAGGTTAGCAACCTGTTTGTTTAGTGAATCTAGTTTTCTCCCTGCTGGTCAGAAGTTTGCAAAAGGGGATCAGATTACCTTGGGAAACAGCGACGGTCATAAGTGTGAACCAGTTGCCAAACATCTGAATTTTGATCCCACGATCATGGGGATGCTACAAAGGTTGTGTGAAAAATGGTGATAAGTCATTTTTTTCAGTGCTGTTGTCACTTTGATTGGTCACTAAATGGACTGTTATAAATCAAGGGCTACCTGTGCTAACCGCTTCTATAGTGTCAGCAAGAAAACTGTATTATGACCTGTATTATCCATCTCAATGTAAAAGAGACCACTTTTTTTTTAACAATCATTATCTCTGCTTCCTTTCCAAGCATTTACCCTAAATTAGGGCCTTTTAGCTGTTCCTGGTATGATAACACTATTTTATACTGCTTCAAAGACAAATGAAACATATTTACAGAATCTGTGGGGTTGCTAAGAGCTCACACCGATTTGATGGCAATCAGTTTTATGCAAAAGCAGCTTGACTTGACACTGTATGATAAACATTAATCACTCCCAGCTGGAAGGCCAGACATCTTGCTGAAGAGGAAGTGTGGGACATGTAGTCCAAATGTGATCAAGATGCACCAAGGTGGAAACATCATGCTGAGAAAAGTAATAGTATTGGAACTTAACTGCCCAAGTCCTTGAGTAGCAACGTGATGAAAGCAGATTAATTTTCAATTCAGTTAGAATGTATTTGCATCTTTGGGCAAAGCTATTATGGAGAAACAAATTGAAGCATGTTTTGGGAACACTTGTTTTGCTGAGTTCCAATGAAAGCCTTATAATATTATTTTTATAAAGCCTGTGATGCGTAGATGAAGTTCATAGTTATTATAAAGGATAGTCAATCAAACCATATCTTTTTAAAATCAAAGGCATGCCTGTAAAATATATGCAATTCTGATCCATTAAAAAAAACAACTTCTGGGATGGGAAATTGTTCCTCTTGGAGCATGTTCTTGATATGAGATGGCTGCATTTCCTTTCCTTTTCTTTCTCTCATTCCTTTAATTGACTTACTGTTTCTTATCCCTTTTTGTGCATTCTGCATAATGTCGGTTATTCTGGAGGGGAACACCATGATGGAGATATATACCCTGTTTCCCTGAAAATAAGACATCCCCTGATAATAAGCACAATCAGGCTTTTGAGGGCATGTGCTAAAATAAGCCCCCCCTGAAAATAAGCCCTCCCTGAAAATATTTAAGCGGATTCGCAGCCAGTCCCCGCCATTTCTTTGGTTAGGCTTAGGGAGACAGAGCTGGAAATCAGGTAAGACGGCAAGAGGAGGCCCGTCTTGCTCCACGCACCCCAAAATAATAAGGCCTCCCTGAAAATAAGGCCAAGCATTTATTTTGGGGTTCAAAAAAATATACGACGGTTTTATTTTCGGGGAAACACAGTATATACTCTCTGTGTGTATGTGTGTGTGTTTGTGTATGTGTGTATGTATGTGTGTATTTATTTGTGTATGTAGTATCCTGTTTCCCCGAAAATAAGACGTCCCCTGATAATAAGCCTAATCGGGCGTTTGAGTGCATGCGCTTAAATAAGCCCCCCCCCCCGAAAATATTTAAACAGAGAACTGTATATCAGGTAAGATGGCAAAAGGAGCCCCATCTTGCTCCATGCGCTCCAAAATAATAAGACCTCCCCGAAAATAAGGCCAAGTGCTTATTTTGGGGTTCAAAAAATATAAGACAGAATCTTATTTTCGGGGAAACACAGGTATGTATGTACGTGTGTATGATGGATAAATGTATGTATGTAGAACCAAAATGGCATTTTCATGCATTTGAGAATAAGCAATTTAGCGCTTTTCAAAGCTTTTGAACTTCTGACAGGCTGTGCCTATTAGGATTTATGGCAGATGTAGTGCATCTCTAGTGCACTCAGTAATACCAGATTGTTATGCTTAGGCAGTCTTTCTGTCAGCATTTGTGCAGAGTAATTCTGTTCAGATTTAGGTTGAAATAGACAAGTCTGCTCCTTTCTGAAATAAGTGTTGCTTTGGTTTAATGGAAATTGATGCCTGTATATTTGCATCCAATTTTTATAATCAGGAAAACACCCTGCCTTTCATCTCAGTCATTAGAATGATCAAGGAGTCATAGTACCGTAGTACAAGGGGAAAGCTATTCTTAGTTTCAGGTGCATCCTATTCTCTTACTGAAATAAAATGCTCTCTTTTGCATTTATTAGGAAAAATCAAGTTCTGGAAAAAGAACAAAATCTGTGCAGAACCTCTGTGTGGATGTCCTGCTCTGCTAATTCTGAAGAAATATCTTCCCATTAATTCTTAGCAATATTTGGGATTAATATTGGTTCAAATGTATTAATGGAACTTACCTTCTCCTATTAGTATCTTATGATTTATCACTTGTTATTTGTATCTTGCAATTCATGATTGCATCTTATGATTTATGGTTGAAGACCTATCCTTTTGTTGTTTGTATGTACACTGAGAGCTTATGAACCAGAGACAAATTCCTTGTGTGTCCAATCACACTTGGCCAATAAAGAATATTCTAATTCTAATTCTAATATATTTATTTTGGAGGGATGTCCATGGTAAAAATGGCAAGAGATGGCAATGGCAACACCAGTGACACACCCAGTACGTGGTTTGGACAGGTCAGTATATCATTACTTTTAGTTAGTTAGTTAGTTAGTTAGTTAGTTATTTTGCTGCCCATCTCGCTACAGCTATCTAAGATTCTCCGGGATGAGGCATTGTGAAACATTTATTAACGATAAGAATATGGTTTCTACTTCATCGTAACAAATCTGTAGCAAACTTATTTAGAAATTTTAATAGAAGCAGGATGAAAATCAGGTTGGTGTTAATCAACCTTTCCAAAATAATCTCAGTGTATTTTGTATCCTATGCAGAAAAAGTACAGAAAAAGTGAAGCTTAGGTATTATTGAGATTATTTTACAAAGAAGACTTTGTACAATTCTGAAGTTTGAGTGCCGTTTGGGTCTTTTTCTGGGGTGGGGGGTTAGAATTCATAAATTGTTTCTTGGTGAGGAATACTAGGCAATATGCTGATATAATTATCTCTTCGATTTGCATTGAGGTAGCGAAACTTCAGGAGTGAACTCTATAAAGATGTTATTTTTAAAAAAATCATTTTATAATTGATGACAGTACCATAACAGTGCAGTTTATTCTTTCATCTTGAAAAAGACTTTAAGTGTGAGCCAACCGAATCTTGAAATGGAAACAACCAGAAGAGGCAAGAAGACAGAAAGGTATTTAAATCTGTTGGTTTTTGTGTTTGTGAAGTGCCAGTACACAGCAGACGAGTATCAGGCTGTTCAGGCTGCTCTGAGGCAGAGGCTGGGCCCAGAATACATCAGTAGCAGACAAGCCGGAGGAGGACAGAAGGTACAAATTAGAGATTAGAGCTTTCCTTTACTTTATACTGAAAAGTATCCTTTTAACCCAGAGGTCTTCAAACTTGGCAGCTTTAAGACTTGTGGACTTCAGCTCCCAGAATTCTCCAGTCAGCTATGAAGTCCACAAGTCTTAAAGCTGCCAAGTTTGAAGACCTCTGGATTAGAGCCTTCCTTTACTTTATACTGAAAAGCATTCTTTTAACTCCAGAGATGTGACCCTGGCAGGCTTGGAGTAGAATGTTAAGATGCTTTTAACACTTTTTTTAAAAAAAACACATGTACTATATAACTGTCAACAGCTAGTATCACCAGACCAGATTGTTGAAAATCAGTACTAACCTTCAGGTTGCCAAATTAGAACCGCTGACCAGAGATTTCAAGAGGAAAAATAAACATAATCCTGGGCAAAATGGCTCTAAATGCCAGTTTTTATTTCGATTTTATATTTTGTGTGTACCAATGGTGAAATCCAGCTGGATTTATCCGGCTTGTGCGATCCGGTAGGGCCAGCGGAGGGAGGCTCCACCCACCCACCCGGATGTCATCACATCCCGTTTTTGACCCTCTGCACATGCGCGGAAGAGGTGCGCGTGAGCACATTTCCGATCTGGTAGCGAAAGTAAGTGCATTTTACCCCTGGTGCCTACAGATAATCCTCAATTTATGACCAACTTACAATTGAGCCCCAAATTCAGGTTGCTAAGTGAGAAGTGTGTTCAGTGAGTTTTGCCCTATTTTACGACTTTTCTTCCCACATTTGTTAAGTGAATCATGGCAGTTGTTAAATGAGTAACACGGTTGTTAAGCGGCTTTGACTTTGTTTGTCAGAAGGTTACAAAAGGGAGGGGGGTCACATGACCCCAGGGCATTGCAACGGTCATAAATATGTGTCAGATAAGCATCCGAATGTAAATCACGTGACCTTGGGGATGCTTCGTGAGTGTCAAAAACGATCCCGAGTCACTTTTTTTCAGTGCCGTCGTAACTGATCAGTCACTAAGCGAACCGTTGTAAGTCCAGGACTGCCTGTTTTGCCCAACTAGCTGTACAAAGGATCTCTTGTTCTGTGGCGCTGAATCTTTTAACAGCTTTTCACACGTTTAAAGGTGCATGACGCAAATAATGTGCTCAATCCCACCCTTGTTCCCTACATATCCCATCCCACACTGTGGCCTAGATTTTGAGATACTACCAGCTTTCTCCTCCTGAAATAGAGTCCATTTGATCACTTTAATATTTATATATAGCTCTTATGTAGAGAGCTATTTACGTGAAAACGGTTTCTGTCTCTGAGTTAGTAAACATAAAAAATAAGCCCTGCTAAAATGCATATTGTTACCTGCTTCTTTATGGTTTTTGCTGTGCTATGTCACTTAGAAACTATATTACATAGCTATAAATCAGTGAAGGCTAACCTTTTCCGGACCGAGTGCCTAAAGCGCCCCCGTGCCCCCAAGCCCCCAAAATGCAATGTGCGCATGGCCCCTGCATGTGTCCCGCCTCCTGTGCATGTGTGTGCCAGGGGTGGGTTCTACTTACCTTTACTACTGGTTTGCAGTGGGGCCGCGCGCACGCTCTTCTACGCAAGTGACCCTGACGTTTTGATGACAGGGTCGGTGGGTGGAGCCTCCCACTGGTTTTACTACCGGTTCTATAGAACCAGTGCGAACCGGGGGCAATCCACCACTGGTGTGTGCCCTCCCGCAGCGCCCCCCCCACGCATGCACATGTGCCCCCCCTACATGCGCGTGTTCCCTGCGCATGCACTGCCCTGCACATGCACGCATCCCCCCCCCCGTGCATGCATGGCAGAGACGTGAAGACCAGCTGGCCAGCAGGAGGCGGGCGCACATGCTTAGCAGAGCTGAACTGGGGCAACGGCTCGCGTGCCATCAGAGAGGGCGCTGCGTGCCACCTCTGGTTCGTCATCACGGCTATAGATCCTTCTTGAATATGAGATAAAAATGGATCTTTGTGTTCTGTCCCCGTACCACGCACACACCCCCACAGACGGCCCAGAGTTAATAATCCACACGACAAAACTCTTCGATGATAAAGCTGGCAGCAACCCAGTGGCTAGCTGCCAATTCAGATTTTACTCACACAAAACAAAGATTAGACTGCAGCATTCCGATAAAACAGGCAGAGAGTCAATAATACAAGGATTAGTCCAAATGCAGTCCGATAAAGCAGGCAAAGTCCAGTAACGCAGAGATCATGGAGTATTTCCAGTTTTTGCTCATCACAAACTGAACCGGCCACCACACCCACATTTATACCCTGTGGGGTGTGGTCCAGTGACTCAGCTAATCTCTGGCACGCCTTCCCCTCTGCTGTGCACGCTTCTCCCTGCGCCTCTGTCGAGGGTCCAGCCAGCACTTATCTTCCTCGTCGCTGTCCACCTGTGGCTGCCGGAACGTGCTTGGCTCTGAGCCTATCGTCTGGCCTTCGGTGTCCTCCGGAGGCATTGCCAGAGAGGAGGGTCCTGGAGGGGGAGGCCTTGCAAACTCCTCCCCCTCACTCTCAGAGTCTGCATCTGTCGGTAGCCCAGGCTCAGGCAACGGAGCCACAACACTTTGATAGGCTACAGCAAAACTTATTTCCTTTCTTTCTGCTCTCAGGTTTGCTACATAGAGGGACACAGAGTCATCAGCCTGGCCAATGAAATGTTTGGATATAATGGCTGGGCTCATTCTGTCACTCAGCAGAACGTTGGTGAGTCCAATTAAAAACTTGTTTCGGTTGAAAATGTGAGAAAAATATTCCCACTGTAAAGGCAATTCTAATAAACTCTAAAAGTAAAGGCTGGGAGTTTCGCAATACTGCTCTGCTTGTGGAAGCTTCTTTGAACTGGTAATAGATTTCATGTGAGGAAAGTTGGGAAGCAGTTTTGCTTATTTCCCATGTGTTCCTGATAAAAATCCATTGTAGAAGAGCATGAGAAATATTATGAGGAATTATAGAATTGCCTCTCTTCCTTAGGCAACTTGAGATCTTGAAGTACGAGGGTGGCCAAGAATTCTTTGAATTAGTTTGCATATAAAATAGCAATAGCACTTAGACTTATATACCGCTTCAACAGTGCTTTACAGCCCTCTCTAAGCAGTTTACAGAGTCAGCCTATTGCCCCCAACAATCTGGGTCCTCATTTTACCCACCTCAGAAGGATGGAAGGCTGAGTCAACCTTAAATACCTTAAATAAAACCTTAAATAAAATTGATGCATATTCATCATTTTAGATTGTATTTGCCAGCCAGAAAGCAGATTTGCGCATCTATGTTGTAGTTCTCTTACCTCTTAAGCGAAATCACCACAATAACCTGTTATTCTACTAGTTACAGTTTTAATGTGTCTTTTGCTAATACTCTCAAGCGCTCATATTTATTTATTATTTAGTTTCCTAATTTGATAGATGTCTAAAATTGTTCCCTATGGCTAGGTCAGTGGTGGGTTTCAAATTTTTTTACTACCGGTTCTATGAGTGTGGCTTAGTGGGTGTGGCATGGCTTGGTGGGCGTGGCTTGGTGGGCATGGCGGGGAAAGATACCGTAAAATCTCCATTCCCACCCCACTCCAGGGGAAGAATACTGTAAAATCTCCATTCTGTCCCCAATCCAGGGGAAGTTTACTGCAAAATCCCCATTTCCTCCCGATCAGCTGAGACTCGGGAGGCAGAGAATAGATGGGGGCGGGGCCAGTCAGATTTTTTACTACCAGTTCTCCGAACTACTCAAAATTTTTGCTACCGGTTCTCCAGAACTGGCAAGAACCTGCTGAAACGCACTTCTAGGCCAGGTCCAGTTTGTACAATATTCTCAAGTCTTGACCCTCTGTTGCACTTTTGTCATTGGTGCTTACTGCCTCCTGAGTTATCATTCCTTCTGTGATTGCAGCCTCTGTCACCTGCAATACTTTACACTTTTTGAAATTGGTAGTTTGTAAGTTAAGAACTACTGCGTTTTCTCGAAAATAAGACCCGGTCTTATTTTCTTTTGGGCCCCAAAATAAGCACTAGGGCTTATTTTCAGGGGAACAAGATTTCAGGGTGATCAGCCTGGCTGGGTGCCCCACCCCTGATGCACACACAAGAGCCAGCAAGCGCGTGGGAACTGATGGTATCTGGCAGCAGCTGCAATCCGCTGGTCCCTTAGTCGACGCACTCTGGAGCTGCGCAGAGTGGAAGGCACAGCGGAAGGCAGGCGATCCTGGTGTGTCGCGTGGGCTGCAGGCAACCCAAGTGACGTGAAGACGAGTGGCCACCCGCCGCTCCGGCCCACTGCCACTCGGCTTTCCTACAGCCTGCACGTCCAGATCGCCTGCCTCCCCCCCACGCCTCTGTCTTAACAGTACAAGACAAGGTGTATTCATCATTTTACCTGAATGTGTCTTTTTGCTTTTTGCTACAGTATTAGGAAAGGTCAAACACTGATAGATGATACAGTGCAAAGTAAAGTTTCTTTGGTACTTCTAATTAACACAGAATAATATTTATGGAGGTTTTGTTTACCTCAAATATGATATCTTATAATCAATAAATGCTAATTATAAGTAGCTGTTTATTAAAAACAATGAAAATTATCAGACACCATTGAATTTAATTTTAGTTATGCATGTTTTCTTGCTTCCTCTTTATGTAATTTATACTGTGTTTGACCTTAGTTTTCTTTTCAAAAATAAAAGCTACCACAGGTCCTATAAAAAAAAACAACCTCATATGCATTTTTATATATTTCTGTTACTGCCTGTTGCCTTAGTCTTTAACTTTTTTTTCTTCCTCCTTTTGCAGATTTTGTTGATCTAAATAATGGCAAATTCTATGTGGGTGTTTGTGCTTTTGTGAAAGTTCAGCTTAAGGTAAGCACGCATATATGGGTGGGGATTCTAATGAGGTGGAGTTTTTAGGGACAGAGAGAGTTAAATCAGAGGTCCCCAACCCCGGGCTGTGGCCTACTACCACGGCAGGGGTGAAATGCTCCTGGTTCGGACCGGATCGCCTGATCTGGTAGCGATGGTGGCGGGTGGTTCGGAGAACCGGTAGCAAAAATCCCTGCGCCCCCCCCACCATGCCCAGCTGAGTTGCACGATAATCAGAGGCTTTTTTTTTTTTTACTTTTAAAAGCATTTTTTCTACAACCTCTTCTGACGAAAAAATGCTTTTAAAAGTAAAAAAAAAAAGCCTCTGATGATCACACGGCTCAGCTGGGATAGTCAGAGGCTTTTCAAAGCATTTTTTTCTGCAACCTCTTGGCCGAAGAGGTAGTAAAAAAAAATGCTTTGAAAAGTCTCTGACAATCCCAGCTGAGTTGCCTGATCGGCAGAGGCTTTTCAAAGCATTAGAAAAAATGCTTTGAAAAGTTAAAAAAAAAAAGAAGTTGGCCACGCCCACCCAGTCACATTACCCCCCACCCCCACCAAGCCACGCCCACAGAACCGGTAGTAACAAATTTTACATTTCACCCCTGTACCACGGCCTGTTCGGAACTGGGCCATACAAGCAGCGGGCGAGCATATGCGCGCAGCTCCACTTGCATGAGTGGCAGGTGCTCACGCTTGGATGTGCAGCTCAGTTTGTGCGAATGGCGCCCTGCACACCTGCAGCTCACACAAATGGAGCTGTGCATGAGTGTGCCTGCCATTTGAATGGAAACATCCCTCCCCCACCGCTGGGCCGCTAAACCAGAAAGGTTGGGGACCACTGAGTTAAATTATACCCAAATGTGCAGAATAAGAACTCTTGAAGGTACTATTTATAGTCAGTGGAGAGACCCTATTATTACATAAAACTGTTACTATTGTCAGTTCTGTTACTGGTTGAAAGGGATTATTTAATGCTGTCGAAGTTATTCCACTTATATTTTGCCCCCTTGTTATAGGCCAGTGATGGCGAACCTTTTTTTCCTTGGGTGCCAAAGGTGTGTGTGTGCGTATGATAGCGTGCGCATGCATGCCGATACCCATAATGCAATGCCGCCCCACAGACCCTGCCCCCCGTGCATGTCAGTGTGACCCCCCCGCCCCCCCCGTGACCCCCCCCCCCCCCGCGCATGCGTGCGTGATCCCCGTTTTGGTGCTAGCAGGCCTCCCTGAAGCCTCCTGGGACCAAAAATGGGGCACGGGGGGGGGCACCGCACCTCCCCACCCCCGCACATGTGTGCACGATCCCCCACCCCTGTGCATGCGTCTCCCGGCATGCGCGGTGGTGCTGACCTGGGCATCGGCTCGCGTGCCCTCAGAAATGGCTCTGCATGCCACCTGTGGCACACGTGCCAGAGGTTCGCCATCACGGTTATAGGCCAAAGATACACTTGCCTTGAAGAATTAAAATAGGTTGAAGTGGTGTGATACTGCAGAGTAAGTATCCAAATCCCTGCGGATCCCAGAAAAACTGAATGCACCTCAGTCATCCATCCATTTTTTTTCTTCAAAAGAAAAGAATTGTTAAGGTAATTATAGTAAGGGGGGGATGTAGCATAATCTACTCATATTGCAGGATGGGGCTTACCATGAAGATGTTGGCTATGGAGTAAGTGAAGGCTTGAAATCGAAGGCCTTGTCCCTTGAAAAAGCAAGGAAAGAGGCTGTCACAGATGGATTGAAGAGGGCACTCAAGTAAGAGTAACCAACGCATACAATACTTTGTTGTTGTGAAATAGAGAATTGTGTTTTAAGAAGCAGCCGTCTGTCTCTTCAGGTGCTTTGGTAATGCTCTTGGGAACTGTATTTTGGATAAGGACTACTTGCGCTCAGTGAATAAGCTCCCCCGTCAGGTATGTTGGGGTGGGGGGGGGAGAGGGGAGGAGAGCAGGTTTCAAAGAAAGTAAAAATGCCAAATTCTGGAGTGAGCACAAATCGTAAAATTAATAGTAACTTGCATCATTTCTTCTTCTTCTTCATAATCACCAGATTTCACCATTTGGCTTTTTTTTTTCAATTAGAAATGTTCTCTCTTTTGTTCATTATTACTCAGAACTAAGCCAAAAGTATTATGTCATTATTCTAGCGTTATAAAACAAGTATTTTTATTTTTTTTTGGCCTTATTTTGAATAAGATTCTGTAACCTGCACAAAAACACATGTGCCTTCGTTTAATTTTTATGCGGACCTTCAAGTATATTGTTTTCTACCTTATGACCCTTTGGATAAATGTTCTTGAACCTGCAGTTCATTTATTTATTTACCGTAATAGTAAGGTTAATGGAACTTGTATTTATTTTTGCATAATCGTTTTTAAGATTACACTATAAGCTTCTAAAGACGTCTAAAGATCCCTCTTTCAATATCCCTCGGCATTGCCACAACATTAACCGTGATTTATTTACTTTTTAAAACTTATAATTGGATAACTTTAGCCTGATCTCAAATGTTCCCCTTTTAGGGAAGGCTGTTGACTGGCAGCTACAAATGGGCCTGGAAGTAGCGGATTATCTGGACCCTTTTCAATCTGGGTTTGGACCAGAAAACAGCATTAAAATGGCATTGGTTGTACTAGTCCAGGGGTCGGCAACCTTAAACACTCAAAGAGCCATAAAGGTCCTAAATGGAAGCCCCCCGTTCAATTCTGGAGCCGACTGGAAGTGAGGTCGTTCCCCCAACCATAGAGTCTCTTCCTAGCACGGCATCCTTTTTCCTCTGCCGACCGGAAGTCTGGTTTCCCTACCATAAAGTCTCCTCCTAGCAAGGCGTCCTTTTTCCTCTACCTGCCCTAACCGAAAGCCCTATCATTTGTGGAGCTGACCGGTGACAGGGAGCCGCAGCAGAGGGATGAAAGAGCCACATGTGGCTCCAGAGCCGCGGGTTGCCGACCCCTGCACTAGTCAATGACCTTCGGAGGGCTCAGAATGAAAGCGGTGCAACCATTCTGGCCTTCAGTGGCTTTTGATAGCTTCACCCTGGTATCCTGGCTTGGCTTTGAGAGCTGGGAGTGGGAGGCACTGTGTTATGATGGTTCTCCTCCTTCCTCTGTGGCTGATTCCAGTTGGATAGAGATTGAGCACTAGGGCTTTGCAATGGCAATGATACCCAATGATATATCTCCACCCTCAGCCAGACCGATGATGATGTGGCAGCGCTGGACAAGTACTTGAAGGCTGTAAGGGTCCGGATGTGGGAGAACCGGGTTTGATTCACCCCGGTGAGATGAGATGACTCTGGGTTTTTGGTCCCCCACATCCAGATGATATTTCATCTTTGGATAGGTGGTAGTGCAACTTGGGGGTCTCCTGGACTCCTACTTGAGAAGCAGGTGGCAACCATAGCTTGGGAGCCTTTGCACAGTTTTGTCTAGTGCACCAATTGCATCCTTTCCTTCACTGGGAGGCCTTGCTTATGCCTTGATCCCCTTCCATTTGGATTACTGTAATGTGTTCTGCATAGGGCTACCCTTGAAGACCACCCAGAAACTTCAATTGGTCTAGAACGCAGCAGGATGCATTGTGATGGGTGTCCCTGAGTCTGCCCAGTAACACCCCTGTTGAAGGAGCTGCACTGACTTCCAATTTTTTTTTGTCTGAGTGCAATTCAAGCTCTTGGCTAGCATCTATATAGCCCTATATGGTACAGGCATAGGTTATTTGCTGCAAGTAGTCCAGGAAGCCAGGTTAACCAAACAGCAACCAGGGCCAGCAGTCCGATAAGCCAGGTTAGCTAAACAGTAACCAGAGCAAGAAGTTCAGCGAAGCAGGCAAACTGGCAAGCCTCACAAGACACAGTACAGCAATCTCTAGGCCAGTGATGGCTAACCTTTTTGCCGTCGTGTGCCAAAAGCGGGGTGAGCACGGGGGGTTGTGCACGCACGTGCCTACACCCATAATTCAATGGGCCCTGTGCATGTGCACATGACCCCTCCCCCGTGCTCCCCACACTTTTGGCACGCAATGGCATGGTGGGCTTAGTGGGCCCGTTTTTTGCCCTCTGGAGGGCCTCCGGGGGCTGGGGAAGGCCGTTTTTGCCCTCCCCAGGCTCCTAGAAAGCATGTGGAGCCTGGGGAGAGTGAAAAACGAGCCTTCCCCACTCCCCTGGAGGCCCTCCAGAGGCTGGAAACAGCCTGTTTCCCAACTTCCGGTGGGCCCGAAAGGCCCGAAAATCAGCTGGATGGCGCACGATTGCATGCTGGAGCTGAGCTACGGCAATGCTTGCGTGCCCACTGATATGGCTCCGTGTGGCACCTGTGGCACGCATGCCATAGGTTCGCCATCGTGGCTCTAGGCTATGGCAAGTGTACACAAGGCTCCACAGATTCAACGCTTGTTCCCAACAAATGCCCCTCCCACCGGCACCCCCTTACATCTCAGTCCCCAGATGTGCCTGGTGAAAGGGGGCGGGGCACTATCCTCCCTCGTAGCCTCCTAAATCTGCGTTGATCTCGCTATCTCTCTTTACTCCTTGCTCTCAAATCAGGAGCGGGTAGTCCTTGCTCTTCTCCTGAGCTTTCCCTGTCTGCAGGCCTTATTAATTCAGAAAAGCTTGCCTGGACTGACTGTGCCCTTCACCAGTTTCCTCCAAGGCCAACGGAGCCAGCCTCTCCATCTCTGTCTTGTTCTTGTCCCAGCTCATCTTCCCCAGCAGATTCAGACTCCGACAGGGGCATGACAGTGTGGTTCAAATGATTGCATGCTAACACCCTCAACAAGAGGTCAAAGCAAATTGGCGGTAGATAAGAGTTAACAGAATTCAAGATGGGCTGGATTTAGATCTCGTGGGCGCAAAGGGACTCTAGACTGATGATGTGCTTGACTCCTCCCTCGGGAACAGCCTGGTCATCTCCTACATTTAATATGGTTTTTAATTTTTGATTGGGATCTGCCCTTCGTTTGCTAAAAGGTGGCTGTCTATAGAAATGTTTTAAATAAATAAATTGTCATAAAAATCAAAAACAGAGCCTTGGTGGCACAGCAGACTAAAGCACTGTTAAGTAACACCGGCTGCCTGCAATTACTGCAAATTCAAATCTCACCAGGCTCAAGGTTGACTCAGCCTTCCATCCTTTTGAGGTAGGTAAAATGAGGACCCGGTTTGTGGGGGCAATAAGCTGACTTTGTATAAAAAAGAACACCGCTTGGGGGGGGAGGCGAAAGCCCTACTAAGCAGGTATATACAAAAGTATGAAGGCTATTGCTTAACGCATTGTAAGCCGCCCTGAGTCTCTGGAAAAGGGTGGCATATAAATCGAATCAATAAATAAATAAATAAAAGAAGCCAAAGGTGATCTACAGGGTACATGGCACTAAGAATAATTGTAATTTGCTTTAAACCAGAGGTGTCAAACTCAAGGCCCACGGACCAGATTCAGTCCGCAGGGCGCTTAAATCCAGCCTACAGGGCCGGCCTGGAAATATCAAAGGACCAGCCGGTGGTGCCTCTGGCAGTTAAAACGGGCCATGTGTGGCCCCCCACGCCTTGTTTTCAAACTCCATGGCCTCCTGCAGCACTCTGCCAGCTGAAAACTGCTCAAAAATGGCCCCAAAACAGGACCAAAAACAGGCCACGCGGGGCTGGTTTTCGGCCGGCAGGGTGCTGCAGGAGGCAGCTGTCCCATCTCCCCTCTGCTGTCCCTCTCTCTGCCGGCCCGGGGAGAACTACAATGCTGATCTGGCCCTCAAAAAAATCCAGTTTGACACCCCTGCTTTAATCAGATAAATAACCCACTGTCACTGCGTTTTTGTATTTACCAGATGAGCTCTTATTTCTGGACTGTCAGACTTTCCGTAGCTTGCCAATTTTGTTATCAGTAAGCTAACTACGCATGTCTGCATTCTTTCTTTCTACTTCACACTTTTCTTTGTTCTCTTGCCAAGAAGTCCGGCTGCTGAGAGGTAGCTGGCAGGAACTTTGCCAAAATGTAACAATTTAATTATTTTTAGACTAGTAAGATGTTTTACTTTCTTTATAACAAATAAATGAGTTTTTTTCTTAGAAAAAATATCTTCGGGGTTTATTTTCTTGCAAAGGTATACACAAGAAAAATGCCACGATTCACGTCTCTAAATCAAGGTGCGATTACCCAAAAGCAAAATGGGATTAATCAGCGCCCTGACACACATTAGCTCAGGTTGCATTGGCTAAACGTATGATGTGAAGATGAAAATTCTGCACAAAATACCACTTGTTTCCCTGGTAACTTCACCTCTGGAGACTGGGGTGGGGGTGAGGGGTATTTCCTGAGCAGCTTTCCCCTGGTAAATTCTGTGAAATGCTTCTACTATTTTCTGAACTTCTCTACTTGAATGGCTATTTTTGTTTTATCCTTTTGCTAGATGCCTCCAGATTTAGATTTGGACAAAGTTAAAAGGCAGGACTTTGATCCTACTATAGAGAAAGCAAGATATAACAGCTGCTTGCAAAAAGGAAGTGAAGACCAGAAGTTCTTCTCCTTGTCAACCCCAAGCAAATCTTGCAAGTTGGCTTCTCCCTTGAACGCTACTGAACAAAACCAAAACAGGTTAGCAGCTTCATTAGATGTTTTCTCCTCGGGCACACATTTTGAAATGTTAAACTTCATCGTGACATCAGAAAGTTGCTGTCAAATGCATTCTGAACTTCTAATTCAGCAAGACATTCCTGGGTGTTGTCAGATATTCTACTTTTCTTCTGGCAGGAGGCAAAGAAAAAGTAATACAGGATTGCTTTTGTGAATTCAGTCAGGATTTCAAAATCTTGACAGATTTTGAATTTTGACAATTCAAAATTTTGTGATTTCAGTTAGTCTGTTAGTCTAAATGTTTCCTATTTCCTAAGTGGGTACAACATTGGCAAAGTACATATCCAAGTGGCACATATATCCTATAGTAGCTTTGTTCAGTCTGATGCCTTCTGATTGTACTAACGTTCTGCTCTCAGAATTTATTATCCAGCATGAATGCCGCTCTCGTGAGTTTATACTGGTATTCCTGGATTTTAAGGAAATTATTAAGTAAGTTATCGAGGTTGACTCAGCCTTCCATCCTTCTGAGGTTGGTAAAATGAGGACCCAGATCGTTGGGGGCAACAGGCTGACTGTGAAACTGCTTAGAGTTAACTGTTAAGCATAAGTCTAAGTGCTATTGCTAAGTGCTATTATTAGAAGATAAGTATTATGGAATTGAAATTTAATATGCCATAAACATGCCTTGCCATCCAGCATGAGAGAGCCTTGGTGGCGCAGCAGACTAAAGTGCTGTTAACTAGCACCAGCTGCCTGCAATTACTGCAAGTTCAAATCTCACCAGGCTCAAGGTTGACTCAGCCTTCCATCCTTTCGAGGTAGGTAAAATGAGGACCCGGATTGTGGGGGCAATAAGCTGACTTTGTATAAAAAAGAACACCGCTTTTGGGTGGGTGGGGTGAAAGCCCTACTAAGCAGATATATACAAAAGTATGAAGGCTATTGCTTAACGCATTGTAAGCTGCCCTGAGTCTCCGGAGAAGGGCGGCATATAAATTGAACCACGAAAGAAGAAAGAAAGAAAGAAAGAAAGAAAGAAAGAAAGAAAGAAAGAAAGAAAGAAAGAAAGAAAGAAAAGAAAAAGAAAGAAAGAAAGAAAGAAAGAAAGAAGAAAGAAAGAAAGAAATGTTATTAATGAACTAGAGCAGGGGTGTCAAAGTCCAGGCCCGTGGGCCAGATCTTGTCCCCAGGTGTTTAGATCTGGCCCGTGGAGCCGCCCTGGAAACAGCGAAGGACCGGCTCATGGTGCCTCTGCCAGTGAAAACAGAGCTCAGGAGGGCCATGGGCTTCAGGAGGCCGTCACAGCCAAAAACAGAGCTCAGGAGCCCGGTTTCCCTGGCGGAGCAATTGGGCCGCCACAGGTGCCCCCGGTGAGTTGGCCACGCCCACCCCAGTCCCCCAGAGGTCAAACACAACACTGATGCAGCCCTCAATGAAATCGAGTTTGAAACCCCTGAACTAGAGGGATAATCCCCCTTGGTTTATACTCTTGTTATCACAGGATCTCACTGCCCTTGGATTACGATGCAACTCACCTTCGGAAGATACGACAGAAGCAGCTTCAACAGCAGTTCAGACAGCAGATGCAGGAGAAACAGCAGATCCAGTCAGATGTTTCAGCTTGCAGAACTAAAGATCAAGGTAAAGAGGATTGCAGGAACTGGGTGTGGCTCGTCTAGAGAAAAGAAGGACTAAAGGGTGACATGATCGCAGTATTCCAGTATTTGAGGGACTGCCACAAAGAAGAGGAGGGGGTGTCAACCTATTCTCCAAAGCACTTGAAGACGGGACAAGAAAAAAAAAATGGATGGAAACTAATCAAGGAAAGAAGCAACCTGGAATTAAGGAGAAACTTCCTAACAGTGAGAACAATTAACCAGTCAAACAGCTTGCCTTCAGAAATTGTGGGTGCTCCATCACAGGTCTCTTTTAAGAAGAGACTGCACAGCCTCTTGTCTGGAATGGTATAAGGTCTCCTGCTTGAACAGGGGGTTGGACTAGAAGACCTCCAAGGTCCCTTCCAGCTCTATTCTGATTGACTCTGGATAGAGGAGAATGTAAGTAGTACGATTAATTCTTTCCATGGGGCCGCGGTGGCTCACTTAAGACGCTGGGCCTGTGCATCGCTGAGGTAGGCAGTTCGATTCCTGTGAGTGAATAAACTGCGTAGGGACAAGAAAGGAGCCTCCCCTGATTGCCCACTGGCATTCGGACATCCCGCAGGTAAAGATAACACCACCCAAAAAAAATCCTTTCACAGAGGCAGCCAGCCACCTCGGTGATCCCTGGCTAACATGTGCCATATACTAAATAAATAAATAAATTCCTTCCATGTTAATTGTGCCTTCATCAGAGGGAGAAAATGACCTGCTAAACAAAGGTTATTTTACATAAAAACGCATAACCTGTTAATATCAACCACTTTTACCATAACAAGAAAATCATAAAAGAAAATAGAGGTAGAGAAATAAACAATCTGGAATAATTTTAGGAATGCAGAGATCAGTGTCAATGTAGTAGCAGTTACAAACAAATCACAAGGCAGGAAAGAACAGTTAGTTTCATTTCAGCAAAGCAGACTAGTTTTACTTTCTCTGCACAGACTCAGAAGCTGCAGACTAAGATACATCCTGGCTCCAGTCTGTCTCAGCTCCCAAAGAGCCCGCATTGGCTGATTTATTTGCTATGCCTATACATTGGCTGACCTTGTTACCATGTCCTATTCCAGTTGATGAATATACTCTGACAATCAGCATTTTTAAACAGGAGGTGGTCAAGTAATTATAAGGGGCAATTCTAATTGACAAAAATTTGAATAGTTGAGCCGTAAATAGATTTTGTGAAGCAATTTTGATATAGTTTTGCAAGAAAATACAATGATGTGGAGCTCAGAGGGCTGGGAAAGGCTTGGACCCAAAGAATCGGAGAGTTGCAGTGACTTCTTTTGCCCCTGAAACTTTCCCAAGTGCTGTTGGGTCACATATATGACACCTTTTCCAATAAGTGTTTAAATTAAAATATTCAAGGGGGCGGAGGAGGGAATCAACAAAATACAATGACTATCCCAAAGTATTCCAACGGATTTTAGATTTCACTTGAAAAAAATCATTTAAGCATAAATATGGCAACACAGTTCATTTGATGGGGAGAGGGGTGGGGAGATGAGGGCAGTGAAAGGCTATCATAGTTCTTCCTTGTAACTCAAGAGAATTATAAGGAGTTGTAGTTAGAACAGGAACAGAGGTGGTATTCAACTGATTCTGACCGGTTCGCCCGAACCAGTAGCGGCGACTGTGGGTGGGCCCACCTATCTGCTTGGATGTAATGCCATTCTATTTAGCCACATTTTCAAGGCCAGTAACATGTGCAGAAGGCGCGCATGCGAGCAAAGTGCATGCGCGGAAGACGGGGTGCATGTGTGGAAGGCAAACCAATGGCAACAATTTGTGAAACCCATCCTTGAACAGGAATATTGAGAAGATTCCCCCCCCCAAAGAAAATCCATCAGCTGGAAGGGATCTTGGAGGCCTTTTAGTCCAACCCCCTGCTCAAGCAAGAGACCCTATATCAGTGATGGCACAGTGATGGCTAACCTTTTTGCCATCATATGCCCAAAGCAGGGGGAGATAGTGGGGTCGTGCGACACACACACACCACTGTGCGATGGCACATTCGGTCCGGTAGGCCCGTTTTTCACCCTCCCGAGGCTCCAGAGGCTTTCTTGGAGCCTGGGGAGGGCAAAAACAGCCTTCCCCACACCCCCGGAGGCCCTTCGGAGGTCGTAAACAGCCCATTTCCCAACTTCTGGTGGGACCGGAAGGCCCGAAAATCAGCTGGCTGGCACGCACATGCGCGCTGGAGCTGAGCTAGGGCAATGCTCGCGTGCCCACAGATATGGCTCCACGTGCCACAGCCCTATATCATTTCAGACAGTTGGTTGTCCAGTCTCTTCTTAAAAACGTCAGTACCCACAACGTCTGAAGACAAAGCTGTTCCACTGGTTAATTGTTCTCACTGTTAGGAAATTTCTCCTTAATTCCAGGTTGCTTCTATCCTTGATTAGTTTCCATCTATCGTTTCTTGTCTTGCCTTTTAATTAAACTAAAATTAAAAAATTACAAAGACAATAGCAAGAATGGCCAGTGATAACTGACCCTCCACTCTAGTCCTTTAGTGCCAAAAGAAAAAAGGAACCTGGGAAGGGAAAGGGAGAGAATAAAATCTCTTTTCCCAATCTGTTATCTCCTGGGAAGAAAGAGAGGGGTAGAAAGTTGATCTGCAGCAACTTGGCGTTGCACCGTTGAGCTGCCACCGATTCTCCTTTGATGCCATAAGGAAAAGACTCTGAGACACCATATGCCATTCGTCCATCACCAATTTAGTTTTACCTACCTTGATCCTGTCTCCCTGCCTCAAATTAGAAAGGCGGGTAACCTGTTCCACTTTTTTCAGCAATTCTGTTCTTTGCATACAGAGGTGTCCATTCCCACTGCCTTGGAAGGCAACTCTTCTGTACAACCGCAATCTGTTGTGGATGAATTCCTTGCAGGTGAGTGTAAAATTGCTTTAAGTTGATTAGCTCAAGGTTTTTTCATGGTATTCACAGCACCAATTATTACGGTACAATGTGCATCCTTTTCTCATGCAACTCCTCCCCAACACACCTGGTCTGATGCTGAATGCAGACTGTGGGAAGGACTGTAACGAAAGGAAGAAACAGCCAGGGGGCATTTGTAGTGAAAAGTTACTGGGAGCAAAAGGGTTACCCGTCTATTCACCCACATTCTGTGATGACCCGGGGCGAGGTACAGAAGCAACACAGCCAGAGAACAGTTCTAACTCCAACTTGCAACTCCAAAGTTGCTCCAACTTTCCCCCAAACGTCCCCATATTTACTGCAAGTCCTAGAGCAAAGCTCTCTCTCACACCTCCGACAGCCTCTGGCTGCAAGTAGTCCAGCAAGCAAAGTTAGCAAGGTAGCAACCAAGGCAAGAAGTCCAGTGAGGCAGGCAAACCAGACAAGGCACACAAGACAAAGCACAGCAAAATCCAGACGTCGCCAACTGCGCACGAGGCTCCATGAATTCAAGGCTTGTTCCCGACAAAACACCCCTCCCAACAGCATCTCCTTAATTTTTAGTCCCCAGGTAACCCCAGGGGCAGGGTGCTCTCCTCCCGACTCGTCGTGTCAGCCTGCGCTGCTCCTGCCTTCTCTCCACTCTCTGTGCTTGGGGATCAGGAGGAGCATTCCTTGCTCGTCGCCAGAGCTCCGTCATTCCCCTGCTCCACTGCCTGCCCTCTCTTCCCCCTTCTCTCAGTTGTCCTGCACCCGTTCTTCCTTGCTGGCAATCCTTCCCAGGCCCGAAACACCCGGGGCTGCCTCATCCTGCTCCTCCGGTCGTTCTTCCGGCGCCAACGAGACTGCACCCTCTTCCTCCATCAGCCCCAGCTCCGCCTCGTCCTCTTCCACGGACTCAGGCTCTGACGGGGCCATGACACATTCCCTTTCTCTAGAAAAACTCAGATTTAAACATTCACATATCTGAGCTTGACCCTGATTATCGCGGCTTCCATTACAATCCAGAGCTATTGAGAATCACATGCATAATTGAACAATCAATAGTTTAGGTTTTAGTTTTAATACCTGATTGATTACAGATGATCCAGAACTGTGGGACTTTCCTTTGGAAGCAAATGATCAAAATACAGCAGCAGTGCCAGCCCAATGCTTACGTTCACCTCTTGGACAGCATACCATGATGACTCGCAGCCAAACCCCACAAAGAATAAATAATCAGCAATCAAATATAAAACCTTCATCTTGGCACCTGGCCTCCAGTCCCAAATCTTACTTACCAGGTAAACTGTAAAAGAGATAGCAAAACAAGTAACTTTGTCTATATTAACTATTTGGTGCCAAGTGACCAACGCATGCGCGCACAGGATGTACAAATGCATGTGCCCGTGCCCGAACCCCCCAAATGCAGTGCAAGCACCCCCAGTGCATACACCCCACCCCCACACATGTGCATGCATCCCCTGTGCATGCGCCCCGCTCCCCCATTTTGGCATTCAGGTTGGGGCAGGCGGCTTTCCAGGTCCAAATGGGGGTTGGCTTTTTGGGCCTGAAAAGCCGCCTGCACTAACCTGGAAGCCAAAATGGGGCGTGGAGTCCCTGCGTGAGCCCCGCCTACAGCCCGTTTTTGCCCTGGAAAGCCTCCTGCACCAACCTAGACCCTCCCTGTGCCCCGCCCCCTGTGCATGCACACACTTGTCCCCCAGATGCACCCCATCCCCCATCATGCACGGCAGAGACCCAAAGACCAACTGGCTGGTGGGAGACACGTGCGCATGCACGGTGGAGCTGGGCTGGGGCGATGGCTATCGTGCCCACAGAGAGAGCACTGCGTGCCACCTGTGGCACGTGTGCCATAAGTTCGCCATCATGGAACTAGGCTATATATGACGAATGCATGTAATAGGGGAGAACAAATAACATATTGTCTCCTCTGTGAAAAGCAGCTAAAATGCCGCTTCTAGACTATGAGGCATGTTATACATGAAATAGGATAGCTCAGCACATGAAACTGGACAGGAATCTACACCATGTCTAAATCCTGCAAAGTGCAGAGAAAAAAATCTTTATATTTCCCAGGGATTCCAGCCTATGCGTTACATGCAAGTCAGTAAAATTGCTTAAAATGCAGCGGTGAAAAATGAAACAGGACACATTTTATTGTAGATAAAGGAAAACTAGGTGAAAAATATATATTTTTTAAAAGGAAATCCTTTTCTGAGTGACTGTTTTCTATTTCAGCTGAACGTAGCCCCTACCGAAGAGGCCAAGGAATGAAAAAGAGAAGACTGGAGCCTGCATAGAAAGCATTTAAGATTTCAGCATGAGGGTTTTAATTCAGAATACATTTTAGTCCAATAAAGTTGCAGACCAAAGTATCTTTCCTAGATTTTATTACAGAAAAAAGCGCATTGCTTTGCAGTATTTAACTAATGGCTTAAAATGCCATTTCAACTGTAGTTAAAAGAATTAAATATTACAAGCCCTAATATTTCATTTTATATGTAATTCTATTTTAAAATTTAAAAAGGCACTTTCTTAACTTTCTTCATTCCAATCAGAAGAGAGCAATTTTAGTAATAATATATTCTAAATGTGTTATAAGTGCTCTAAGCTGGATATGAATTCGATGTTCAGGGACAACATTTTTAATTTAAATTATAATTGTCCCTTTTTTTGATGAACAAAACCAACAAAAGATTTCCACTTATTCAAAGAGGTACAATCTGAAAATATTGGGAAAATTTACTGTTAGAAGTATAGAAAAGCATGCTTTTTAAGTGTGTATGTGATGGGGGAGGGGAAGGGAAATATGTGTGTCTTGGACTTTTTATGTTGTATTGATCCACTAGCAGAGTCTGAGAAAACAAAAATCAATCATTAGAACAGTATAATTCATTTTCAAATCTATAAATTAATGCAGCATCTCATGTAATCATGAACTCTGATTGTGCTGCTTGCATTAAATAGCATAGCAGTAAATATTGTTGCGTAAACTGTCTCTGGATTCTCTACCACATCTTGGTAGATAGGAGAGGTAGCAGGTTACTGGTTTTGTATTCAGACTGTCATGTTTTCTAAGTCACTTGCACAAATATATATGTGTGTATATGTGTGTGTGTGTGTTTATGTGTGTGTGTATATTTATATGTATGTATGCATGTATGCATGCATGCATGCAAGTCTTGGTGTATTCGGGTCTTCTCCCGTGTAAGATTGAGAGCACTTTGGCAACGTTTCAGCAGAATCTCATCTGCCATCATCAGGCTTATGCAAGGGGTCTTTTGCAGCAATTGCCGTTACTATTTCAAATCTGGTGCTGGTAGTCTGCTTTGCTGGGATGGCCCCACCTCTTCATTCTGATTGGTTGGGAGTCCCAGTCTGTCTATTGGCTTGGCTTCGGGTGTATGGTCGGTTTTTCTCCACCAGGTGGCCGGGCTTCATCTTTGTGGCTGGCTGGAATGTGATTTGGCTGGAGGTCTCGGGGTGTGTGTGTCTGGCTTCTGGGGTGTAGATTTTTCTGTAGCAATGCCACAGTGGTGATGAACACATCTGACTACCAAGCCAAACTATCCAACCTACTCCAAGACCCTGCTTACAAACCTCTAAACACAGACCCCACCACCTACCTGGAAAAAACCACCAAATCCAAAATAAAAGCCTCTCCCATCAGTGAAGAGATCCAGCAAAGACTCATCCCCAGAGAGAAATCATCCAGATGCCCCAAGCTCTATGGCTTCCCCAAGATACACAAAGAAGGAACACCACTCAGACCTATAGTCAGCTCCATAGGCTCACCTCTACAGAATCTTGCCAAATTTCTTGCCGAACAACTTCAGCCCTACGCAGAATCCATCAACTCATCCGTACAAAACTCATTCCACTTCATAGAAACAATAAAGAAACAAAACCTACAATCCAGCGACCTCCTTGTGAGCTTCGATGTCCTATCCCTCTTCACCCAAGTGCGTATTAAAGAAGCCTTGACAGCAATCCTAAACAAATACAACCCCCCTAAACACATCCTAGATCTGACCAACCACTGCCTAACCAACACATACTTCATCCACAATGGACAAAGATACAAACAGATAGAAGGCGCACCTATGGGATCACCCCTCTCACCCGTCATCGCAAACCTATACATGGAACACTTTGAAACCATCGCCTTAGATAAATCTGAACACAAACCCAAACTTTGGCTGAGATATGTAGATGACACTTTTGTAATTTGGCCACACGGGAAAGAAAAACTGGACAACTTCCTCACACATCTCAACAACCTACACCCCAAAATACAATTTACTATGGAAACAGAAGCTAACAACAAATTTCCTTTTCTGGACGTCCTAATCTACAAAAAACTCAACGGCTCCCTAGGACACACCATCTACAAGAAAAAAACACACATCAACTGCTACTTAAACGCACAATCACATCACCACCCTGCACAGATCAACTCCGTAGCCAAGACTCTCATCTCCAGAACCAAACGCCTAGCCGACAAAGACCACCTGAAAACTGAATTACACACTCTCACAAACATATTAATTTCTAACGGATTCCAAAGAAACACTATCACCAACCTAATCCAAAGGGAGACACCCCTCAAGATCCAAGACACAGAACAGGACAACGACATCGCCCTCCTCCCTTACATCAAAGGCACCACAGATAAAATCAGCAAAATTCTCCACATACACAATATCAAGACAGCCTTCTGCACTGACCAAAAAATAGCCAACGTCTTAAGAAACCCCAAAGAGAAGATCCAGCTAGAAAACCAAGGAGTCTATAAAATACCATGCAAAATCTGCCCAGCCACATACATTGGACAAACTAATAGGAGAATAAATGCACGCATTGCAGAACACAAGAATGCAGTCAGAAAAGAAGAAAAAACTTCCTCCCTTTTCCAGCACCTTAAAGTAACAGGACATGAAATTGATTTTGAAGAAACCAAATTAATCTCCAAAACTGAACACTTCAACAAGAGAATAATTATGGAAGCCATTGAACTAGAAAAACGCCCCCATAACATGAATAAACGTGACGATACCTCCAGCTTACCAGACATCTGGAAACTAGCCCTTGTCAACAAACGAGTCCCAGCACCCACAGACAGAAAAATCTACACCCCAGAAGCCAGACACACACACCCCGAGACCTCCAGCCAAATCACATTCCAGCCAGCCACAAAGATGAAGCCCAGCCACCTGGTGGAGAAAAACCGACCATACACCCAAAGCCAAGCCAATAGACACAGACTGGGACTCCCAACCAATCAGAATGAAGAGGTGGGGCCATCCCAACAAAGCACCAGATTTGAAATAGTAACGGCAGTTGCTGCAAAAGACCCCTTGCATAAGCCTGATGATGGCAGATGAGATTCTGCCGAAACGTTGCCAAAGTGCTCTCAATCTTACACGGGAGAAGACCCGAATACACCAAGACTTGCATACCTGTACCCGTGAAAATCTACAAAAATATATATACATATATATATATATATGTCTTTTTCTTTTTCGTAGGCTTTTATGTGCATATTCTTCCTAGCCAGGTTTTACCTACGTAAACTTTTTACCTACGTAAACCAGGGCTGTAGAACAACTTAGTTTACGTAGGTAAAACCTGGCTAGAAAGAATATGCATACACACACACACACACACACACACACACACACACACACACATATATACACTAATGGTGAGCAATCAATTTTGTTAAATTGAGCAACTTTTCCCCAAATAATTCTTGCAATATAATGTGAAAATAGGATCAGTATACCTTTTCTTTCTGTTGCAAAAGGGAGGAGAATTAAAGCAGTTTTTCTGTGAGACCAATAACATCAGGCTGAAATTAATCCCTTATCTCCAGATCATCTGTAGGATGTAGTTCCATTGGACCAATAGATAACATCAGAAAGGATCCCATTACTATCATATGTCACAAATGTCATTGACTTAGGAAGATCCCACCTGCAAGATGTTATGTAATGTATGCATATCATTTATATAACTAACTTTGATCATTCTTTTCAAATAAACTTCCTTAATTTTCAAAATTGGCCCACTATGTTCTGATCTGCAGATTAAACCAAAATTATTTGAACTCTCAAGAATGCTAAATATTGTATATAATGAAGCTTCAGGACACACAGAAATATTTAATGAAATGTTTCAATAAAGAGACGTTGGCATTTCTTCCTATTGGTATTGACACATTAGCATTTGTTTATCTCTCTTTATTCTGTGGCAGTTATTGTCTGTGTATGTTACCTAGGCACAAGTAGGTTTTAACCTACGGATGTTTTAAAAATACATTTTTTTTGTTCATGATCGGGACTGCAGAACAATCTTAATATTTCCCAGGTGGACCACATCAGTGGGCATTGGAGGTGGGCTGGAGATATTTTGTGTTTTCTTGGAAGCTTAAGATTCATGTAAAAATCTAGCTGGACACATGAAATTTTCCACTACTTCCTTGGCAAGCAATATAGTAACCAGACACCTTATGATTGCTACAATATATCTAGCTTCCTATCTATAAAAATCTACCGTTTCCCCAAAAATGCAACCTATCCCAAAAGTAAGTCCTAACTTGATTTTTACACGTGTGCCCAATATAAGCCCTACCCCCCAAAATAAGTCCCAATTAAGACCCCGCCCACTCTGGGGTGCAGGGGGTGGGGCGAGGCGCACGGGTAAAAATTAAGCTAGGATAGGGATGGGGATGGTGGTGCTGCCCTACTTACCAAGCCTTGCACACCCAGACGCCTTGCCGGCCCACTCCTTCTGAGGCCGTGTGTTGCCGCTTGTACATATCGCCCCTGGCCTGTTTCACTCTGCAGCTGAGAAACAGGCTTCGGATTGACGCGCGGACCGCCCGCCTCCGTTTCGCCATCAAGAGGCCCTTCTGGAAAGCCCTCTGCAGCTGATAACAGAGCTCTGGATCTGGCTGCAGAGGGCTTTCCGGAAGGGCCTCTTGATGGCAAAACGGAGGCCGGGGGTAGGGGGTGACGCGTTCATCAATCCAGATCTCGTTTCTTGGTTGCAGAGGCCTTTCTGGAAGCTAAACAGAGGCCTGGGGTGACACGCGCAAGCGGTGGCAAGCGGCTGCAGAAGAAGTGGGCCAGGAGCGGGTTCCGCCGCCACAAGTGAAAGCTCCCCCTGAAAATAAGACCTGCTACCTTTGGCGGCAAAAAATAATAATACAAGGCCGGGTCTTATTTTTTTGGGAAACACAGTATTTTATGATATGCAACTTAAAATAGAAGAGATAAAGGCAAATACTCCTTAGCTGATTTTAAAAAGCTAAGCAACATTGGACCTGCTAAGTATTTGATTGTCTGGAAATGCAGGAGCTGTACACTAAACTAGAAGGTTTTTTTTGTTTTTTTTTAAATGTACTGTTGCCAAGAAAACTACATAGGTACGTCTATGAAACCCTGAGAACTTGGAAGTGGAAAAATGTGCTATATTTTACCCGGATGGAAGTTGCTAAACTGCAAATCAAGAATTACACTCCAGATTCTAAGACTCAACGTTACAAAGAATGAAAGTTTTTGGCAAAAGAAACAACTTCCAGTCTTGAAGCAGGGGTTAGCACAAAAAATATGACTGATGTCCAGTAGCTCCTATTGGAAAAATGGTTACGTTGATTTCATTCTTTAAAAGCAAGTGGAAGTGACAGGCCATTTGTAGAACTGCCTTGTTTCCTTCATCTCCTCGTTGCCAAGATTACTACGGAAATGTTTACTTGGCTAAAAGAAATCTTTAGGAATTCTTCCAATTTGACTATTGCAAGATCTGCAGTAACTATTCCATACAGTAATCACAAAAGTATCAGATAAAAGTTGGAGTTCGAGTACACTACCGTGTCTCCCAGTGGTGAAATGTAAAATTTGTTACTACCGGTTCTGTGGGCGTGGCTTGGTGGTGGTGGGGTAATATGACTGGGTGTCACCAATTATTTTTTTTAACTTTTAAAACCATTTTTTCTACCACCTCTCCGGCTGAAGAGGTTGTAAAAAAAATGCTTTTAAAAGCCCCTGACGAACCCAGCTGAGTAGCCTGATCACAGAGGCTTTTTTTTTTAAAAGCCTCTGACGATCCCAGCTGAGCTGCATAATCATCAGAGGCTTTTTTTTTTTACTTTTAAAAGCATTTTTTCGGCCAAAGAGGTTGTAGAAAAAATGCTTTTAAAAATAATTTTAAAAAAGCCTCTGATGATCGCGTGACTCAGCTGGGCAATGGGGGGGGGCAGGGATTTTTGCTACCGGTTCTCTGAACCACCCATCTCTATCGCTACCGGATTGGGCGATCCGGTCCGATCCGGGAGCATTTCACCCCTGGTGTTTCCCCGAAAATAAGACCCTGTCTTGTATTTTTTTTTTGAACCCTGAAATAAGCGCTTGGCCTTATTTCCATGCGCTCAAAAGCTCAGTTGGGCTTATTATCGGGATGTCTTATTTTGGGGGAAACAGGGTATTATACTAGAACTAAGTTGTAGCCCAGGCCACTGTTTTCCATTCCTATAATAATAAAAGGATTTCAGCTATAAGTCTACAGTACTTAAAACAGCTCCTGTAATAGCTTATTCAGTTCTAATCAATTCAAGCACAAAGCTCCATGTTCTTATTCCCTTTATCCTTTCCTATATTGCAAGTAGCTTTCAAAATTCTACATACATTTCCCATATAACGGCAGATTTATGAAATCACAGTGATCACACACACTTTTTTTTCCTAGAGGTATAGCAGCTTCTGTCCTGCTAGTCTCTAAGACTCTAGTTTACTAGAGCAGGGGTCTCCAACCTTGGCAACTTTAAGACTTGTTGACTTCAACTCCCAGAATTCCTCGGCCAGCAAAGTCCATGAGTCTTAAAGTTGCCAAGGTTGAAGATCCCTGTACTAGGGTGCAAACTAGTTCATGTAAACCATAAAAATAAAAAACTACCATGTTAAATTCCAAATGTGCTCACAGATCAAAGATACAGGGCAAATTAGAGCGCCTTTCAATAGCTGAATAAACACTTCAATTTTAAGGCCTGCTGTTCTATTAATTGTCTAGTATCGAAACAGGGTTCTTTTTTTTTCATACCTCAATGGGAGGTTATGTCTTAGAATCAGAGACTATGTTCCAAGAAAGGCTTTTCAAGTACTTCCCTAAGATAGGTTTTAAAAAAAGAAGATTCTTCTTTGGTATGACCTAAAAATTCTGGAATAAAGCTGCAGGGATGGACAGATCTTGAAGAACCATGAACTTTACTTGGAGGGAACTGAGAATTTCAAGGGAGTTGCAAACATGGGTGAGACAACATGGGGAAGAATTATTTTTGTTTTTAATTGATATGTCTCTGCTGGTTATTACACTTCAAAATTCAAAACTTCCAATCTTGGAAATAATTTCCTCCCGTTCACTGAATCTTCATGAACAGACTGACAAGTGAATTCAACTTGGCCATGCATGGTTTGGCACACGTGGATACTTTCAGATATCTATTTTTGTTCCCAACCGTGAGAGTTTAAGACATGATGAATTTACTAATGCAACTTCTCAGTCCTTCCACGTACATCATAGATTTCAAAGTTCGTAATGCCTGTTGAAGTCTCCAAAAAAATAATCACCACAGAACCCTCATCAATATAGCTAAGCCTTTCAAGTACTAGTATAACCATTGGTCGGAGACACAGTTCTTCTCTGAGCTCAAATAACTGCTTCGTAGCATTCTTCATCTTGGCCTTATCCAGATGGGTTTCCGGCCAGAGATTTCAGCCCTGGCTTTAGAATGGATGAACCATCTGTCCTGTAACCGTTGCTGACAGCAGCAGGGGCTCACTTGACAGTGAAGCTTCAGGGCACTGAAAGAAGCAAATGCCAATTGAAAATGAAATACCACAGCTCAACAAAAGCAGGTTTGGTTTATTTGAATGATTTCATTAAATATCTACAAAGAAGGTAACAAACTGCAGCACAAAGCGCAATTGTACATGAAGCGCAATGCCTGGATTTAGTGCAAAACATACCATTAACTACGGCCAGGGAAGCCCAAGGTTTGAATTTCTTTTATTTTATTTTTACAGTGTACATTGTTAAATAATGTAAAGAAAACATCTGTAATTCAGGAACAGATCTTGTGGAAAAAAAAGGTATTCAAAAGTGTAATATTAACACAAAATAATTTAACAGTTCAGTAGCATTAGTTAATTCTTCTAGACCTCAGTTATTTAATCCACAGGAGGGAAATCAATGGTAAATAAAACCAGTATTTGCATAACTAAGTGAAAAACCCAACCTCAAACATATTAAACCAAAATACCATCCTCGTGCAACACTCAGCTGACCAATTCTAACCATGAAGTGGCACCTTTCATCACTGATTCTTTATACTTTCTGCATATTAATTCATTTCTTGTTTTGAAGAATGGGCCACAAACTCAGAAAGTAAAAGCTTCTCCATTAACAGTAGGAAGCCACAGCTTCCCCATATTCCGTCACAATGGGGACTTTAAAGTCGCAAAAGGGGTTGAAGCCCAACTACCTTATAGACTCCCGTCTTTCGCTTTCCAGCCACCATGCCGAGGCCTCCCTTCCTGACAAAAGCCACTCTAAACTTCAACTTGAGACAAAGGGATGGAAAGACAAACCTGTGCATATGTTTGAGGGTAGCGTGAACAAGTACAGAAATAACAAATTCCCTGCTAACCTTAAAGGAACTTTTTTTGGTGGGGAAAGGGGAGAGATTTTTCTTTTACTTAGTATACAAACTTTTAGACCAGCAGTAAAGCTACTCCCAAATACAAAATAGAAGTACTTTGACCCTTCACAGCCTGCTGCAGCAATACAGAGTAATACTAGTTGGTTGCAGTATGTCATTTGAATAGAGAACCTGTATGTCAAGTTAGAAACCGAGTTTGAGTGGAAAGTAGGCGATACAGCACACCTACTAGAAGGCAACATAGTTATAGTCTTGGTACCAAGTTTTAAGTCCTTTAGACTTTTAACAAAAACAAAGTTCTTTTTGATTCTGAGTGTTTCAAGTGTATCTGTCCTTGGCAATGAAACCCGCAACATGGAATATCTGTTTCTGCCCTTCCTAGGTAGAATTAAAGACAATGAAGAGCAAACCCCAGGAGACTTTTCACGCTCCCCCGAGTGATGAACTCCAGTTTCTGAACACATGTTGACCCTCCTAAAACCCTTTGTAGCTTTCAGTCAGCCTGCCCTTAAGAGCCGTCCTTTCAGACAAGCCTTTCTCCTTTCTTTCCCTCCCCCACCCACCCTCTCTCTGTTCACATTCAGCCCAGCTTTACTCTGGTTACACAACATGTCATCATTTCTGTACCCTCCACCAATATCCATTGCTGGTTTTCCCCCCACCTCTCTATAGCTTTACCTTTTCAACGTACAGCTGCAGTAGCTCCCCTCCAACACCTACTCTAGACACTGTTACAGTATAAGCATCCAATGTTTTAGGCCTTTGGTATTTCAGTGGCTATGTCCAAAATAACCTCCCTCTCTCCTTTCCCTCGGTCTGTCTAAAGTCTGCCGGGCAGGTGATGCTAACTGCAGAAGCAATAAAAAGTCCAAGGCACTAAAATATCCAGCAAGCATACTGGGAGAACAGACAAGTATTCAAGTACATTAATTTATACAATTATACATTCACATTTATCTAATACAATGAAAATAAAAAGGAAAAAAGTTAAAGTGTCTCCAATAAGTATCAGGATATAGCTAGCTTTTTTCCCATTTTTTCTTTTTTGACTGTTTAACCCTCTATACTCCACTCATTTTTTTTTAAACTACTGTTGTCCAACAACATTTATATATCACAGTGTTTCCACATCAAAACTGATGGTAAGTACATGTCCGCAGGGAACTTTTAATTATTATTTTTTTCTTCTAAACATTTTAAATTGCTCTAATGCTGCTGTCAAAGCTGTTAATATCTTTTCCTGAAAGCAGGAAAGACTTATCTCAAAGCATGGGCTATTCTGCATGTCCATCTGTGTGCTCACTCGTTCAGGAACTGTGATGGGATGCTTTGAAGGAAAGAATAGACAAGATGATGGAAAAATGGACAGCTTTCCCCCTGGGCTTAGTTCTTCCGAACAAGGCAAACGGAATACCAAGATTCATGCGAAGGCTAACAACTTTCTTCCCAACCCATAGGATCCAGCCTCTTAAGTCATGTGAATTTTACAGTCAGAGGCTGCTGACTTGCATGGTGATTTCCATCTCTATACATTCTGCCACATGCAAGAATTAGAGGAAGCATGTGCCGTCTTAGAGGATCCTGATCACGTTCTCCCCATCTTCCGAAAGGGGGGCTTTACTTACTGAGTGCAGAGAGCAATGGTTAGAGAGGGGCTTCCATCCCTTTTGGGCACAAAGAGCATAGCAGTTAATTCAGGCCCCAACTCCTGCCCAAAGGTCTACCCAGCAATGTGGCTGGGAATCACTAAGTGGTCCGCAGATTGGAGCCAGGGGGGTTGCTGATAGATTTCTGTAAGTTGCTGATGTTGAAGCTTTGTAATGAGGCAGTTCCTACAGGCTGGAACTGGTTTAAAGGCTGCTGTGCTGGACCACCCGTCCCGCTCCAGGGGGCTACAAAGGGCACTGCTGGATAACCAAACGGCTGAGGGGGACACATGGCCTTGGTGAAGTGGCCTAGGGAGGTAGCTGATGCTGCAGAGATAGGGGTAGCACCAAGAGAGGACGTCATCGAGATGCAGAGTTGGCTTGGTGCAGAGAACTTCCTTGCCATTCCTGGACCCTAAAACAAACAAAAACAACTGAAATCAATCCCAAATCAAGCTACCTGAGAGTTGCTAAACAAACTTCTTTCATCAACTCTATCCAAGCATGACCCCAAAAAGTAACTAAGGCACTTAGGCAGTGCTGCTTAAATGTGGGTGAAGCCTTTTGAATTTCCATCATTTCTGCAGAAATACGACCTAAATGTAATCTGTTTATTTGTACAAGTCCTAAAATTACACAAAAAGAACCACATTACATAGTCGAAAACATATTTGTTCACTGATTTATTGGGGAAAATGATCCAAAGCTAAATATTTGTATGTGGTAAAAGTGTATGAAACTTTGCTTTCAGTAACTGGTGTGCCCTCCTTGGTCAGTAATAATTGCAACAAAACGATTTCTGCTAACAGCTGATCAGTCCTGCACATCAGCCTGGAGGAATTTTAGTCTGTTCCTCTTTTACAGAACAGCTTCAACTAAGGGATGTTGGTGGACTTCCTTGCATGAACTGCATGCTTCAGGTCTTTCTGCAATATTTCTATAGGATTATGGTCAGGACTTTTGACTTGGCCATTTCAAAACCTTTAACTTTCTTCTACTTGAACCTGTCAGCCCCAGACCTGCAACGGACCTTGGGGCCACTATTTGTGTGAGGATCGCCGTTCCGCTGCTGCACGCTTCTGCCGATGACCCTTCCTCTGTGCCTGCTCTGCTGGGCCGTCAGTCTCGAGGCATGCCTCTCACTTCGACTCCCTAGCCGCATGCTAGATGACTTCAGAGGCATGCACTGAGGCAATTTCTCACCATCCATCACATTAAGGAAAGACGGAGCAGCGCGGAACTGGAGCGGTGGATTGCGGAGGGAGAGGGAGGATATGGGTTAATTGGATAATTGAGTGATTGCACTGGGGTGGAGCTGTATGCTGCTTAAAGGGTGATGGAAAGCACGGAGCGTCAGCTTCAACAAAGATTCCTTTAACACTTTAAGGTGGTCAGTTAATACTGATATCAGGATAAACAAACTTGGTTACTGCTTTTGTGTGCTGCGGTTTTTTTTTTTTTCCCATACTTTACGGAACCTGACAGAACCATTCTTTGGTCCTACAACTGTGTGGTTTGGCTCACTGTCTTGCTGCGTGACTCACTTTCACTTGAGTTTCATTTCATAGCTAGATACCCTGACATTTTCCTGTAGAATTTGCCAGTAGAATTCAGAATTTACGCTTCTCTCAAGCCGTCCTGGTCCAGAAGCAACAAAGCGGACCCAAATCACAATCCTGTCACTCGCCTGTTTCACAGATGGGATAATGTTCTTATGCTGGAATGCAGTGTTTGCCTTTCGCCAAACATAACACTTTTCATTCAAGCCAAGTTACATTATGGTCTCATCTGTTCATGGAACATTTGTTCCAATAGCCTTCTGGCTTATTCGCATCGTCTTTCACAAAATGTAGACTGGCAGCAGTGTTCTTTTTAGAGAGTAGTGGCTTTTTCCTTGCAGTCCCACCATGCACACCACTGGTGTTGAGTGCTGTCCTGATGATGGTGGTTCTCACAAAGGCCGACATTTGCAAATGCAAGAAAGGCCTTTGGTTCCTTAGATGTTACCCCTTGAAACCTCTCAGAATATTATATATTTTGCTCTTGGTGCGATCTTGGTTGATCTCTTCTGGGGAAGGCAACAATGCTGTCAAATTGCCTTTATTTGTGCATAATCTGCCTGACAGTGGACTCCAAACTCTCTGGAAATAGTTTTTTTTTTAATCTTTTCCAATCATGACACACTTCTGCATCGTTCTGTACTGAAGATCAGACTTTTGATTCTTTATTCTTTAAATAAAGGAGGGATTCCCATGTTAATACCTAATTATCATCCCATGGATTGAAACACCTAGTTCTTAATTTCTCCTTCAAATGCACTGATAATCCTAGAGGTTCATGTACTTTTGCCTCACACAAATATGTGGTTTTGGATAATTTTCCTTAATAAATAATCAAATTAATACGTTTTTCACTCATTTGTTTAATTAAGTTCTTATTATCTAGCTTTAGGAATTGAGTGGAGATGAGATCACGTTTTAGGTTATATTTATCCAGAAATATTGAATATTCAAAGGGGTTCACAAACTTTTAAGCACCATTGCAGTATTAATTCTTCTTCTTTATCATCATCATCATCCTAGCTATTGTCTCTCCACTGCAGGATGAAGACCTCTTCCGCATGTTCCCAACCAATACAGTACTGAGCTTCCCTTTGCCAGTTGGGCCAGCAATACTTGCTTATGTCATCGATCTGTCTTGTTTTAGGTCTCTTTCGTAGGCGCTTTTTATCAAGTGAGGTCCATTCTATGACTGACTTGGTCCACCTGCCATCAGTTCTTTTTACTGTGTGACCAAAATTCTCTTTGGGGAAGATGGATGGCTATTTAAATTTGATCAATTAATTGAAATCAATCAATCAATCAAATTTATCTTCAATCTTCCCCAACGAGAATTGTTGATGGCACATAACAATTAAAAAAAACCAGCCAATATAAAACTAATAGAAATCTAAAAAGTCGCAGTTATAAATAGAATAAAAACCAAAATATTAAACTTGCCTCGTAATTGCCATGTCCTTTGCCTCCTTTCTTGCCAGACAGATTCATAGCGTCACGAGCCCAGTTGTCCACTAGTTTGTGCAGATCATCAGTAAAGGTTCCTTTCCGACTAGAGGCAGGGGGCTGAGACTGGGGTGCCTGGTTGTTTACTGTACCTCCAACAGTGTTTATACTGCTGGTCCCTAGAAAAAGGAAAGCAGCTATCATTTAAATTTGATTGAAACAGAATTCCCTGGAGGCCATCAAGAGTTACAATGCAAAATAAGAGCAAAAATTTAAAAAGCCATGCATATGAAGTCTACTTGGACATAATGAAAAGGAAGGATTTTAGAGCTCAGCTAGCAGTTTTTCTGCTATTAAGTTAATTATGTAATTGTATGTTATTTTTCAAATCAGTGGGTGGTCTGCAAAGTTGCCGTTTTCCACAGACAAGTGGATTAACATTGGGCATTAATAACCAGGCTGCCGGGAAGTTTTCTCCCAATTGTCTACAAGCACCTATTATGCTCAGTTAACCCATTTGCCAACCCACTCAGTTCAATACCAAGAAATTGTATATTCATCAGGATAACCACTCTGTTCTGCAGATGGACAATCTGAAACCTCAAGAACACATTACTGGAAAGAAACACTTGTGTTACTGGCAGTAATCATGAAACAAAATTGTACTAAGAGCCCAGCACCAAAGATGACATATGACAAACAATCTCCTTTGCTTCAAAGTGAGAGGCGGCTTCCAGAGAAGCCTGCATATTTAGTTCCAAAGGGTTCATACCATGGGACAGAATGATCTCAATACATCTAAAAAGAGAGGCACAAGGAAAAAATAAAAAAAATAAAAAATATGGCACTTGCTAGAATCAGATCATAAGAATAAAGAAAATTCCAATATATCCATGGGTGTATGCCAAAGGCTTTCCAAGTGGCAAATCTGCTGAAATGATTTGGAAAAGTATTATTGCTTGTAATAGTTAGCTGAATAGCAAAAGCGTCAACACAAGTCTTCAATGTGCTATGAAAAAAAATCACCCATAACCAAAACAGATATGTTCATCAATTTATAAAACAGAATCTGAACCCAGGAGGGTCACTGTATAGGTCTGTACAGGACATCTAATGTGGAAAAATTTGCAGTATAAGTCAATTAGCATACTGATCCTAAATAACCCCTAGTCATGTGAAGAAAACTTCAAAGCACAACAGAACAGTATGAAAGTACTCCCAATACTGCTGTTTAAAAAAAGTACTGGAATCTAAGTTTTATTTTAAAAAGTCTGGAAGGCATGAAGAATTTGAGCAGCACTTTGGATCTGAGAGCAAAGAGGTGCTTTGGAGCTTGCAGGGGCATACGTGTTACACTTGTGTGCAGCCACATGCATCTTCAGTGGGAGGCAAGACTGACAAGTGACAAAACAGGCAATGTGTGTTAAGCTTAAACTTTGCAACTTTCACACTTATACCCAATGTTGGGGTTACAAGCAAAAAAGGCCAGGTTTACACTGGGATGCTACTCTGTGTGTGTGTCATAATGAATGGCATGGATTACATATGCCTACAATTCCATAGCCAAACATCTTTTCCTGGGATTGCTATGTTCTATGGGCAGGACCCCATGTAATCCTAAGCACTTTTGCCTTCAGATTCAAACTGCTGCACAATCTTAGTCTCTGTGGCATCGTATTATTATCACAACTGGATCCTGTTGCTTAGAAACTAATAGCTAAAGGTTACAGACAGTAATAACTGGATTCTGGATCCCTAGACCTGATAAAAATGCAAGCAGAGAAATAAAAGTCCTTATTTGTGGTAACAGTGAGGCAAGGTGTTACTGCACTGTGAAATACTGTACAAGCAAGCAAGGTGACTAACTAAGATGACATAAGAGGTAACCGTCTCCCCCAAACTGAACAGACAGAAGGGGGTAAACATGCAAACAAGAAAGTGAAAAAAAAAAAAGAATCCTTTGCCCAGGTGAGAGAAATGAATATAGTATTGAATCACTGTTACTGTGTAACATGCCAAGGAACAATATTTGATACAATAAGAGACGCAGGCTGTAACACGGGCATAAGTCTAATTGAAAAACAGCCAGACACATACCAGCACAGGTAACACACAATAGTGAAGAAAAGAAAACCACCTTCACATCATGCCTAAAAGCATTGTCATCAGTTTCATGCAGGGACTAGAAGATATTCTTCAGCCCCTTCCTGATGGCCATAAAAGATACATTGCTAGGTAGTGCCTACAAGACATTGGGGTAAGTTGATGGTGTGAATTCTCAGGTGTGACTAATCTTTCACTTTCACTGGCTGCTCAGCATGCACCCAATTGCCTCGGAAACGCTCTAAGATAATTAAATAAGAAGGATTTATACCATATAAAAAATGACCTCAATTGTTAAAAGTAATCAATTTTTAATCTGTTAAAGCAGCCATCAAGAAGAGTCTGACAAGAATGTGGATCAGTGTCAATTAAAAAAAAACAAACAACCTCCCCTCAATCTTGCTCAGTCACAGCAAATATTACAGAATTTTGGCTCTTATCTTTAAAGAATAAATGGAGCTCTTTCCCTCCATGGCTACATCACTGCATTCAACCTCTTGAATCTCTCTCCTTCTTAACCCTGCCAAAGTGCTTCACTTCATCTACAGGAAGTCCTCAAATTATAACAATTGGGACCAGAATTTCTGTTGCTAAACAAGGTGGTTGCTAAGTGAGTCTCGCCCAATTTTGCAACCTTTTTTGACATGCTTGTTAAGGGAATCATTGCAGTTGTTAAATGGCTCAGGCGATCATTAAGAGAACATGGTTTCCTTCATTGACTTGAAGCTGGCTGGGAAGGTCACAGATGGTGATCACATGAATCCGGGACTCTGCAATCATCATAAATATATGCCAGTTGTTAAGCACCCAAATTTTGACCATGTGACCTTGTGGATGCTGTGATGGTGGTAAGAGCAAGGACCGGTTCTAAGTTACTTTTTTCGGTCTCATTGTAACTTTGAATGGTTGCTAAATGAATGGTCATAAGTCGAGAAATACTTGTACCGACACTTTTTCTTATGCTGTAGGGCAGGGTGTCAAACTGGATTTCTTCAAGGGCTTGATCAGCATTTTAGTTCTCCTCCATGGGCCGGCTGGGGGAGGGTGAGACAGGACAGAGGCCTCCTGCAGCACACTGCCAGCCAAAACGGGGCACAGAAGCCCCCCGCACCCCATTTTGGCTGCCAGAGGCACCATGGGCCAGTCCTTTGCTATTTGCAGGCCGCCCTCGCGGGCCAGATTTAAGCACCCCACGGACCTTGAGTTTGACACCCTTGCTGTAGGGTCACCCTGAGGTCTTTTGTTTGCTTGCTAGTGGTCCTTTAAGATATGGATAGCATACTGGTCATATGCAGCTGAATCATTGCTTGCAGAAACCCCCTTTTGACATAATTATTACAACCAAATTGTTTTCAAAAAGGGAATGTGCCTTCTAATATGATATGAAAATTACTAAAGCCAATATATGCTAGAGCCTCATGATTAATCTCCAAGAAGTACATCATTAAGTGATGATCAAAGTCGTTCTTTGTAGTAGTAACAGGGTGCCTAGATCTACTTCTGCAGTAATGCAGAAATACATATTATTAGAAGGAACAAAGGCATATAAAGAACAGATGCTGTGCTTAAGACAGATTCAGGGAGGTTAAACTGTATGGCCTTGAACAAAACAACATAGTTTAGCAATCAGAATTCAGAGGTAACTAAAAATGAAATAATTACTACAGAGCTGGTTGCAAGGACAGACTTTTTTCACCATCTTCCCTAAAGCACAAAGAGAAAGCAATTGGTTAAAGAGAAACAGTGAGAAACACAGTATTAGCAAATAGCATAAAGCACCCGATGATAAAGTAGGAAAACACAACAGGTTATCATCCCTTGATGACACTGCTTTTAATTCTTGAGTGGCCTTACAGCATGACGACTTTCAAGTAGAGAAAGAGCTACAATAGATCAATTTAAGTACATACTTGTTTAGAATTTCTCAAGTACACTACGGCAGTGAGCTTTTTTTTTTATAATATAGGGTAATTTCAATTAGTTTTTCGATTATCTGAACTGAATTCAATATTCTAAGTTTTCCTCTTATGTTTAATCGACTTCAAAAAGAGTAACAATAAATAAACCCACCAGGGGCTATTTGCTGTTTTTATTGTAACTGATACAACGATTGGCTGATTTATATTTGTGTGAAAGCCGCCTTGAGTTGCCATGGGCGAGTAGGTGGCAATATTTTCTAAAATAAAATAAAATAAAATAAATGTAGTCAATTTCATTTTTCCTAGGAGGTCAGTGCCATCCAAAGTAAGAAGGAACCTGTTGAACCTTTTCTACTTTTACGTCAAGTGTATAAAGACATGTGTTATTTGCAACAGAGGTTATCAGCCTCATATTTGCTATTAAGGACCTTTTTCCCTATACAATCTATTGACAAAAAAGACAGGCCTCAGGAAAACAGAAAACCTGTTAAAAATTGAGTAAAGCCAAGCCATGCTTCCACAAGCATTGCCAAGTTTTAGGGGACAGCAGAAATCAAGTGATGCCAAACTGAAGGCATTATACATTTCCATTATTTTTAGGCTCCCCAAACCTTTCCCCCATATGGCTCATAGTTCACAGAATATTTTATGTACCAAAAAACTCCCGATAAAAATCCCATGGAGCAATTTATACATGTGAATTAGCCACATCCTTGCTATTAATTATCCTCAAAGTAACTAATGTTTTGTGAAATTTTTCTTTTACTGCAATTTAGTATTAATAACTTTTTTTCAGTCTTGGCTAAATCACCATTTAACAGATCATGTCCGGGCTCAGAAACTAAGGCATATAAAATTCAATTACTGATTGAGGAAACTTTCCTCTAAAATCAATTCAAGGGAAGAAATACTTTTGCCCCAATTCCATGCATGAACATCTGTCCACACATCACTCATATGATGAGAAGACAGGATCGTAATACCTGTAAATTAAACTAGCCATATCTTTATGCAACTTGTAAATCAGCTCTAGCCTTCCTAAATTTTTCTAAATCATGGTAGATCAGGTGTTTTCCCTAGTTTCTAACTGAACTGTGAGTAGTCGGCTACATTATGTTCAGGGGAAATTATCTTCTTGATCTGAAGCACATCAATGGAAAAATCTTTGTACCATTTCTCCCGGGGCAGATATATCCCCCTAATCTTACTGAACTGCTATTGTGTTCAGTCAGTGCTATATTCATACCTGTGCATGCTTGTTTGCCTGAGTTGACAAAAATAAGCCCAGACAGATGAACCACAATTTGTTCACTTCAGAGTTGTGTGAATTAGTTTCTCATGTTCAGCACAGCTGTCATGTCCACTAGGAAAGGGGTAAGCACCTCTCTGTCTGGCATTATCTTATTCCTGGCCATTATTTCTCTATACACTACAGGGAAATTTAAAGGCCTAGGTAAGGAATCCTAAGGTTGTCTCCTTGTAATCTGAAGGATCACATGAAACCACTACTACCACCAGAACCTTTTAGCTGAGCAGCAGGGTAACAATTTCAGAACACTGTTTTCTGCAAGCTACACTTCTCAGCCAAGCCCTAAGGTCAGAGAGATACAAGAAGGCAGATGTAAATGGACAGCATGTGATAACAGATCCAAGTAGCCAAAAACAAAAAGACGAGGAAGGAGTAAAGGTGTTACACACAAAGAGCCAAGCAGGGCGTACTCAGAAATCGGGTCCTCCTGCCACCAGGCTTGAATGTCACCCGCTCAGATGCACAGTTAAACTTCACACAGCCTGTGATAAAACAAAAAACAGAAAAAAGGGGCGAAGAACAAGGACAGGAGATAGAACACAACTACAAGATGTTAGAGAACTCTAGGCTGGACTGGTGAAATGCATTAGCAAGACACAGGAGAAAGAACCTCAACCAATTGACAGCTTTACACAAGACACAGGAAACCAGGATCTTTCTCCCCACCCACCCACTCCACCCCCACCCCCACATAATCACGTCTCCAATACCATGTTGTTTCTGATACCAGAACACAACTATTTTAATCCAACTGCATGCCACAAGGAATATATATTATAGCAACGGCACATTAAGACATAATATTGTGCAATTTGAAAGATATGTAAGGTTTAAATCAGTATGCTCCAATGACTTGCTTTCTATGGTTTGGAAGGAGCCCTGACTATTACATTGCATCATTTCATTCTTCCTTATTTCATCCTTATTTCACATGCCTGATCTGTTTATACAATGAAACTGTACACTTATTTATAAGGGGGGAATCAATGATCAGAGTGCACTGTACAAATCTTCCAGAAAACTTAGGTTTCAAACAAGTATAGTGGGACGGACAAGTCGATCTCTCTTATTTTGGCTAAACCTTCCTTGCAGCCATCTGCCTTACGTTTTACTCCTCCACCCTCACCTCTCAATCATCTCTCTTAAATTTTATTTGTCAGGGTATGCCGGGCTCTAGGAATCTTGTCATCCTCTGACACAGGCAGATAAGCCCCACTGAAACTCCATACGACTGATACTCATCTACAATGTTTACCTTGGCCTGGTGCAGAAAGGCTTGGAACAGAAATGGCCCCATCACTAGTAAAAGCTGAATAGAGATTTTCACTAGAAGGAGATGGCTTCAGTGGCTGTAACAGATGGTTCTGTCCTGTTTCAGGGACACTACCAGGAGGGTGCAGGGTCTGCTGCTGGGGTAGAACTGAAGGGGCACTCTGAGCAGACAGGTTTCCTGTGCAGGGACAGAGGAGAGCAGAAGTTAAGGCATTGGTTAACATAGTGAAGCCTTTGCTTTCCAATCCTACTACGTCGTGTTAAAATCCAGTCATGATCTCTAATGACAGATAGGGGTTTGCATTAGCTATTAATTAAGGCTGAAACTACAAGAGTAAAATTCGTTGAGAAACCATTGATCTCTAGTTAGAAGGTTATGGTTGCAAATGAACATTCAAGTGTTCACATATGATTAGTCGTTACTGGTGTTAAGACATCAGGCTAGAAATAAGGAGACCATGAATTCTAGTCCCGCTTTAGGCACAAAGGCAACTAGGTGACCTTGGGCCATTCAATTTTTCTCAGTGTAAAAAAACCTTGCCAAGAAAACTGCAGGGACCTTTCCATGCAGCCTCTGAGAATCAGACGATTGAATGGAATTTTTTAAAAAAAGGTTAACAAAGCACCATTGTTGTCTTCACATGACATGACTCATTTTTACTACGTAGATCAGGAGTTGTGAATCTCTAGCCCATAGACCTAGAAAGTGAGATTGAAGGACCCACAGATAGTCCTCAATTTATGACTGATTGCTTAACAACTGTTTGAGGTTACGATGGACTTGGAAAAAAAGCTACTCACAACTTGTCCTTGAAATTATTACTGCTGCCGCACTCTGTGGTTATATGGTCACATTTGGGGCATTTGGCAACTGACTCACATTTACGATTGGTTGCAGCATCCAGTTGTCATATAATAGTAAATTAGGATAGGGCTCGCAAAATTGCCCATTGGATAAGTTAAATTTATGATCACATGATTTGCTTAACAACTATGTGACTCGCTTAATGATCACAGTTGATTTAACCACCACTGTAAAAACAGCCATAAAATTGAATTCAGTCACATGGTCTCTACAGACACCACAGAAATAAGTAGGGGAAGAGTTAGGTACAGTTGAGCTACTTCAGCAAAGCCTTTACTGAGAATTCTGGATAGTCAAGACACCTAAGTTAAGGAGGTGAGTTACTTGAAGTATGATAAAATAAGTGGCCAATTGTAAGAAAATAACTGTCCCTCCGTGAGGGAGATGGGTGATTAATAAGTTTGGTGTGTGTGTGCGTGTGCGTGCACATACATGCACATGTAAAGTGGTTTGGCTGAAACAAAATTGAAACTGTAGCAAATTAAATGGACATAACCCGGGCCACCAATACAAAAATGAAAACTCCTTTGACTCAGTGTCGAATCAACTGCACCAAGTACGACGTTTCCCACATTTTTACAAATCTTACCCAAAATCTGTGGACTCTTATTACCCTGGGAACTGCTGCGACTGGACCTGCTGCTTTTTCCTTTAGTAGGTCTTCTTCTCCTGCCTGAGAGAGGAGCAGCAGGAGGGATGATTACTGCTGGAGGTACTTTGCCCAACCTTGTGTAAAGGAGTTCAATCTCCAGCTTTTGACGACTCTGAAGTTCCTGGATCTCTTTAAGGTGCCTGCAAAATGGAACGATGGCATACTTATATATTTGTGAGTCCTTTACATAATACCTTACCAAGTCCTAGACCAATGTACCACTTCAGTGGGTACAATAATGGGGAATTGAAAGGAGACCCCAACTGGGCATCCCCCAGTGATGTCCCCGGCTAATCCTTTCAACCCAGAAGCGTCTGAGGTACTTCTGACACAAATGCGAGTGTGTGCTGCTTATTTTGGTTTGAAGTTTTGTTAACTGCTGTAAGTGCTTGCCTTAGAGCAAGCCCTAGAGATAATTCAAACAAAATTCATACAGAAAATAAATTTCATCTGGAGAGCTTTAGCTATAAGCCATATAGACAGAAGGTTCTTACCCCCTTGACTATTTAAAAATAAATAAATAATTAAAAAAAAAATAAACAGGTTAAAAGATGTTGCAAGTCAAAGAATCAGACTATTGCATCATTTTTATTTGCAGAAATTCTTGTGAGCCCAGCAAAAATTTCTTGGATTGTTAATGAGCATCCCAGAGACTAGCTTGCCTTCTGGTTAATGGTTTGCAATTGCCAAGGTAATCATGGAAGTTTTATAATTAGGCGAGTCTCCCATGATAGCCATTTTGTGAGTGTGCCCATTACAAACACTCAAAATTCCAACCATGCTCAGCCCTAAAAGTTATTTACTCTTGCATCGGATAAAGAAAACCGATTCAGAGATGGAGTATTTCTTCTCACCGGTTACCATAAACCTGCCTGAAAACTTACTTTTCCCGCAGTTGACGCAGCTCACACTTCAAATCTTCATCTTCTATGTCTGACTCATTATCGCTGCTCATGTAGGAAGAGTTGAATGAGTTGCTGAGACTCTGGACTGGAAGACTGATTTTTGAGGCTGGAGGGTGGATCGAATCAGGACTCCCTGAACCATCATCTAACTCTTTAGCTGCACCGCTCAGGAAAGCAGCTTCCAATTCAGAGGATGGCCCATTCAGATGCAGAGATGGCCTTCTCTCTGCAAATTCTGATTTAGGAGTTGTAAGTGGAGAAGAAACTTGCTCAGAGTCCATGGACAAAGGGACCACTTCAGGAACTTCTCTCTCTAGGCAGGTTACCTCATCTTGAGTTCTAGATACAGAAAAGCGACCAACTTGGTCTGTCGTTGTTGTCACCTGGAAACGTCCAACCTTGGTTGGCTGCAAATGAACGGTGGGAGAGAGCGCACCATCTACTGCATCCACTGAAGTAATAGGGATATTATCTGCTGTCCCACTGGAGCTTTGCTTCACGAGAGTACTTTCTGGACTGCTGCTAGACAAAGATGAGGATTCTGAGGTTGTTGTATCAAAGTGCTTGGGTTTACTTTCGCTGTCTTTCTGATCATCTACAGCCACTGACACCTAATTGTAACAGAGATATTATTAATTCAGTTTAGTTGTAGAAACACATAAAGTGTATAGTGTTTTAGGTCCTTGCACTGAAACAATGACAATATACATTTTATGTTGTGAAAGAAATATGGAGAGAAATGAAGCAGAATTTGCTTGTTTCTATTGTAGAAAGAAGGGGAATTAATAAGAGGGCCTAAGAGATGCGCCAAAAGCTTAATGGAAAAAGCCATGACCATTTTAAATATACTTTCCCCTTTACCGATACTTAGTTAAAAAGCCAACCATTACATTGGACTATTCATTGATAAAATGATCACTCTTCAATACCAGTCACAAAATTAAAAAAATCAACACCTGATCAGAGCTGTGGTATTGGGCTGTTTTTCCTATTTTAAGTGTTACAGTAATGTTTAGCAAGACACTGTTCCTGATCCTGAACTATGAATCTCAGCCAATTTTAAGAGACAATGGAGGATCATAATTTCCCACTACCAGCTTGTACAATAGTGGTGTTAATGTTCTACCTAGTCCGTCTATAACAGAAACAGAAATAATTATTTCACCTCAGCGTTCTTCTTTGGAAATCTTACTTTTGGCTTTTCCTTTTTAAAATGGATGTTTATATTATTTTAAAGACTTTTCCACTTTTCTGGAAACAGAATGCCTGGTTGAAGAATTGTATGCTCATGTAGTAAACCACTATTCTGAGGAATATTTATGGCCAATTGCTAGCAATTAACGATCACAGAAACCTTCATAGAAAATAACATGAAGAGAAAGTGATGGAATTTTATGTGTCTTCTCTAAAATTTCATTCCTATGCAATTGGGAAACCCTTGGCACAAGGTAATTTACCAGGGGAATGTGCCTCTAGTGTTTGGTATTGGTGTTGCATTCTGGCTCCATGTTCTCTAGCTCACTGCCCGACCAATGGACCCTCAGAGACCCAGGCTTTTGGCTGTTGCTACTGAATGCCAAGTCAGTTTGTAATACAGCTTCCCTCACCCATGATTTCAGTTAGTCAACTAATGGATTCCATGGGTTTCAGAGGGCTATTTGGGTCATTGCTGAAGATATGGTGCATGTTCCAACCAACTGAGACTTTGAATCGGATTGTGTCTATGTGGCTCTTTCTACTTTTTGCTATTGTTTTAAAGCTTTCTTAACGGCTCAGTCACATTCATGAGACGGGCAGCCATATAAATTGGTCAAGGATCACAAACACAGTCAGCACAACAGAAACTAAATTCGGAATACTTTTGGACTAAAATTAATCCTATTCTGATCCAACTACTGCTGGGTTGTCCTGTTTACACAATATGTTAACCTCCCCTTTACCTATTTATTGTACCAGGTGAACACAATCATTATAAAGTTTGAAAATGCTCAAAGGGAAGAAGACTGCAAGATCAAAGATTGTGTGGGTATTGGTTTCTTAGTAGGCATAATGTCTTATGAAAGGGCTTGTCTAACATCCAACTAAATAACTAGAAATTAGCTGAGCAGCAATTTAGGAAATTGCTATCTACCTAAGGCAAATCAGCAGAAAACTTGGAAAAAAACAGGCTGAGGCAAAAACATCAATTCCTGAAGAAAAGAGGCTGAAATTATGGCCAGAGCAATATGACTTGAGAATAGCAAAATCCCCACCAACATTAAGTAGGCTGGTCCTAATGCGACCCCAACAGATAATGGCATAATAGTCATGAAACAGAAAAGAAATCGATAACTTATATGAGTGTTCTTGGAAGAAATTTATTTTACCACAATTATTATGAAACTCTATCTCTAATGGGGGATGGGGGGGTAGTGTAAGGCCAAGATAGTGAACAGGAATTATAAGAAAATAACTTGATGTTGTGGGGGAAATGTAGTGGGAAATTCCAGGAAGAGCATTCTGCCTGACATTTTATTGAGGCACAATTGAGGTCATTTCCACACAATTGTATATAGTTTTTCTTCTGTTCATATAAGCAACAAAATAACTGAACAAGCAGGCATCAACATATCTAAGCAAATGTACATCAGAACATTTTTTTTTTTTGGCTACAATAAAGTTACAATGTTTGAATCTTTTCAACTTACCTGTAATTATGCCATCTTTGCCCTCACAGTAAACATCCAAATTAAAAACCCTTCCGTTTTTGAGAGAGGCAGAAAGCCATGGGTTTTTAAAGGCTGGAAGAAGGTTTGGGATGGGATGAAATCGTCCCCTTTTCTGGCTTCGTTTCTAATTATAACTTTCTTGGCAGTGGTGATAAGCTCTAATACCACCCGCTTGTCTATGATAAACCCATCTGTAAAAAAGGAGTAATCAACACTCCATGCTAATACCTGAAAACGACCCATCTTAAGAACTGCAACTCCGGAGGTGCTGCTTGTGGCACTGCTCTCTGCATCCTGAGAACCTGAAACATCAAATGGAAAGAGAACATGAGAATGAGACACAGGTCTCTATCCCTTAACACTGGAAAATAAATACTCTGAGGAAAAAAAAAATCCATTGAAAATATTTAGCTATATCAAGTTAAGTCAGTCAATGATGACATTATTGAACTTGATAGGCCAAGATTCAAACTCCATACAGCAGTTTGTTATGTTCCTATGTTCCATTATGAAATCTAACAAGCTTTTATTTTTGGACATCTTTTAATACTGCATGAACCTCAAAAATTTACAACTGGAGGATGATGAACGATTTGAGGGAGGTGACACTTGTTTTGGACAAGCCAGACAGGGAGTCCAGTTCTGCATTTGCAAACAATGGTGTCCGTGGGTGGATCAGAAGAGGCAAGCTGGCAGAGGTGACACTGCAAATGAAAAGGCTGCCCCTTTTGTACATATGTGCACCAATGTTGCTCTTAGATGCCTTTCCTTCTTTGCCACCTGCCTGACAGCAACACTGGCCACCACTCCCACATCACCTCATCCAGCCTCTCTTTCTCTGAAAGCTGTTTGTTGTCCTTATACTCCTTCTCATTGGCTTTGCTCTGCTCACCCCAGCTGAAGGAGGAGGGACGCAGGATAGTTGAGAATGGAGTCACTTGGGGCTGCCCAGAATTCCCAGGCATCAGGCACAAGTATGAGTGGCTGTTTTAGAAAGAGCACAGGATGGAAACAGCGTTTCAGGGCAAACCTGGTGAACCTGGAATTGAAGGGGACTGTTCCTCCTAATTCAAAAGGGAGATGAATGTTGTTCTTTCCAAGGCAGCAGGAACAAGAGAGGTGTGCTCTCTACTAGCCATATTTTGCTGAAAGGCCAAAACAAAGAAACTTTGGGTCTCTCCAACTAGGACTTCTCCTTACCTAACCTATTAGCCAGGAGCTATCCCCAGATATGGAGCCCTAATGATATACTGGCCCTTTCCCTTTCTGATGTCATTTTTCTCTCTTCTCAAGTCCACTTTATCCAAACTGCTGGTCTGGGTTTCAAGCTAATTAATTTTCCCTACAGTACCTTATGAGGTGGTTGAAACTGGGCAAAGGACCCTGGAGAATGGATGCCAGTTTCTCATCTCAGCCATGGGTCAGATGAAAGGGTCTAGGGATGCTTGTGGCAGGTTCCAAAATACTTACTACTCTTTCTATCCAAACCTGGAGACACAGTGGGCATAGAATTGCCTTGTGCCTTGTATTTCATCGACTCCCATTACAGGTTAGGTACAGGTTAGGCTGTCACAGGCTGTCCTGGTGTTGGCAAGCTTGCCTATATGGGAAGGGCTACTACCTATCCTACTGGCTAAATTAATCCAAGAGGGCTCCTGGGTACAGATAAGCACTAAACACTATCTCCATAAAGAGGAAGAGGGAACCTATCCAGATTACTCCAGAGTTTGAGAACCCATTTTAGCATATTATGGAATTATTAGCACAAATAATTCGTTGGATTCAATTCCAAAAACTTATTTTGAAGCACATGGAATATGAAAGCAGCATTTAAGAGTCATTTACTTAAAATAGCCAGAACTGTTTTCAAGATTCTGTATTTCTGTCAGATACTGCATTTTTTTCAGAACTGAATCCAAAGCATCTACAAACACATAATTAAAGCAAAGGAGAAAAGCCTGCTAACTACAAAATCACATTAAATTGAAAAATAATGCACTAATGTCACCATTTTATATATATACATTTGAACCTATGAATTAAAAAGAATATATATATATATATGTAGGTCTTTGGTTATTCGGGTCTTCTCCCACGTAAAATTGGAAGTGTCTTGGCGACGTTTCGACGAAGTCTCATTCATCATCTTTATGAACAAATTTTTATTTTTATTTTGTTCTTTTTAATTCATAGGTTCAAATGTATAATACTTTTTTAGTCAGGGTTTTTTTTCCTATGTAACTCAAGATGTTTATGTAGCCATAGTGGGGTGATATATACAATTTTTTTCTATCTATATAACTATAGATAACTCAAGCATTTTAAATAGCTAGGTAACTTTTTGTTCATTTATGATGTGAACAAATTCTAGAAGAAAATATTTTTGAAATTATAAACCTGTTACAAAGACTTCTCACCCTATTACAAAACAATTTTAAATAAAACATTCAGTTTCAGCAATGACGGAAGCATGCTTTCTACTTTCCAGAAATTGTTATAACCAGCGACTCTTACCAGAATCTGTGGGTTGTTCTGAGGTGGATACCATTCCAGTAACTGCTGAAGTTGCCACAGGTGGCACAGACTATAAAAACACAGCAAAAAAAAAAAAAAAAAAAGTTTGTTCTTTTTATTCTTTTGTAGGTTGGGACAATCATCAATATGTCATCATTCAATTGTCCCATCATTTTTCTTAAGATGCAGATACAAAAGCAAAGTACTTATGAATATCCGCTGTACTAGATTGACACCACTGGGAAATAGTTCAGCTAATTTCAATACTGAATGTTCCAGAATGTTTGTGCTACTGTAAAAAAGATTCACACCCCTTGTATTTGTCAAAGGGAAAGAACTCTGAGCAGATGTTGAACTGCATCATTTTAGACACAGTTATGACATGAGACAGTTAAGATGATGCCTGATATTGATGATGCTCGATATTGACTAGGTTCCATGTACATCTGACTTTGATTTCAAAAATAGAGATGCATAACAAGTTGAAAACTGCCATGGCACAAAGCAAAACTCAAGCACTTTGCAACTGTTTGTTTCCAAGAATCCCTTGGATTTTATATGAGCTTCCTGAGAAAATAAAAATGGTGGCCAGTGTTTTGGCAGAAACTGTATTTCTTATCAGAAAAAGGAAAATGCTGTATATGTCAATACAATTTGGGATTCTAAGAAAATGGTGGGGAAGATTTTTTGTTAGTTTGCGTCTTATAAATGATTGGGTTATAAGCATCCATACCCAATGTGGCACTAATTCCAAAGCAGTCCTTTCATTAAAGAAACCACAACAGATTCTCAATATTCTAAATGTGTTCATTGGCTGTAAAAGCAGACCTCACGTTCATTCAACCACCCAAAATAAACACCTAAAGATCCTCCACTGTTTTTGCTCTACCTGGTGATGATCAGAAAGAGGGAGGAGGTGCTAACAAAATTTTCTCATTTTGTTTCAGGGAGTGGGATGATTAAATGGAAGTATGTGCCTTAAGCCTTGCAGTCCTTTAAGATTCCTATTATTCCCCACCTTTGGGAAGGGGTGGCAACTAAAGTACATAGGCAAATATCCCATGGAAAGAATCAACTTACATTGGTGGAGAAGGGTTGGAATTTGTAAAGTACTGAAGACGCTTCATTAAACCTCTGCAACCCTTAAAGAACACATTTTAAAATTTTCATCCCCAACCCTGGAAGGAAAGTCAACAGGGCTGCAAATGGCATGCAAGAGGCCATATGTGGCCCATGGGCAATTCTAGAACATGAGACAAGCGAAACATAGCCAGCAAATCTGCTTAGCACTCTTAAATTTTCTGGAGAATTGGCATCAGGTCACAAGCATGTGAATATATTCAAGTTATTTTTGGTCAAAACCTACACATGCAGTTGTTGTAACCATCTCTGGACTTAGAGTTCTTCTCAACTGGGCATCCAGATCTTCCAGAGGTTGTTGGGACTAGAAGAAGGAAGAAATAATTAGACTTTGCTCCTTAAAAGCCTCCCAATACACATAAGTTCTTTAACATGCAATAAACATTTGAATAGTCATATCTTTATATCCACAAAACTATAGCTTTTTGTTCAAACATATTCAAAGGCATTTGGCATATGTATGAAGTCTCTAATTTTATATTCATTTATTGCTTCTGAGCTTCAGTTTGCTCATAGCAACCTTACTTGAAAAAATCTGGAAGTATATATTGCAAACACTAAAACAGAATATAGGTGTACACTAATAAGTCTACTGAGCCATTGTGACTGTTAAGATACAAACCTCACAGATCCTCTTTTTTCTGAGCGGATATAAATATGCCTACCCACTCCAGTATTTTTCATACTGCCATTTAGAAATTTCTCAACAACCATATTTTTGCATAATAAATGTGGATTAAATACAAATTATCTGTGGCAAATGCACAACTAAAATTACAATCACATCTACTTGATTCATATTTATTACATTAAGTAGTTAATGTAAATTGGTAATCCATGTGTACATATCAACTCTTGCTATATAGCACAATAATCGAAAAAGGGAATGGAACACCAATGCCATCTATTTCCTTCACACACTGGAAAACACCTTAACGATTTAGTTGATTCTTCGGGCTCAATCATTCAAAGGCCTATTAAGAAAGAATCTAAGTCTAATGATTCAGAGCCCTTTTCTCAATGTGCAGAGTGATGAGTTCAAAATCCAGTTACTACTATGTAGAATGCTATCTGTTTAACAAAGTAACAATTTTAATAAGTTATTTTTTATTGTACTTACAAGATCAAGTTTACATATAGATTTCAAGCATATCCAATTGTATTTTTATAACCCTTCTAACACTGTGTTATGAAGGAATAGTATTGAAAATAATTTAAAATAAACAGACTCTAGGTAAAGACACTTTATATAAATAAATCTTAAATTGTACAATTCAGAGTTTAGCAGTTTATTTGTTTGAATAGTCCCAAGCAGGACTATAGTAATACCGATTCTCAGAAAGCCAGCATATATTTAAGATTTGGTTTAACCATTAACTATATTTGGTTTAGCAAGCAGCAATTGACACATTAAAATTAACTTAACAAATATTGCACATCTCAATCACAACAGACAGTGTTTCCAACACAAGAGGCTACATGGCCCCCTCAAAAAATATCTTGCAATATAAATGTAATCATATATGACATTGCTTTTTATTTTTCTCTTTCTCTGTGTTTTGTGTATGTGTGTGTGAGAGAGACAGAGGGAGAGGGAGAGAGAGAGAGTGAGTGAGAATGAGAGGGAGAGAGAGAGAGAGCGAGAGAGAGAGGGAGATCCTGCCTTTCTTCTAAAAGCCTGAAGCCATTTCCATAGGAATTGTCCTTATTTCTGTCAGTGCAGCAGCAACCACATGAGGTAGGTTGCCCCAAGAGAGTGGCTGGCCCAAAGTGACTCAGTTGGTCTCTATTACTGAGTGTGAATTTTAACCCTCTCTAGTTCTTGCCCAACATCTTAGTCATGCTAACTCTAAAATGATATATCCACATAGTCCTCTCCAGCATTAGTTAATGTAGATACTGTATCTAACAACAGTTTTCAGCGGATGAAAGTGCATGTTCAACCTTGACTGGGCTTCCAAACGTAAGTTGAGTTAGGGCTGGTTAGTATTTGGATGGGAGACAAGAACTGTAGACTACACAGGAAAATCAAAAAGAATAACGAAGCAATAATAAACCACTTCTGTATCCCATCAGGATAACTGTCATAACACTTCTGTATCCCATCAGGATAACTGTCATAACTCATCTATGATCCCTCCAATTCCTATAATCAAGATCCACAGAACTCAAAAGACTCATACCGTTATATACTGATCAGCAGGCTTTGAAGATAATACTTCCTATAAAAACATTGCTTTTAAATGCCCCAAAGATTTCTAGCTGACTATTTATCAAAAACAGGGACATTGTATTTTCATCTCAATTCCTTGAAGTGGTCCCCATTACCAACTAAACATGAAGCACCAGGACTTTATTGACTGGCTGTACTTTTTTTTTAAAGGGAAAAAAATACATCTCACAAACTAATTACACGTCAAATGTCAGAACACATTTAAAAGGAATTATGCACTGATATCAAGGAAGCTTGATATCTTTAAACCAGTTAACAGAAAAGTTCAGCAGCTATTTTGTATTGGGAGGGAGAGGGACTGAAAATAGAAATACCTTTAAATAAGAAGTCTCTCTATTATTAAGTGAGATTATGCAAGAAAAAGTTGCCCAGTTAATAAGAGAAGGTGTAGGAAGAATTATCATGCAATAGAGTTTAATTGAAGCATGCTCATTGAAAGAAAAAACAGAAGAAGCAGATAGCCGTAGAGCACCTGAGTTAGTGTAGGTCCCGGAAAGGGTGGCGGCTGCTCACTGGGTAGAGCACCAGTTGGAAGTTCAGAACCTACTGGTAGTGCCTATGGATAGACATGAAATTAAAGTTTAGTGACAGAAGCAAAAAATTAAACTTCACATGGAACCAAAGTATTTCATTGTAGAGCAGGGGTGTCAAACTGGATTTCATTGAGGGCTACATCAGGATTGTGTTTGAGGGGGGGGGGGGGGAGGCAGGGGGGGCATGGCTGGGGTGGGTGTGGCCAGCTCAACATCACTTGTATTGGAGGCGTCTGTGGTGGCCCGAGTACTCTGGCAGTGAAAATGGGCTCTCAAGCTCCGTTTTTGACTGCGATGGCCTCCTGCAACTCTTTGCCAGTGAAAACAGAGTTCGGGAGGGCTGCGTGTGGCTCTGTTTTCACTGGCAGAGGGTTGCAGGTGGCTGTCGCAGCCAAAAACGGAGCTCGGGAGCCCATTTTCACTGGCAGAGGCACCGCAGGCTGGTCCTTTGCTGTTTCCAGGGTGGCCTTGTGGGCCAGATCTAAGCACCCCGTGGGCCAGATTCGACCCCCAGGCCTTGAGTTTGACACCCCTGTTCTAGAGCCTTCACTAGTTAAAACAACATCATTAACTTCAGTTATGATTAATTGCTGAAATTCTTTATATCAGTAATACACCAAAAACAAAAACAAAGAAAGTAACCATTTTCAGATCCCAGGTTTTGATCATAATAAGTGGAATGTGCATTCCTTTTTTGGGGGGGGAGATGATAATCTGAAACCTAGTGGGCAGAATATATTTCATGAAAAAATAGTTTAGTTCTGTCCAAATATCAATTATTGGCACTTCCCTTTAAAAAGTGTATAACTTTTTGTCTAAAACTAAGCAATTTCTATTACTTTAAAGGTATTTATTTTGCGTGGAACTTTTTATCCCAATCTGTTAAAAAATAAGAAAGCCATATTCATTTGTAGTTCTCTCAAGCTTATCAATGAAAAGCAAAAATCTCATTAGAGACCTTGGGTAAACTCTTAACCCAAGCTAATTTGGACAGATTTTCAATGTGACAAAATGAATTCCAAACCAAAATGGTTAATGCACACCACTAGTATTTTAATAAGAAGCACTGAGGGAATAGTTATTGTTTTAAACCCCATCTGTATTTTACACGGGATTTGAACGTATATGGTTTACATAGGCATACTGTCTTTGGTTAAGTAGTTGTCATATGCTTAGCTCAAAAATAAATACATTCAAAGCAAGATTAGGTAGAGTTAGGTTACAGTTGAAGGTTACAGTTATTTGAACTGCTCATGAGACTGCCCTAGCTACCATGCAAATGAAGGAAAAAGTTAACTAATATGCTAAAGGAAACTATAAAATTGGTTGTTCTATTAAAAGATACTGGAACATGCAAATTGAAGAGGGGAAAAATTATGTTACCAACATTTGTTAAAACAGATGCACCAAAATATCAGCCTAATAACAAAGTTCTGGATAATTCCATTATACGTAATAGCAGTGAGTCTAAAGAATGGAATGCAGAGTTTTGAACTTCTCCCTCTCCACTCCTCCATCAAAAATAGGTAGCTGTATAAAATTTAGTCTGGAATGATATCTACCTCTCTCTCTTTTTTTTTTTTTGAAAAAACATTACAAGTTGTTGCAATATATCTTTATATATGAATAGTTTAGGGAAAGTTTTAACTGCACATAAGAAAACACAAAGGTTATCATGTAAGTAAACTGATAAAAAAAAGAATGAGTTAATTTGATCTTCATTTGTTTTCTTCCAGAAAACTTAAAAATAAACTCAGTCTCCATCCAAGTTTTTTCAAACTCCTGTAATCTATTAGTTTTCCTTGTGTTCATCAATGTTCTCTTTAATTTGGCAATGAATCTCTCCCACTTAATATCTAAATGAAGACAGCACATTACTCAGCTGTGATTGAAGATCTTAAAGTAGCGATTTGGGGATTCACACATATGAGGTATGTTCCTACACAAACCAATATTCTGAAACATACTCTGGCTGAGTTTTTATTGGCAAAAAGCTACGCTTCAAAGATAGACCGTGATGAAATTGTTGTCCAGATTCCAAGGAGGAAGGGAGTGCATTAGTTTGGCAAGATTTCTGTCTATAAGAAGCAACAAAGAAAATTGCTCAGAAGAATCTTAACATGTCTTCCTTGGTTACTGGAGCCTGGCATAGACTCCATCCTGTTGCATTCAATTTCCTGGTAATTACTCTGTTCCAGGCCATTATAAATAAATGTGCCATTAATAAGCACATTTAGCAGGGAAAGGGTCACATGAATGTACATATGATCACTCAAAGAATTATAGTTATAGTACAGAGACCGGATTGGTTAGCAATGGCTGTTCTGGCAGTCTGGCATCATTAGGAGAGAATCCTGTAGGTCAGTTGAGCAAGAACCTCAACTGACCCCGACATACAACTTCCTTCTACTTATCCATTGACTTTGTTTGTCAGAAGCCAGAGAAAGTCACAAATTATGGTCACATGACAGTGGGACACTGCAACAGCCGTAAATATGAGAACTAGTCATAACTACCACTTGTTCAACACCGTCGTAATTTCAGATAATCACTGAACGTGAAGCTGTTAAGCAAGGACCATTCGCAATGAACAGCTGTTATTTTGTGTTATATCTGTGCATCACACACATAGATTTTATTTATTTTTATCCCACCTTTATTATTTTCATAAATCTCAAGGTGATGAATATACTTAATACACCTTCCTCCTCATATTTTCCCCTCAACAATAAGGACCTGGGAGGTGAGTTGGGCTGAGAGAGAGTGACTGGTCCAAAGTCACCCAGCTGGCTTTCATGTCTAAGACAGGACAAAAACTCAAGAGTTTCCTGGTTTCTAGCCTAGTGCCTTAACCACTAGACTGGATTAACTGAGGAGGCAGATACATAACTTTACAAAGTACACAGCTATGATGATATTTAGTCACCATAGCCTTATTCCTCCATAAATTTATCAGGTTTAAAACCATCCAAGTGGGTAGGTATCACAGTGTTTTGTGGTAATTTATAATTTAATATGTGTGATATTGTGAAATACCTTTTATCCAATCAAATTCCCTATCATTCCATTTCATTGAGGGAGCCAACATTTTATTATGATAAGTAGGTAAACATTTTCTCTATCCACCTCCTTTCACCTCACTCATAACTTTTTGTATCTATTATTCCTCTTTTGCTTTGCTTTTCTGGGCAGAAATACAGAAAGCACTAATATTTATAATATTTAGCAAAGAACTAAAACGGATGAACTAACACTAAGAAACTTATAAAGGCTGAACAAGGAAAGCACAGACAAATATTTAGCAGGCTTTTCATTTGATGCGATTTAAAACGCTTTGATAAAAATACTGGATTCCTTACCGATGCCCGGATAAGAGGTGGTTTTGAAGGAGGCGTCCCTGGTTTAGTTGTTGCTGTTGCAGGACAGCACGTCACTGAGACAGAACTAATTGGGGTGCCTGCTTGTCCTGGAGTGACAACTGGTATCATGACAGGAAGACCTGTCGGACCAAGCACCAAACTTCCTGGTGGCACACTGGTACTTGGAATGGATGCCACCGGCTTTGTGGGCGCAACAGTAGTACTTGGTAAGCCAGGAATGGCTGTGGCCTCCATTGCTAAAGATGTTTCCAGGGACACAGAGGGGTGAGCCGTTCCACCATGTTCACTGAAGAGGGATCGTAGCTTTTCTTCCAGGGTTTTTATGTCATCTATGCCAGGTGCTTTGGGCTGGGTGTCAATATCCCCTTCTAGACAATGAGTATGAGGTTGATTGGGTAATGGAGCTGGTTGAGGCTGACTGTGTATTAAAGTCTGCTGGACAACAGGTATATTAGCTACTGGCTGTGCCAGTGGTAGGGCACCAGGCAAAGGGACCTGGGGTAATACTGGGGTAGAGACTGCACCCAACGATGTTGCAAAGCTAGATGAGGTAACTATAGGTGGGACGGGCAGTGGCTGTACCACAGATTGCTGGGAGCTGCTGCTAGACGTACCTGAGGCTCCTGTAGAGAGTATTGGTACAGAAACATGCACAGGTACTTCACCTGTATGGCACAACTGTGGATTTTCTGATGCCTGTTCACTTTCTGATCTTGGCTGCAGCACACTAACCACTACCATTTTTGCTAGGCTGGGAGCAGAAGTGCTGGTGTTCAACTGAGAAGACTGTGAAACAACGCTCTGGGCCATAGATACAGGAACTGTTTGAGATGTTGTTGAAACAGCACTACCAACTTGCTGGGGTGGCACTGATGGTGCCATAACACCTGATACTGTAACACTAGGCCCTGTTGCAGCTTGTGGCAACGTCAGAGAAGCAGGTGTGCTAATACTAGTAACAATTTCTCCAGTAGCAGAAGCTGCCTGGACTACAGTTGTTGATGAAAATGAAGGTGCGCTGACACTCAAAGCTACCCCACTATTTAACTGTGACCCAGGCAACACTGGTGGTGGAGAGCTTGGGACTGACAATTCTTCACTTGCTGGAAACCCCGTTTCTGTGGATTGAGTTGCTGATAAAGAAATACTAGTGGAGGGAGGAAGTGACTCAGAAGAAGCAGTTACAGTTGTAGATGGCAGCCCATTGGCACCTAAAGCTACAGTAGGAAAAGGAGGCACAGCTTGGTTAAAAATTGGGGGAGCTGTGCTAGGTCCTTCAGTGTGCTGCATATGCTTGAGATCTGAGAAAGCTTGCTGCAGACTGAGTGATGATGCAGAATGCGAGAGATTCATCCCAGGACCATGAGATGTGGAAGCAACTGAAAGAAAAAAGACACAGTCAACCTATTCAGGAAAACTTATCGAAGGGCACTAAATGTAATGCTAAATGCTTGCTAATGTAGTTTGCACTTCTATAGATAGTCCTTATTTAACAACGGTATTTGGAACCAAAATTTCTGTTACTAAGCAATGAGGTCATAAAGCACAATGTGTGACTCTGCTTCTTAGTGACAGCAGTCCCTGCAGTCCCATTACCATTGTCCAGTGAATTATAGCGGATCATTAAATGAGGTCTTGAGAGGACCACAACTTCCAACTTTCAGCTGGTTTCTCCATTGGCTCTGCTTGTGAGAAGCCGACAGGGAAGGTCAAAAATTATCATCATGAGACACAGGCACTGCAATGGTTGAAAATCCAGGTCGGTTGCTGACCCTCCAGAGCAGGGCTGTCAAACTCGTGGCCCGTGGGCCAGATGCGTCATGTGCTGCCCATGCCTGGTTTAGCGAATGTGAAAAAGTCATATGATGCCGCGAGTTTGACACCCCTGCCCCGAGTATGATCACATGACGATGGGAGTGCTGCCGCAGATGGAACTTCAAAGATCACTCATAAATTCAAATGGTCGCTGAACAAGTGGTCAATAACCAAGCACCACTTGTACCGTCTTCCTTACAAACGAGTACAATAGCTTACGATAAATTAATCGAATTCTAAAATCAATACAGAACATGTGTGTGTGTGTGTGTACAGACACAGAAAGCAAATATAGCCTAAAGCAGGAGCATGTGACACTAACAAAACCACTAAATACTATTACCAGTTGACCCATGTTTTTAAAACTTGGAAAACAGCTGAAAACTCATGAGACAGTTAATATTTTAAATCTTTCCTATGATCTCATTTTGATTGTTTTTATTTTTAAAATGTCATGTGATATCATGAACAGATAAAACACAATTGTTCAGGTTAGCTTTAGACAAGAAAGATTAAAAGCCCAATATAGATCAAAATGGCATGTCACATGTCAATAGTCATACAAAGAGAATCTTTGAAGCAGTGGTGAAATCCAATTTTTTTTTATTACCGGTTCCATGGGCATGGCTTGGTGGGCATGGTGGGCGTGGCTTGGTGGGCATGGCAGGGGAAGGGTACTGCAAAATTGCCATTCCCTCCCCACTCCTAGGGGAAGGATATTGCAAATCTCCATTCCCACCCCACTCTGGGACCAGCCAGAGGTGGTATTTGCCGGTTTTCCGAACTACTCAAAATTTCCACTACCGGTTCTCTGAACTGCTCAAAATTTCCGCTACCGGTTCTCCAGAACCTGTCAGAACCTGTTGGATTTCACTCCTGCTTTGAAGATGTTCTTAAGCTCTAGATATGTATATCTGGTGAAAGGTGAATGTTTGGGTTAGGGTAATTTACACAATTTTTTATTAAAAGAAGCCCAATTAAACCAAGCTTAATTGGGTTAATTGAAAGCAGTACAAACAAACATTTTGTCTAAGAATGTTATTTAACTTACATGAATCAAAAAGCTCATATTCTGATGGAATGGAAGTGAAAAATTTCTGTTCTCGCAATCTACTTTCTGGTACAGGACTGACAATAAATCTTCTTCCAGCAGAGTGGACTACCTGAGTAAATGAATTAGGAGGTACACCTAAAATAACAAGAAAGAAAGAAATTGGTTATAGCTGTGCAATTACATGCAATCAAATTTCTAATTCAATACTATACATGTAGTCCTCATGTATGATGACAGATTGGGACTAGGATTGTCACTGCTAAGCGATGCAGTCATAAAACATGACATCCTGTGACTGCACCACTAAGTGATGACAATCTTGGCAGTCCTAATCATCACTGTAGCCTGGTGACACATAGGTCATTAAGCAGGAGGTGGGGAATGCTATGAGGGAGTATCATGGGGGAGGGGGGGGTTGAGGCAGTCCATGCACAAACTAGGGAGCCAGGGCAAACAGATTGTGGTGCCATGGAAGCACAGGAGGACCACGGGAACTTACCGGAGTGACATAGTGACATTTCCTGCCAGCTTCCCATTGGTTTTGATTGTGAGAAGCTGGCATGGAAGATCACAAATCATGACCATGTGCTGGAACAGCTAGAATTTTGAGGACCTGTTGTGAGTACCACTCGTTGCAACTTCAAATGGTTGCTCAATAAGCAGGCAATAAGCAAGGACTAACTGTAATGAAATAGGTGGTTGAAACCTTACAGTATCCAAAATCAAAATCACCAATGCCAAATCATAGTAGAATTTAATAATACTTACCTATTTTTTGTGGCATGGAAGAAACAGGATCCGGTTGCTTGAAGTCTCCATCCAATTTCTGTAACGAAGGAAAATCTCAGAATTATAGTCATAACAATTAATTAGTTAGGCGTGTGTGTGTATGTATATATTTGATTTCTATCTCACCTTTCTCTGTTTGACTCAAGATGGTGTACATAATGCTCCTACCTCCAATTTTCTCTAGAACAACAGCCTGGGAAGTGAGTTGGGCTGAAAAAAACTGACTGGCCCAAAAACAGCTGACCTTCATGCCTAAGGAAGATCTAAAACTTACAGTCTAACAAATTATCCACTATACTAAACTGACTCTCCATATTCCAGCTACTTATAATATATGTTACCCCAGGACAGAAACTCTGCTCACTGAAATACACATAGCTTCAATTGTAAATAATCTGATATTTTGCTTTTAAGTGTTGTTAAATCTGCGAAAACTGTATCTTTAGATTTGTTTATTAAATTTATATACTGCCCAGCTTGCTGTTCTGGACAACTCTAGTGCAGGTGAAAATTACTGATTTAAACAAATACTAAAATCATCTAATCATTGAAAATTTGACGTTAAGAAAAATATTTCTCAAATGTTTCAATTTTCAAAGCAACTTTAGTTTCCTCACTGGCCTTCTCCCTAGGCACTTAATTTGCCTTTTCAGTTTGCAACACGGACAGTAAATAAAAGGAAATGGCCATTCAGTAAGTTGGAGCAATAAAAAATGAGATGGAGGGAGGGACATTCTATCATCTTTGCTAAAAGACTGGTAAGGTTCCCTCACATTTCTCTTTACCCTTAATTGCTTAAAGATGGGCACTTTAAAACACATTATTTACCCTTAAGATGGACTAAATTTGTAGTTTTTTCTTCCTCATAATTTTCCCTTCCTATGTTATGTTTTCTTAAGTCAGTATTTTTCACCGTTCAGAAATTTAAAATGTAGCTGGAAATTCTGAGAGTTGAAGTCTACACATTTCTAAACTAGAGGCTACTTGCCACTGAACATACTTATGCCCACATTCCTGCCTGTGGAAACTAAGCAAAGGACCTTAAGGAAGGGAAGGAAATAAAACTTACAATAAAGAGTTATAAAATGGACAATACTGCTGGGAGAGAAGACAGAGACCCACAATTATTCATATGATGGTTCAATTTCAGATTATAAATATCTTTTGTCATGATTGCTTAGCAAAAATGAAAAAAAAAAGGAAATAAACAATTTAAGATAAATGCTAGGACATCAAAATCAGCCATACCTGGTTCTGAATACCATCCATACTTTGATCGCCTTCTGCCTCCATACTGGGATCTTCATTGAGCATTTCATCTGCTTTTTCTATAATATCTCGAACCTGCTCAACAAACGAGTCTCTCTCTATTGCTAATATGAATTCATTTTGCACCTGCATGTAAAATTGGAATTACAGCAATTATAGAATTGCTACAGGATAGTCTGGAGCAAATAGCAACACTCTCCTAGAAAACCTGTAAAAGATGTATTGCACACCATTCTAGGAAACACACTCTCTTCATCTATCTTCTAGCCAAAAAATGGCAAGTGATTTTCAAATGTACAAATGCTAGTTGAATTGAGTATTATCAGAACTATAATTCTGGACAGTAAACATCCAGGCAACTACTATCTTGAGTTGGCAACAGTTTTCTCTATCACTTGGCTACCCATTTGTGATCACGTGGATTTTTGCAGCTTGCAGTCCTACAGCCAGATATGTCTATATTTGGCATAGAGCTCCTCATTTGTCACTTTTCATTGCTTACTATAAATCACTATTTTAATTTCTTCTCCTTTAAGGATTAACAAGTTTAAAAAGAAAAGCAATACAAACTTATTAAACATTTATTATAAATGTTGCTATATCTTTTTGCAAACACACACTAGTAATGACGGGAGAAAAAATTGTCACTAAACGTAAAGCTACTCAGTAACCATCTGATTTCAGAATTTCAAACAGTAGCTGCTAAAGCAGCTATTTGCCAAATAAAAGATAGTTCAGAAAAAAAGGCAATAATCCCTGCATCCGAATTTTGCTTTAACTATTTTCATACAAAAAAGATGACTGTTCAACAGAGGGTAGAAACTGCAATAGACTTTAGATTTTAGGAGTATAATATAGATTTTAGGAGGAAAATGTACCAAAATTAAAATTTTTGGAGACAAAAATCTGATAGGGTAGGTTAATGAAACTAATGCTGCTAACAGTGAACTAAATCCTTATATGAGCTGTTTTACCATTATAGTAGCTATTTCCTCTGGATTGTCACCATCCAAGTCAAATTTGAAAGTAACCATTTTTCTGTTGTGTGTTTCTAGCTGACATTCCACAACCCGATCACCTTTATTTGAAACCTGGAAAAACAGAATGGTTTTCAAAATGCAAATTGAATACAGAAGATATGCTGAGCTCTAGTGCAGTATTTATTAATCAGTGGTGTGCAGTAGTCATCTAGATGGGACACTATTCCTCTTTCTAGCTCAGAAAGTAATGTGCAGGAGAGAAGCAGAGCCACCAGTCTAAAGTGCGTTGAGAAAAAGAAAATGAACACTCTAACAAAACAAGAAGCCTACAGGAGATTTAGGCTTAAGGGCTAAGACAAAGTAGCATTTCATAAGGGAAAAATCTGCCCACACAGTGACAAATAATTAGCTTTCACTAATCATTTTACAATGATAGCAGTAACATCAACAGCACTATTGCAATTGTATATATTTGTAAATCTTACAATAGGTCATAAAATATATTAATAGGATATCTTTGAATCTCACCCTCCCCTACCCCCTTGGAAAAAGTGGACTTTTGATTTCTATCTTGATGGGAACCAGCTTCTTTGACAGAGTAAACTACTTAGTGCTATATTTCAATCAATACAATACATATTACACAAACAGGTAACTCACATTAAGAATTCTCAGTTTGGGACGTGTAGATTTCTCATGACGAGAACGGCTGCGTACTGATTTACGATAATGCCGCTTTGTAGTCCTCCCTTCGTGTCTACCACTGGATGCTGAAACATTTTCATTGCAATCACTTAAGCCTGAGGCAACATCTGAATGAGCACTAAAAAGAAAAAAAGATTGTTAGCAATACTTTCCATTTCGCAAATGAAATTGCTTTTACAGTTCTTTTCTTTGTTTTAGGTAGTTATGGTGGGCTCGTTCTTTTTTATTCAAGTATATTGAGTATTTAAGTATCCTCTTCTAAAATAATGTTGTTTTAACAATAGCAATATAAAGTTCACATATAATATTATAAATTAATAGAAGACACATTATATTTGTCTTCATTCAATAAAGAAACTATTTTGAGTAACTTAGAATTTGTAACCTCAACATTATTATGAGCAGTGTTTCCTCTGAGCCGAAACATGTGATTTGTACAACTGCCATTTTCTCCAACCACCTTTCCTCCTTGCTCCATCTGTCTGAGCCAAGAGCGTTAGGGACAGAACTAATACCTGCAATGTCAACTTGGAAGCATATTTAAAAAGGGGAAAAAAACAAAACCTCGAGCTAATCATGACTCAGAAATTAACAAACCAATGAGGACACTTAGAACAGACTGATTTCGTTTTTTTGCTCAGAACAAAATCAGAATGTTTTGTTCCAGGACTAGGACAAAAACTCCGGAGGTGGGAGTTTGGTTTAAAGAACGGAATAACATGCACCAAAATGACTCTATCTACAACAGCCCAATAAATTATAAACATTATGCAGTTTTCTACTGTACGGTATCATCTACTTTAAGGAAGATTCATCTTCTTCAAGAGTAACAGTAAAGTTATTATTAGGTGATTATGCTGAATGTATTGGGTTCTTGCATGCTCTAAATATCTCGGAAAATTTATTCCAATTTGAAAAAACCGGTTTTAGTTTGCATACATTTTTTTTTTTTTTTGCTTTAATTTATATGCCGCCCTTCTCCGGAGACTCAGGGCGGCTTACAATGAGTTAAGCAATAGCCTTCATACTTTTGTATATTTATACAAAGTCAGCTTATTGCCCCCACAATCTGGGTCCTCATTTCACCTACCTTTGAAAGGATGGAAGGCTGAGTCAACCTTGAGCCTGGTGAGATTTGAACTTGCAGTAATTGCAAGCAGCAGATGTTAAACACAGTGCTTTAGTCCACTGTACTACAGTGGACTAACTAAAAACATTCTCAAAGCCGACAATAAGAAAATCAGATTCTTTGCTATCACAGCTGACTTTCAAAAGCAGCAGCTTACTATTTACCTGTCTATTGAAGAAACTAATGGAGTTGATTGTGAAGGTTGCTGCTGTATTGAAGGCTGAGGCTCTGGAGGTGCAATCTGCGTGATTCCGGGAGTTGTACCCTGCAATGAGAAAGCTTAACATTCAAGTACCTTCTTAAACTCTTTCTTTTAATCTGATATCATAGTCCAATCATCTATGCAACTAGAAGCTTTTGAAAAGCACTCTCTCTACATCTTTTAAAGCATCTAAGTGAATTCAAACTGTTAACTTTCAGAGGGTTTCTCGTGCAAATTCAAGAAGTCAACCATGAGATTAATGTGACATCAAAGCTTGCCATGCAACCAGAAATCTTACTAGCAGAATGTGCAACAGAAAAGCCAATGAAGAATGCAGGGGTAATTCAAATCTCTTCCATTAATAACAAGGCTGCAGAGAAAAGTTCTGAGGAAAGATTTTTTTTTCCAGGTACTAGTGAGAATCTGTATCTTGTTTAAGGGGCATTACTAGCCAGGAGAGAAGTACTAGCAAGTAATTTGCATCTGGGAGGCCCACTCACTTCCCAACAGCACAGCCAGGGGCAACAAGGTTTCCACATTGGCATCACATTCTGTTATAAGAGAAATTCATTTGAAAGTTAACATACAGTATTAGCTGGAATCTGAAAACGGGACTGGCTCTATAACTGATGCTCTGAAATCCCGTTTCTAAAGCACATTCCCAACAACATGCAGTTCATCCATTTACCTCTAATGCTGTCTGCTGGGTGGAAGCAGACTGGGGCACTTGAACCTGTCCTCCTAGACTGCCCAAAGAAACTAAAACACTCTGTTCCATGTAAGGCTGCCCTACCGCAGCAAGATAGCTTGGCTGAGCCAATGCTTCTGTGGGTAAAGGAGGGGACAATACTGCAGAAGGAAGGCAAGCAGAAGCCACAGAAGAGGAAGCAATATTTGAGTCTCCAATATACTGTGCTGGTAGCCGAGGTGGGAAGCCCTGTGACAAATGAGGAAGCCATGTTAGCTTATTTTAGTGTGACTTGTATGAAACAGTATGAAATAGACAAGAAAGGAGAAATTGCAAGCCAAGTTGTTAAAAGTGTGTTTTTTGCCCAACCACCAATTTAGACTTAAAATCTTATTTCAGAAGCTCCATAGCATATTGCCTTAGGGTCAACTTTACCTTTCAAGCTAACATGCAGCCTGGATCTCTGTAACAAGCAACTACTCCTCTTTGAAAGAAGAGCTTCAGCTGCAAACACTTAAAATTAAAGATGAACTATGCTACTCATGGTAAAGTTGGAAAAAAAAACTCTCTACATTTCATCTGACACCCCCCCCCTTCCATTTTTTTTAATTCTAAGAGGGGTGTTTGGCAAAATATAAAGCAAACAGTATTTTCATAATCTAAAATTAGAGAGAATATGCTGAGCATGTTCATAATGTAAAAAGGAACAGTGAACTTTACAGAACAAAAAAACCAACCAACCAAAAGTATATTGTTTGTACTCCCAGTAGAGTGTAGTTTCTAGTTTAGGAGGTGAAAACTGAATAGCCAAAATTTAAACAAAAAAATTATCTTAGTAATTTCTCACTTTCTTCAAGCAATTCTAAGGAAGCATCTGAATTATTACACATCCCTTCTTATATTTAAGCATGAGATAAGACATGGAATTTAAATAGTAATTTTACCTTTTTTTAAAGACATTAATAGCTGCCTTTGCACTATTAATTAATAAATGCTACTTTTTAAAATAAAAGCATTTCTGCTTTTTTTAAAAAAATAAAGGGTTCAGTTTTTTTGGACACAGATTTAGTTTTAAATCAGAAGATTCCCATGTACACTGATAAACTATATTTACCTATTTATTCTTCTTCCATGTAAAGCAGAGCTCCTGTACTCAAGATTTTTCATGGAAATTAAAACATAGGGGAACTGATGAGATTACAGAGAGGGACTTTTGTTTGATTCCCAAAATACCTGATACAGAGCATCTGTAGCTGGAAGTGGAACTTCAGCAGTTTGTCCCAGCGTAGAAGGCAATCCCATGGATTGAACACCTGGCTGAAGAAGTTGTGGGAGCACCTGGCTGGACAGCTGAGCCACAGGCTGCAAGACAGTTGGAAGCTGGCTAGGGACAACTGTTGAACCCACAGGAATAGCAGTTGCTGCAGCAGATGTTGCCAGAGTAAGCAATGGCTGGTTAATGCCAGTTGCCATAGAAATGGATAGAGATGGGAAACACGGCTGAGCCACAGACACATGAGGTGCTGGCATGGGCATCTGAGAGGCCGAGAACTGTGGAAGAAGTGGTGGTTGTATGGGCTGTCCCACTGGGAGGAAATGAGACATGACTGGGGCAGCTGAAGGCTGAGCAAGGGAAGGTGCTCCCATAGGTAACTGTGATTCACCCTGGATGGTCGGCACTGTTTGGGAAACAGGAAGCTGGGGAGGTAAAGAAAAATCGAGATAGAGTTTTAAGAAGCAGGGTTGCAGAAAGCATGTTCTTATTGCATTAGTGCAAGAAAGAAAAAAAATGTTACATTTTACTTAGTAAGAAAGCATAAAAATATATTTGGTAAAACTAGCAGGAAAGTTTCTTAGCCAAGAGGAGAAAGGCATATAGGAAAGAGCATTTTTAAGGAATGTTCAGTATGAGATTATTGAGCTATTGGTTCCAATATACTCTCGAAATTATACATACCAAAGGCACGCTACATTTTTCAAAAACCAGCCTATTACATAATTTTAGATCATGTCCAAACTCATGCAGGCATGTCTTTCCCTTTCATAAATCGATTTCCTTTCATCGACTTCATAATTAACACACCTTTATTATATTTTTCCACGCAATACATATCCTGTTATCTATAGTCTGTTTTTTTTATCCACATGAAAGTAAAAGTATAAACTTTAGACAGGCTTAGAAATATCAAGTTGTACTATACCTGTGTCCCAGCAGGTACCTGAGGCATAGGCATTACTTGAGCTTGTTGTGTTACTGGCTGTAGTGGAGCAGCTCCAGTGGAAGCTGGTGGCTGTGGAACTTGGTATTGCCCAGTCTGCTGAGAGGTGGTTGGCTGTTGGGTAGTCTGAAATGAAGAAATGAAATTAAAAAAGAGAATGAATTCAGAAATATTTCATTTAAAAAATACTCAATTTGGAATAGGTGTGCCTTCTGCAAGCATGGATTCTATGAACAGGAATCATACGGACACTAAAATAAAATGAGCAAGTTGTAGTTTTCAAATACTCTTGGGCTACAACCACAATCAGTCCAAGCCAGTCCCTTCAACACTGGGGATATTTGGAATTGTAAATCAACGTTTATAGGCAACAGTATTCTAAAATACTGTGTATAAATTGGATAGCTATACAATTAACCAATAAATTTTGTTTGGACACTTAACATTCATAGCCAAATAGAAATGGAGGAAAAGGTCCTCCTTTTTCAATTTAAGAGCAGGTTTAGCCAAATTAACCAGCTTTTGATTTAGCTGAAATCAATTGTTCTTATTAACGCTTGTCCAGTATACAGTTGTTTTTGCTTGCTAGTTCTTGCAGCAAAACTATCAATGCATGATGCAATGAGGGGTTTTATCCGCAGAACCTGAGGACTGAAAATGCTGAGAAAGCATGACTGGTCCAACTCATCAAATTGGCTTCTATGCCTAAGGAAAATGAAAAGACTAAAGCAAGAGTGGAGTTAAATGGAAAATATTTCTGCATCAATAGCAGAAAAATGTGCAAAAGCTAGAATGTCTGGTTGTTGCATCAGACCAGTTGCTAAATTTATAATATTTCCATAAGTATATCAATTTTTTAAATCTAGAACATCAATCTACCAAGAGCCTTGGTAGTACAGGGGTTTAAGGCACCCTGTTATTAAGCTTATTAAGACCAGCTGCCTGCAATTACTGCAGGGTTCGAATCTCGCCAAGGCTCAAGGTTGACTCAGCCTTCCATCCTTTCTAAGGTAGGTGAAATGAGGACCCAGTTTGTGGGGGCAATAAGCTGACTTTGTATAAATATACAAAAGGATGAAGGCTATTGCTGAGCACATTGTAAGCCGCCCTGAGTCTTCGGTGAAGGGCGGCATATAAATCAAATTAAAAAAAAAAAAAATCCAGAGGAAAAACACCAAAAATGCTATGAAAATACTTTTGAGGGATATCACTGAATCTACAAAATAATACAGCTAACAATCATTCATCATTACCAATTGATTTTGCTGCAAAAGTTGTGATGATGCGCTCACTGATGATTCATTTGAGGATGGCTGCCCTTGCATCTGCATAGAAGGGAAAAAGAATCAGAATCAGACTATTCATCAATTTCTGTATTGGGAACATTGAAACAATAATGACCTAAAGTAATAATTGCCCTGAAATGGAAAAGCATTTCATTTTAATCAATTAGGATTGTGCAATAATCCCAATTGTCTAAAAAGGACTTCACAGTGCCCACATCTGCAACACTTTAAAGCAGTTGCATTTTTCCAGTAATCAAACTCAGTTGCTAGTATTATAAGAATACAATATGTGTTTGTGAGGGTGTGTGTGAGGAGGTGTTAATTAAAAAAAAAATCCCAAAAGAGCCTGTGCTAGAAATAGGTACACACACTCAATTTCTACAGGAAAATTGCTACTGATCTCTATTTTAAAAGTTTAAATTTCCTTCGGTTTTTCAAAGATTTATATCAACCTAATCTATCACTCAGGAAGACAAAATGCTGAACTGTAGTGAGGTGAAATAATGGTATTTTCTACCAAATCTAAGCAAATCCAAGAACCTTATTAGAAATTTCTCAGAGATACTGTAAGAATCAGCTGGTTTTTTTTCCCAGAAAAAGCACCCAAAGCCAAGGGTTAGTAATTTCAAATTTTGAATGAGTAAGCAAGCAAAATCAAAACAACACAGTTATGAATGGATGTAAAACTGGAATGGCAATGACCACCTTCTGCAATCATTCCCATATAATGAAATGTGTATTATGTATTGGACTGTATCTCAATATATAATGAAAAACAAATGTTCTCAAAGAAGTAAAAACCAGAATTTAGATTTTGCAATACAAGAGTGGCAAGAGAGAAAAGGGTTGGAGAGCTATACAAAAGAAGTGGGTATTTTTTTTAGCTAAGCTGAAAATATAGGAATGTACAGTAAGAATTTTTATTAAACAAGCATACAGTGTTCAAAACTTTATGTTAAGAGGGAAATATGGAACACAATTCTGGAGTCATCCTGGGATGGGTGGGGGGAATACTGTTTCTTGAAATGTCTTGCAATATATGCCCTGATAATTATGTAACCATCTTGAAAGGTTCAGTATCCAATTTGCTTAACTGTTTATATTTTCATTTCATTTTCCAAGATTCTTAGAACACTCCCCCACATCACAGATCTTATTAGACTCACAAGAAATAGTAATAAGATAGCAATCAATAGTACAAAGTGTTTAGATAGAGACAGATGATGTTTTGGGGCCAAGGTACATGTTTGAGTGTGCAATATATTACATGTATTTATATTGGCTGTAACCACATAGCAGTTTGCAAGGTAGACTTACATTAGAACAGTATTTCTCAACCTTGGCAGTTTCAAGATATGTGGACTTGATTCCCATCCTGGCTGGGGAATTCTGGAAGTTGGGAGTCGACATATCTTTAAGTTGCCATCGTTGAGAAATACTGCATTAGAGATTCCCACCTTACATGGAAAAAGCATGCTTGAAGTAAAGCTGCCCCTTGTTTCTACTTATGGCATGCTGCAAAAATGTGGGAAAACTGGTACTATTCTTACCCCATGAGCAGATAACGTTGCATGAGGCACAGGTAGGACCAATGCTGGTCATCTAGTCTCCAAGTTCTCTATTTTATTAAAAAGCGTTAGCTGAAAATCACGATTGGTCAAAGGTACAATGGAAGCAGAGCTAAATGTCTGGCAACTGCCATAGCATATGCAAAATTTATCTTTGGAATGTGGAGAATTAAATGGTAAAGAGTAAGCTTTAGTAAATAAAGCAACAAATAATTGCATGTGTGCGGAAATAAGAGAAATAGGAAGGATATAATAGATTAAAAAGAAAGTAGTCTGATACTGTATGTGGAATTGCTGAATGCATGTGGAAACATTTATGGAGATTCTAGATCAGGGGTCTTCAAACTTGGCAGCTTTAAGAGTTCTGGATTTCAACTCCCAGAATTCTCCAGCTGGCAAAGAATTCTGGGAGTTGAAGTCCACAAGTCTTAAAGCTGCCGAGTTTGAAGACCCCTGTTCTAGGTTATCTAGGTCATGGTTGTCTCAATGGTCCTTTTTCAAAGAAAAACAAAGAAAGTCCAGTTGCCTTTTGAAAAAGCACCTTTGGGACATGCAGGAAACGGAAGGTGTAAGTTTAAATATGAATGAAAGGGCTGAAATATGAATCAAATGCATGAATTGGTATCATCTAAGTGGTATATTGAATCATATATAACTGAGAACTGCATGTTACGAATGTGGAAAATGGTAATGGAGGAATCAGGGATAACTACAGAAAAATGGTGTAATATTCTGAATTAATTCAATGCATAAAAATTAATCCTGTTAGGTGCAATGAAGGGACAGATGGGAACAAAAATACAGAAAAAGTGTTTGGGCTATTGGAAAACCCAAAGATATTGCACTGCTTAAAAAAGAATTGTTTCAAATATGTGGTTAAGCATATCTACTCGTGCAGGCATATATGGAAAAAGAATGAATCAAAACATGACTGTTTTGAGATAATTAGTGAAGAATGGAAGGAAATTAAATATTCTGAACACAGGGCAGATTTTTCTTTTTTGCTAAGATCAAGACTGGATCAGGGAAAATAAACATTTTAAAAAGTTTGTTAGTGGTGAACATAATCTGTAGCTTGGGTGTAGGATGAGAGTGGAGATTCATTCTCCGAACTTGTGTCTTGGTTCCCAAATGTTTCATTACCAGGCTAGGTAACATTAATGTATTTTAAAAAGTAGTAAGTAGTAATAGAAACAACAGAAGAAAGAAAACAAAATACAAGTCCCATACCAAAAAGGGACTTAACATATAACACAATTTCCCAACAGAATGGATAGCAAACGGATGTAAGGCAGCGGCCCCCAACCTTTTGGGCACCAGGGACCGGTTTCGTGAGAGAGGTTTTTCTGTGGACCGGAGGGGGCGGAAATGATTATCTATGTTTATAACTTTGTTTTATATATAGTTTTCAAACAGCTGAAGATTGTATAATTCACACACTTTATTGTGATACAGTTCCTCTACTGTCTAATTAAGCAAGTTTTATGTGTTTCTGTGGTGTTTTGATGTCTCATTGCCACAGTTTGACCACATTAATCAAGGAGAAAGAGGAGCGGATAGGACAGACTCCCATGTCTCACTACTACTACTCCTTATGCATATCTTCAATGGGTGCCAATTATGGATTGGGGTGTAAACTTTCCTGAAATGTTTAAGATGGGGGAGGAAAGCAGAATCTTGGAAAATGGAAAACTGTGAGACAAAATTACTTTCTTGTTGAAGTGAAGAATTTTATATTTGAGTATACTGTATATATATATGTATGATGTATTGCTCAGCATCTAGAATTGCATTAATTTGCACATATGATACGTCTATAAAAATATCGTATGTGCAAAGTAATGCAATTTTAGAAGCTGAGCGATACATAATGTAATCCAACTTATATTTATTTACAGGTCAGACACATATTGTTTATAGGTAGTCCTTGACTTATGACCGATTGCTTAATGACTGTTCAAAATTATGATGGACCCATCCAAAAGCTACTTATAACCTGTTTTTGAAGTTATGATGCAACAATCCCCCCCCCCAAAATAATCACGTGGTTGCATTTTTGACACTCGGCAACTGACTCCCATTTAGGGGCGTTGGCAGCATCCTGCAGTCACATAACTGTGATCTGTGTTTTTTGCCAGTGTCTAATGTTTATTTTGGGGTTCTGACAAGAAACTTCAATTGGAGAAAATTGACTTGCTTAATGACTATGGCGATTGTTTAATGACTACCACAAAAAATGTCCAGTCCAGTCACATGATGCCTCAACTGCTACCGCAACAATTTACAACCATAATTCCAGGGTCAATTATGCCCATAAATTAAGGGCTACCTGTAGTGAGCCTAGTCCTTTGTAAGATGGTATAAGATTGTAACCTCAAAACATAAAATCAGTAAGTACAATTCTCTCTATAAAATAAGCTTTGTTAAGTTTCATAGGACTTACTTCTAATTAATTTTATAGTGTTTTGTTGACCTGAATTTTGTATAGCTAAATATTAAGGATTCACAGCACATTTATTTTACAAAGTTCAAAATATGTTCTGTATAAGCACAACATACATGTGAACCATCATTTCTGTTGATTTTACATTAAGCAATCATAATATACAATCTGAATAAGGAAATACTGGATTATTTTTTTTATAAAAATGAACAAGGATGTTTGAGTGCTTCTAAGAGCTCTCAAAATATCTAAACTTCCCAGATTTTTCATTTTCAGATGGTGAAAAGAAGCTATAAATTTCACTTACCTGAGCTTCCAAACTCAGCTTCAGATAAGTAAAAAGACAGGATTTTTACTTTAATGCAATGAAGTAATAACTTTTTACCATAGCCCTACAACCAAGATTTGCTTACAATCAATACACGCTACACAGAATAGTCCCACTGAGGATGAATGGTTTCAACAGGCAACATATTCCTGGAGAAACAATTTGTCCTTCAGTACTAGAGTATCTTGGGAAGGGAAAAAGGAATGTAAGGAATCTTATACTATAGTGCCAAGATAACACTAAAAACCCAAGAAAATTTGGAAGCATTTGTACTGGTAACCTGAGAATAGAATGCAGATGATCTTGTTGAAACCAATGCAGAGACTGCCTGTTCAGATGAAGTTCCCTGTGGAAAGTGGATGAAGATCTGTGAATCTGGCAATACCTTCTGAGCCATTTGGGAAGCAGAAAAAGAGAAATCTGTGGCATATGATACAGATGTCCCAGTCGGAGGGGGCGACAGAAAATCACCAGTATCGGAAGAAGTTAACTGTGATGAGTCACTGGAATACCCTGGGCTACCTTCCAGCCAGCTCTGGAGAACAGAACTGCCTCTACTCATCATGAACTCAGAACTCATATAGTTACTCTGTTCCTCTTTTACAGGCTGAAGACGAACAGGCTGTAAAGTTCTTTGGGTAGACTCCTCCTGGTTAAAATCTGTGTGACGATTTCTATAAACACACTGAGATAAGGTTGTACTTTCTCCTGCAGTTACACTGGGAGTCTGAACATGGAACTCAAACACGCTTGTTTGACCATCCCCATTGTGAGAGAGTATAGCAGGTGCAGAATGTGGAACAAAGACTGGATGAAAATTCATCTGTATGGTGTCTGCGCTCAATGGGGCTGATATGCCAGACACTGGCAATAATGGATTCATTCCAGAATCCAATCTCAAATTTTGAACTTGTCTTGCCAAAAACGTCTGCCCTGTTTGATATTCAAAAGCAGAATTCTGAAGAGGGCCACCTTGTACACTTCTCGCTTCAGGAGCTTGCAGCAAGTTTGGCTCAGTTCCTTGAGCCTTATAGGATAGTGTCTCGTAATGTTCAGGTAATTGAGATTGATAGTGCATGCCCACTAAATATAATGCTTCTTGGGTCAACGCATTTGTAGCATCTTCCGAAGTTGCTTGTCCAGGTCTGTAATCATTCAAGGTTTGAGTCGAGTTCGACACAGTGTTAGCCTGAATGTGTTCTCTTGTGGAGTTATGAGCAGTTGTGCTCATTGTCGCTAATGTCTCTGGTGTCCAAATTGTTGGACTACCACTAGGGAGAAGTAGATTTTGACTGGTCTTGAACAAGGGCTGGAAATGACAAGTTTGGGCTTCAAGGATAGAAGTACTTTTGCGCCGTTGAGAAATGGACACCCCCAAAGGGCAGGTGGGTGGTGGTGAGAAAGAGCCTGGCCGTTCATGAACGGTAGAAAAAATTACTTGGGAATCTAGGAATGCTGGGATTCCCCCATACCGATGCATCATGGACTGAGGCTGTATTGACATGAACAAGACAAGTAGTTCAGACATTACAGAAACATATCACCATTTCAGCTCAATAAATGGCTCTCTTTAGTAACCTTATAGAATGGCTACATTTAGGTTATATTTAACACACAAAATGTTTTGAGTATTATGCAAATCCATTAAATACATCCATGGCAGAGACTGTTGTCAATAGGAATATTTGCTTTTGTTAGAAGCTGTTTTTCCAACCATCTTTTTATTAAGATAAACAGATTTTGTTAGATTTCTTTCAAAACTATCATTTCTCAATACATATTTTTTTTTTTTGCAATACAATACACCTCCTGAGAAATAGTTGTCTAAATAGGAAGAGAATCTGCTTTTAAACTGCAACAAGCCTAGAAATTATTCATTGTTTTCACACCTCCAAAACCTAATTATAACAAAGGGATTACATTTGTCAAGTGTTGCACTTTATTATTCCAGAATGGGTATGTTATCTCTTATAAAGCTCTGTTAAACACATTCCAATATGATTAAAATGCTCAGTTTTTCTTCTTTATACTAATGGGGTCAATTGAGACCATGTATCAAAATTCCAATTGTTCTGGAAAAGCAGCAGCAAATTCTCCTATGACATAGAAAAAAATGTGGAGTGACAAGTAGTCTTACATATCCCTTTGGGAATGGAGGAAAATGTTTTCTTGTACTGTAGGAAAGTGATTCTAATTTCCTCTCCTTATCTAAAAAAAAATAATTGCAATCACTTCTGTATGTCACCAAGAAAATATATGCATGTAGTTGCAAGATATTGAACTTGAATCACAAGCGCTTTACTTTTACCTCCAGTTGCTACCCAGAGATTAAACAAGAAATCCATTACTGTTCTTAACTAAAATTAAAAACACCCAGTGCATAAAATACTGGGAGTACCCCTGGGGCCCAATATGGCACAAAGGTTTAAGGAAGAGAAAGCTTCTACCCTTCCTGAAATCCATAAATGTGAGTCTTGAGAATAATTTTCCTTAGCCTCCATGATAGTAGAGCAAACAGTTGCTTCCTGAACAGATGAAGCTTAAAAATTGTTTCTGCCTTCTTTCCATTGCCTTTACTACTTTGTCTAGCCAAATACATACATGATTTTACCTTCTTCATAAATGACTTGGAAGTTAGGCGTGAGCAGAGAAATCATCAAGTTGACAGATAAAAGCACTGAAGGTATTATCTTGTCTAGTACCAAAATGTCTGCAAACAACCAAGCTCAGACAGCACCCAAGACTCAACAGGTTACAGATGAAAGTTATTCAGGCAATTAAAGCAAATGGTCCCTAAAGTTATCCACGCAGTAAGTAAATTATTATAGCAAATATATTTCAGTGCAAGTAAGTTTAAAATGAGGTATTGTTTGATTTAAAAAATCATCATGCATCAGAGGATTAATAATATGGTACAATATTTGGTTATAGATCCTATTTGTTATAGATCCTATAGGGTTAATATTTATTATTTTCCATTTCCTTTGTGAATTTTGAATATTTTAATTGCTCCCCCAATTGATTTAATAATAAAAAAAAAACCAAGTATCTTGCTTGAAACTGGAAAAAAAAATTGATTTTAGATTTTGATGATTAGAATGATTTTGTAATTAAAGAATTGGCTTGAAATGTGAAATATGAAGCAAAAGGTTGATGATGTATTATTTTTGCAATGTACTGTACCGTAGAAAGTTGGAAGTTATTTCTCTCTCTCTTTCATTCTACTGTCTTTTCTTATTTTTCTAATTTTTGTTTCTCCTACGTTTTTATCTTACAATGAAATTTAATAAAAATGTATTTTTAAAAATCCATCTTAGGAAAAGGAACACACACACATGTATACACCACCAGACAAACTTATGTAACAGTTAAGTCTGCTGGACCCTGTGAATTAATTTTGTAATCTTGCTGAAATCTTGTATTTCTATTGAAATTTTGTTATATTTTCTTTTTAATACTTGGCTGCAAATTATCTGGAGTTTTTTGCTATTTTATTGTTATTGTTAGTCACCGAAAGTCATTTGTTTGAGATGGGCAGCCATGTACTGTAAATTATTGATTAACAATAAATAAATGCTATTTTCAGGATTACTAACATATAACAGATAGAAGCACCCAATTGACTGAGGCCAATTCTGAGAAAAAGTTAAGTTGTACTATCCATGGTTAGTGCTTAAATAGAAGCTGCTAGGAAATCCAGGACTGCAGGGATATTTTTAAAAAATCCTGGAAAAAGGAATGATAAACCATTTCATACTATGCCAAGAAAAGTTGGACATGTGATTGCCAGAAAATCTGGCACACAGAGGATCCTCATTGTCTGCAGAAGTTATGCTGTACAAAGTCACCACAAATACAGAATTAGCACATCCTGAAAAGTCTGCATTGGGTGACTCAAATTTTTCACTGTTCTGTATGTCCATGAATCACCACAAAAGGGCCCAATTATTGATTTTGCAACTACAAATAAATTTTAACAAGTAAGCAAAGTTGCAATTATGGAATCCACAAATAATGAGAATCAACCGTAGTGTTTACCTTTATAATTATTATCCAAACTGAGAAAACATTCAAATGTTTTTGAAATAATACAATAATTTTCAGATTGCGCCTATAATTTATGTGATACATTGAAGCGTTTTCCCAAAGCTTTGATCAAATTAATTTCTAACTTCAGGAAGGAGAGGAATTAGCTTTCCTATAGCACAGAGTAACCATGGTGCCTTTTCCATCGTAATCCAATACTGAAGCCAGGATGTATTTAGTGGTAACTTATCTTAATGTGTCAGGAGAGTGACATACAGGGCTGACAAAGAGGGAAGGCAGGCTGGAGCGCCGTTGGTTGCGTGGAGAGGTGATATGCATGGGCAGGACACACTCCAGGGCTTTGGAAAGCTTTTCATCAAAAGTTTCCTGCGCGGTAGTCCGAGGATAGGAAGAAGAAAGAGGTGCAGACAATGCTAATGGCAGGGTGGAAGGAGCACTGGGAGGGACGGGGAAGGGAAGAGAGGGGGAAAGAGTGGAAGCACAAACTGACATGCTACAGCCATGTTGAGGCTAAAAAAAAAAACACAAAGAAATGAGCATAAATGACATGACTAATGAGCTGAAACTCAGGGAGATAATCATGGCAGAAGACTGATACTGATTATAACAGACAGGGTTACGAAGAAACTTGACAGAAATCCACACAAAATTAATACGTGCACCTTAGAGGCCTTCAGGTTTTCCTCTGACTATTAAATTCCACTAAAACTAAATCTATTACAAAATAGTTAGCAAACAGTATATGTAGAAAAGAAGCATCTGCTCCAAGTTCAGGTCTCCATTAGGATGTTGTGTTTAAGGGATCCATTAGAGCAGAGGTCTTCAAAGTTGGCATCTTTAAGACTTGTGAACTTCAACTCCCAGAATTCTGGGAGTTGAAGTCCACAAATCTTAAAGCTGCCAACTTTGAAGACCTCTGCATTTAGGCATAGAAAACAAGCTCTTAATGAAGAAGAGCTCTATCTTCCAAGTGTTAACAATTAAATGTTAATATAACTGTCTCTAGTTATCTCTCTCCTCCTTCCCCCCCCACCCCCAAATTGCACTTTTCTTCACTTTAGTTGATTCTTTTCGAACTGGAATGGCCTCCTAAATAATGCCTTGCCAGGATCTCTCTACAACTTTATTCAGCTAAGAATTATATGATACAAAATAACGATTCACATTATAACCTGCACATGTTCAGACTTTTAAAATTAAAAAGAAATTTGACAAATGAACAATATGGTAAAAGAGTTCATTACAAAATAAAGATTCTATAATCTGTTTACATTCCCAAGGTAGATGATAATTTACTTATTTTGTTGATTGAACCAACTTAGAGTTTTAAAAAAGTCATGCAGTAGCTCTTCCAGAAGCCAGCATTTTTTCTTCTCACCAAACATTTTTTAAGGCTTTTTAATCATTTTCTTCCCAAGTCATCTTTCCACTGAGATTCCCTCAAAATTGTAACTTCCAAAACAGACTGAATTACGTTTTTCCCCCTGGAAATCTGTTTGTCATTTGAAACTGGTCTCTTCAGAAGAACTATTAACATACCCTTAGTATTATTTATGATTACTGAACCTTGAAGCAAGGCATGTGAAGACTGTTTAATGGGTTATTGTTTAAACAATATTATTGAATGGAAACAGGGAACTAAAATTATATATGCCAAACTTAAAACTAAAATGTTGCATTTGGATTAAAAGGGCACAAAGCTTCATAAGTGCATTTGAAATGTATGGCAATGTTTCTCTTGTAGAAAAAAAGACTAACTACCTTCATCAATATGATATCAATGAATATATGATTATCCAAATGTTGCCATCTTTGGCTATGGGTCAGATTCTACAACCAGTTATAATTTGTGTCAGTACAGACTCCACAAGTAGCATTTTTTCATAAAAAAGTATAATAAATAGAATAGGAGGTGTGATCTTCTAGAAGACCCCCAATGTCAGCTCTGAAAACCCAGCAGAGAAAGATACAAATTATAGGGTAACACAAATGAACACATGAAGTGGGAAAGATAATTGTGCCCATAAGCAATTAAAAGGGAGCTATAAATAAATGGAGACATAAGGTTCACTTAAAACTGAAGTGGTTACATGCAGCATTCTATAATGGTTAATACTTCTTACCTTGTTTAGCTGCAATGAAAAACTTGCAACACATTCACAAAACACGTGTTTTATAAATGTCATCATTTAGTCAGAAACTCCATCCCATGATTTTTATTCCACCCACAATTCAACAATGCTTGAAACTACAGCTTCAAATACCTCTGTGTGTCCCTTTATTGCCAGTAAGCAAATGTTTCACATTCAGTTCACTATGCTTACTTTCAGAATTTTCCTATTTTAAAGCAATATTAGAGAAAGGCAAGCAACAGGCTTGCACACACAGTTTTCTATAATTACCTATGATCAACCTCAGACTGAAAACTTAAGGTCTAAACCCATCCAGGAAAATAGAACAAGATTCTAGGGTTCTTGCCATTCTGCTTAATTTTGTGCTTACCACCGTCGAGGTCTGGTATCCTCCAGGCTGTTGTGACTGCGGCTGGCCAACAGGAACTGAATATCCTGAGGCTGGAAGTGTTGGAAGAGTCTGTTCATGCTGGGTAGTAAAGGAAGCCGTCTGTTGGCTACTCAAACATGATTCACTAAAGAGAGATGAACCCTGGCCACTGTCAACTGTGCCATCAGCTGTAAAATACAATATACACATGATTTTTAGATACACTGTTAAGGATGGATGTGAAAATCAACTGCCAGAGATCAAGAAACATAAAAAAGTACACATTGCCAAGAAGATAAGTTAAAGCCAAAAAAATACAAAGATCTCAGAAACAAAATTTAAAGCATTTCAGGCAGAAGGGAAACAGCATTATAACATCTGTAAAGACAATGCAGATAGAACAGATACAGAAAAGCAATGAAATATTTTTAAAAAGTCAATTACTTCTATTCTAATATGCAAATTTCACATATTGTTTTGTTGTCTTATATTGTACTACAATTTCCCATTTATATTTGATCTGTCAAACAAATACAGGTATTTCCGATTTACAACAGTTCATTTACTGACCGTTTGAAGTTACAACAGCACTGAAAAAAAGTGACCCATGGCCATTTTTCATACTTATGAGCATTGCAGCATCCTCACGGTCACATGATCGTAATTCAGAAGTTTGGCAACTGGCATGTATTTTTGATGGTTGCAGTGTCCTGGAATCATGTGAAGGTGACCTTTTGTGACCTTCTGATAAGCAAAGCCAATGGGAAAGCCAGATTCACTTAACAACTATGTTACTAACTGTGACAAGAAAGGTCGTAAAATGGGGCAAAATTCATTTAACAACTGTCTCACTCAGCAACAGAAATTTTAAACTGAATTGTAGCCATAAGTCGAGGATTACATGTAAATAAGTTCCAGACAGTAGTAGATTAGGTTGGTTCTCTGGATATATGGATCAAGGAAGCTGACTATCTCTTGAAGTGAGGTTAGAAAGTAATTCTGGGGAGAGGCGAACAGTCAGTCTAGAGATTAATCCTTAACCTGGACTCAGATGCAGCCCCATCTTGGGAGATTTTTTAAGATCTGATTCTAACCAATGATGCTAGGATGGCAGTGGCAGTCACAACTGCTTTAGATTCATTTAGACTCATATGCCACGGCTTTCTTTTTATATACTGGTACGACAGTGATATATTCTGTATTTGGTTGCATTGGAAAATAATTTAGTAGCTTCATCTTGTGAAGAATAGGACAGTGCTGAAGAGGGGAATTATGACCAGTCTTTGAAGTTCCTGCAGAACAAAATTGGGGCACTTGGCAACCAGTTTGCACTTCCAGCCAATTGTAGCATCTGTGGTCATGTTATCGCCATTTGTGACCTTCTCTGCTGGCTTCCCAGAAGCAACGTCAGAAGGAAAGATTTATTTATTTATTTATTTATTATATTTCTATACCGCCTTTCTCCCGTAGGACTCAAGGCGGTGTACAGTCAAGAAAAATATAGACACACAAACATCATAAAATTGCTAATTAAAATTATTATTTAGTTTGGTCAATTAAATAAAACCCAGAATTAGATCACATTTAAAAAATCATTTACATGTTCATATGTTTAGCCCCGCCTGTTGGAACATCAGGGTCTTGAGGGCACGGAGGAAAGCACGGAGATCAGGGATATTCCGTATCTCCAGGGGCAGTTCATTCCAAAGGGTTGGAGCCCTCACAGAGAAGGCCCTTCCCCTGGGAGTCGCCAGTCAGCATAATTTGACTGACGGTACCCTGAGTAGTCCCTCCCTGTGAGAACGAACTGGTCGGTGGGAGGCTATTGGTGGCAAAAGACGGTCTCATAGGTACCCAGGTCCTAAGCCATGGAGCGCTTTAAAGGTGATAAATAACACCTTGAATCGCACCCGGAAGACCACCGGGAGCCAGTGCAGCTCGCGTAGGAGGTGTTACATGGGCGTAACGAGCTGCGCCCATAATCACCCGCGCGGCTACATTCTGGACCAGTTGGAGCCTCCGGGTGCTTTTCAAGGGGAGCCCCATGTAGAGAGCATTACAGTAGTCCATACGGGAAGTAACTAGGGCATGAGTGACCATGCGCAAGGAGTCCCGATCCAGAAAGGGACGCAACTGGCGGATCAGGCGAACCTGATAAAAGGCACCCCTGGCCACGGCCGTCAAATGATCTTCTAAAGATAGCCGTGAATCCAGGAGGACACCCAAGTTGCGGGCCCTCTCTGTGGGGAGCAAGATCTCATCCCCTATTGTCAGTGATGGTACCAGCTGACTATACCGGGACGCCGGAAGCCACAGCCACTCGGTCTTGGAGGGGTTGAGTCTGAGCTTGTTTCTCCCCATCCAGATCCGCACGGCCTCCAGGCAACGGGACATCACAGCAAGGGCATCATTGGGGATGATGAAAGATCATCATCATCAAAGATCACAAGTTGCCTTGGTAAGTCTCCTCCTAGCCAGCCTTTCTTTATTTACTGACAATGTACCTGGACTACTTGGTAATGTAGGTAGTAGAGTGATAGCATGTTTTCCCCAAGGGGAAAAAAGTGTCTTTTGAACCATTGAATGTTTTTTTAAAAAAAGTTCTCTTCTAAATAGAAGAAATTCGATCCCGCCCAGTCTGATGACATCACAATTTGTGTGACTATTGGAGTTTAATAATAATGTTAATGATAGCAAGGAGGAGGTGAGATGGAGAAAAAGAGTGGCTTCTCCACTGTGATTAGATGACAATGGCAGCAACCGATTCTGCCAATGTATGGTCCTCTCTGCTAGATATGAAACTAGCAATGATGATTTGGCTTCTGTTGCAACTACTTTGTCCCTGCAGGAACCAGTGTCTATTTCTGAACATAACAGCAAGGTAGAAACTGCATCCATAGTTACAAAAAATTTATCATTAATCTCTAATGACAGCATAGCTTCCGCTATCCAAGAGTGGAAAAAAATGGAAGTTGGGTGACACATATAGAAAGTACTTACATAGTACAGAAACACTGGGTTGCTGGAACTGAACCTGTTGGTGCTGATCTGCCTCGGGCTCCTCAGGTTCTACTTGGGTAGAAACAGAAGTTGAAGTGGTGGGAATGGCAGTGACACTAGTAGTAGGCACAGCCTGTTTTGTTCCTTGCTGGGCAGCCCCTGCTTGTGTTTTCTGTTCTGTCTGCTGCTTCTGATTGACTTCTTCTTGCTTTCTTTTCTCCTGTTCTTCCCTCACCAACTGACGCTGCTCTCTCTTTCGCTTAATCAAAGATACCCTATCCTTTATAGCTTTAGCCATTGTTTTGTGATCTCCTTCGCAGACATATCCAGATTCAACCTGAAACAAAAACAGTTCATACTATTAGAAAATGGTGAATTACAATAAATACATTTATTTATCACATCTATATAGCCACCCATCTCACATGAAAGTGACTCTGGGCAGCGTATAGCAATCAATTAAAAAAAATAATGTATAAAAACATTCACAATGGAAAAGAATAACTACCGTGTTTCCCCGAAAATAAGACCCTGTCTTATATTTTTTTTGAACCCTGAAATAAGCGCTTGGCCTTATTGCCATGCGCTCAAAAGCCTGATTGGGCTTATTATCAGGGGATGTCATATTTTGAGGAAAACAGGGTATAAAAAGGCATACAAAACAGAAATGCATGGTATTAACTACACCAAGACAGCCATTTCTAGAATGACACAATAAAAATGAAACGATCAGCTTGTCAGTTTTAAAGTAACATTCACTATTACAAGAATATTAGAAGAAAATATTTGGTTTAAAAATTATTCATCATAGTATTCTCCCAAAATATTATGAGATCTTATCAAGGAAATAACTCGCTTGTGCAACTATAATAGTATAGCCACTATTGTTCACCCTCATAGGACAGCTGATCCACAGCTATCTGGAATGGAAGGAAAATCTAGATGCAGTGTCTTCTGTTTTATTAATAGGTAACCTACACTAAAGTCATAAAGTAAACTCAAACCAGGATGCTTTTAAGACTTGACTGTTTCAATTCACTTTTAATTAAATGTTGGTGTTGGTGTCTATTCAACCAGCTATTGTTTCAAATAATAATTTCTATTCATAATTTTGAAATGGAAGTCCTAAATGTGCTTTTTCCAAAAGGCAACTCATCCAAGAAACTTGCTCAGTTCTAATTGACTAGTGGGGAATGGAGAGATTTATATTCTTTGCAGACATCCGGTCCTCAAGGTTGACTCAGCCTTCCATCCTTTCGAGGTAGGTAAAATGAGGACCCGGATTGTGGGGGCAATAAGCTGATTTTGTATAAAAAAGAACACCACTTAGGGGGGCCGAAAGCCCTACTAAGCAGGTATATACAAAAGTATGAAGGCTATTGCTTAACGCTTTGTAAGCCGCCCTGAATCTCCATGAAATGAAAGGTTTATTACATTATTTATATTTATATTTGTTGTTTAATACCTCCTGCTCTTCAAACCATTTTGAGATGGATTTGCTTTGGAAATTTTTTTTAAAATGTCAAATATTTTATGTATGTTAACTTTAGAAATTACATCTAGAAACATCTGTCTCAGATTGATGGCAAAAAAGTTTGCTAATTAATCTTATCCGGTGGAGAAAAAAATAAAAATATTTTGCTTAAAGTTCTGCTGGAACATGACAAGAAACGTTCTAAACTGCATTTTTAAAAAAGCAAGTGTTCAAGTGATTTGATTGCTTTTAACTAAGTAGGATATCATAATATTATACCTGAATACATGTTAACCGTATCGGAGTACTGTATTAAATATACACCAGAACTAGGCAATGTACAAAATGGAGAAAATCACTTTTAAGAAATGTGGCTGATCTTGGCTAATGTAAATAGTTAGTATTTACTTCAAAGTTTTGCCAAACTGTATTGTTATTTGCCTATTTAAAATATTCTTGTATTAAATGGAGAGACATGGGTTTAGTTAAGAATTTTTGTGCATAATTCACTCATGAATTAAAGCTTTCTGTTATCACTTCCTTTTAAAGTATTGAGTTTTGTACAGTTATCAAAATACAAACGGACCAAACTGTATCCAAAACTCAAAAATCTATATTTAGAGACAGATGCTTAATCCTTTATTGCTCACCATTTCTTGTGCTACATCCTCCGGAACATCTCTTTCCAAGTCAAAAGAAAATTCTATTGCTTCATTATCCTTGTATTTTCCTTTTAACTTTTTGATATCTTCAATTCGTAACCAGAGTTTAATAGCAATTTTCTCTCCATCATCTTCTTCTGCTAATTCTACACGCACACCAGTTTCTTCCTGGAAGAATGCATGATTCAGAAGGTCCTTGATAGCATATCTGATAATTTTAGAAAGAAGAGAACAAGTTACAATTTAGGGGATCCATCAGTGAGATAAGAGATTTAGGGACACAGAAGCAGTGCAACTAAATACAAAGATTATTCGAACTTTATCATTTGAACCAAACATATTTTCCTCCCAAATAAAACCTTAATTCTTATGCAAAGACAAATTGCATTCATGCCACTTTGTCCTCCAAAGAAAGGAAGCACTTATTTTTTTAAAGAACTGAAGGAAACACCATTATGATACAATACTGCAGCCAATGGATGAGGCAATAGATCTTTACTTAATAAATAAATGAAATGCTGTCAATACATTTTAATGCTTTACCCATTCTTTAAACAAGAGGGGACAAATTGGAAAGTTATGCCTTTTCTACAAAGAAAGTAATTAGTGCAACTTGAAAAAAGACTATGAGTGTAATTTGACCTTGATTGAAAGAAATGTTAATGTGTGCAAAATCAGTACCACATTCATATATTACACATTAAAGAAGCAGTCAATAAACTAGGACCTGTGAACAAATACAGCCTACTGCCTGTTTTTGTACAGCCGATATGCTAAGAAAGAACAGATAGACAGATGGAGATTGCCAGGTTAGAGTTTTAGCTGGGTTCCCAAGGCAAGGGACAGGGCTGAATACCAGGGCATACTAGGTGGGCACCTCTCAGAAGATTCCTTGCTTGCAGCCTGGCACCATCCCAATGGCAGCTGCACTAAGCCTGCAGACACAGAGAGGTGGGATTTTGCCCTTTACTGAAAGAATTTGCCAACGTTTGTACTAGAGTAGTGATGCATTACAGATTATCCGAAAGATTTTCAATCAAAACTGTCAATGCAGCCCATTTCTACTGCTCAATCCAAGCAGAAGAACATTTACCTTTCATCTTTATTTTGACGAATGCATCCCTCAATTATTTCTTTCACTTCAGGAATAGCTACTTTATCAAAGCTGGCTGGCTTGACTCCCTGAAACAAAGAAGTAACACCAAACAAAGAAAGTCATGATCATATATTAGTTATCTTTATATATCCTTATCTTATCTTATCCTATCCTATCTTATCCATCTATCCACCCACCCACCCACCCATCCAACTATCTACCTACCTACCTACCTACCTACCTACCTACCTACCTACCTACCCATCTCCTGGAATCCCTGGTCCCAAAAATGGCAGCTAGTTAGTTGTTTTCAGGAAAACAAGCCCTTGCCTATTATGCTATACTCTATTTATGTCCCTAACTATCTTTGAATGAACTTTTTTTGCCTCTAAAAGTTTCTAATGGAGACTTTCACAGGCAATTGTTTTTATAACAATTGTTTTTATGGGTGAGACAATTCCAGGCCACTACTGTTTTTATGTGGCCCACAAGCAAAGAGAGGACAGGTGACCAGGCAGAAAATTGGCAGGCTCAAGCCTCAGTTGAACTCCCAGTTGAGCTTCCGGAGCAAAGAACAGGGCATTTCGATCATCATCACCATCCTATCTTTCATCAGGAGGCTAGCCCCATCTAGAGCAGCTCATGATACAGATTCCATTCAGAAGAAGTATTTTGGATCATCCAGAATGCAAGCATGGCAGATATTTGGATCATTAAAGCAACCATGTCACCTTCCAGGATCATGAGACTGTCACCTACAGCTGCACACTTCTGGATATGGAGGTAGTTTCTTTAGTGAAATGCAGACTAATACCACGTTACATTCCCAAATGTTCCAAAAAAAATCACTTCCAAATTGAATCCAAAGCATTAGTTTCATTAAAGAGCAAAGGCCATTGGCATTATTATCTTGTGACCATATATTTTATTCATTATAGAACATAGACACCAATAGCACATTTTTTTGAATTAAATGCGCAAATGTAATTAAAATTAAACTGTTCCCCAATTAAAATATAGTAAACAAGTTTTGATTCATTGAATCTACATACTATATTACTAAAATAATATGATCATTTCTCCATGCTCTCAAAAGGTGCCCCTACACACATAACATGTGCCATCACACAAGAACCATTCTTTCATCCTGTCAGTGAACGGAGAATTTATTTTCTAACATGGTTTTTATTTATTTACATTTTCCACGTTTAATCATCTATTAAAAAGTTTCTAACAGGTGAAAAACACAGAGCCAGTTGAAAGATATAACATTCAAAACCACATACATATATAGAATATGAAAATTTTATATCTCTCAAAGATTACCCAGCAACAGAAAAGAATATTTTGAACAGAGTCTTTCAAGTTAAAAAAATGTTTAGTATATAAACAAAGTTGCACAGCAAAGTTCAGATAATTTTCTGAAAATTATTTAAGTTACTATTGTTCAAGAATAACTTGTATTACAAAAGTATACATAATCTAATACCAGATGAAGTAAAAACCACTAGATACCCAAGTATTGTGCTCACTGGACACATAAATAATGAAGTTAAGTTTTACATATTTTGCATACGCCATGCAAAGAGTCACTAGAAAAGATTTCCTTGTTTGGAAAAATTGAGGGCAATAAAAAAAAAACCCACAAGAGAAAGCAAGGTGGCTAACTACAATTACTAATGGCATAAGCATGACCTTAGCTTACTAGAACTCAAGAAGTCATTATTGATAGACAGTCCTGGTGAAATCCATTGTGTCATGAAGGTCAGATCTGACTGAATTGTAAACAACAAATTACCATCTAATCTTCATTCAACCATCTTCCCCATAGTCCTCCAAACTACTCATTTTATTCAAACGAGTACCAACCTCCGAGTCTTATTAGATATCTTTGTGAATTTCAGTTAACTCATATTCCACCAATTCCTTTAATTATTTATCTAGATTCAGGTGATATAAATCAATGATTTGTTTACACTGTTAGTAAAATTCAAGGATTAACATACACAGATGTAGGCTGAAATAGATGAGATAAGCATACCACTCTTTCAAATAGGCAATACAGAAATGTACCAGTCCACCTTTTCAGGTTTAACAAAAGGAAATGTGTAGTATTTCATGAAAACATATGTGCAAGCATGCAGGCATGCATTGAGGCACTATAAATAAACCTTTACCACCATGTCCCCTCCACACACACACTTTACAGATCCACATCTATAAGAACTCTGATTTTTTTAAAAAAATCTATAGTCAGCATTCTTGGAACAAGACAAAGGAATTCCAATACGAACCAGTTTCTAACATCTATCTATGTCTGTCTGTCTGTCTGTCTGTCTGTCTGTCTGTCTATCTATAGATACTGTATGAAATTAAAAATCTAAGAAATATAATTTTTTATGACAACACTTTCTCTCACATGATAATCTCCCAGACTGAACATCTACTGCATTTGTTCAGTTCTTGCAAACATGTCAGCTGACAGTTACCTTTAAAATTCTATTTGATATTCGTTAAATTGTTTATTTTAAAAAATCATAATGATCAAAGTATTTCTCTCTTGGATAGGTCTTAACTTCCCCATTGAATGTGTTGAAGACTGGTGGATGTATTTCTCTGTAATACATTCAGAACTTTTTTCATAACTGTTTATAGTATGCTTACAGATAAATTGTTTTATCTGCAATCAAAATGAGCTCCTACCAGATCAAAAAACAGAATATTCATTCTGCAGTAAAATGTCTTCTACATATTTAACATGGGCATTAGCAGGTATTCTGATTTTTTTTTTATTTTTTTTTTTGCACAAGATGAATCTTTCTATTGCACATAGTTATAGTTAGAATTTAACCATGCCTGCCTCACATGATATATGAGTTGTCCTAGAATTCATTGTATCTACACAAATTGCAACTTAACTTTATTCCTAGGTTAACAACCTTCAGTGTAGAAGAACCAATATTCTGAACAATCCAGTTAGATCAAACAGCTAGAAAAGTACAGATGATGGTAATTATATATTCTTGTAGCTTCAAACATTAAAGGCTTTCTATTACACTCCAACATGAACGTAACATACCAAATTAACCAGATCTTCACAAAACATAAGTCTTAACATCTTTATGAAATTAGTCTGCCTACATAAGAACATTCCTATCCATATACAAACACTAAATCTTAAAATTAAGCGTTGACATTATTAAATATATATATATAATCTGATAATTGTTCAAGTAGAGTCTGATTTAAATATGTATCTGTGTGATTGAAATTCTTACCTCTTTAACACACTCCTTGTGAGAACAACAGAAACAGTGTGAATTTATGATGAGAAACACCGGACAAAAATCTCTCTTTGAAAAATCCATCAGGAAATACTGTTATACAAAATGTGCGAAAAAAACTGTTCTATTTGGAAAAGACTGTTAAATGTTACGCTTAACGCACAGCAGAAGGAAAGCACACATCAAACTTTAAAGGAAACATATCCTCTTCATTTACAACTTTACTTTCCCTCATCGTGTGCAGTCTGTAGAAGTCAGAGCTCTGTTGAGAACACTGCTTTCACAGCCTAGGACCCTCGAGACAGAGAACACATCAGCAATGTCATGCAATATGTAAATCTGTTTACAGCTCCTCCCATTTGCTTTCCTGTAACTTCTTACAAAGTGGTAAGGAACTTGAACCAGTGCTATTCAATATACTGTAATACCATGCAGAAAGATAAAGAAAACAGAAGAGAAAATGAAATATTTTTATTTCTTGAAAGATTACTTATCAGTTGTTTTGCAAACTTAGTAACAAGGGGAAAAAAACCAGGTTACAGAATTCCTTTCCTATTCAGTTTCCACTGCAATCTTTGCAAGATTTTACAATACATTTTATTCCATCCTAGAACAGAACAGAAATTAATAATTATATCAAATTATTGTTATGATTACTGTTGTATTTGTCACTATTATTGTCACATTAGTTAACTTTCAGAGAATACAACTGGAATTGCCCTAGTACTCTTACACTTGACAGAGTAGTTGTATCTAACAGCACTTTGAAGTCAAATAATTTTGGGCAAAGATCTCCACACTGATCTGCCATCAGCCTACTCTGAGTGAAGTTCAGATGAAGAGAGCCACAGAAAAATCATGGGGCCTTTCATACACACACACACACACACAACTATCTACATTCATTGTAACAGTCAAAAGAACCTGTTTTATTAAAAAACTGACCAAACAGAAAAGTGAAATACATACATATTATATCTTTTTAAAGAAGGTACAGAAAATATGTTGCTGCTGCTTTTCCATAATGTAAAGCTTTTATTTAGACTAATTTTATTACATTTTGTGATGACTTCTGTAGATTACTAGACTGCTACCACTTAATGTTATTACTGGATGATCAATTTGTTCTTTTAAAATCCTTCATCTTTATTTTTGTAAGACTTGTTCAAAAAATCTGAGATGCAGAATGTATTTAAAGAACTGTTTGCTAGTATACCTAAATCATATCCATAACTACATTATATATACACCATTACATACATAACAACATTACAGGGAGATGTATACCTGGTGGGACCTAGAAGAAGGGCCTTCTCCGTGGTGGCTCCATCTCTCTGGAACATCTTTCCCCCTGAGATTAGAAAGGCCCCCACCCTAATTCTCTTCTGGAAAGCGCTGAGGACCTGGTTCTGCCAGCGGGCCTGTGGAACCCAGAGCGGGATGGAGCCCATTAAATGGCTTGTGTGATCGGCTGTCGCTGGGGCGGGAGGTGGCATTAATTTATTTGATTTTTTATGAGTTTTACTGTTTTTTAAATGTGTTTTTTTATATTCTGGAAGCCGCCTTGAGTCACTATGGGCGAATAGGCGGCAATATAAATCTAATAAGTAAATAAATAAATAAATATACTATTATATATACACCAGCTGTAGTTCACCAATGGTATAATACACAACTGCCTGAATAAAATGTATATGGAGTATCCCTATGTGTGTAAAATATCAGGAAAGTTATACAGGTAGTCCTCCACTTACAACCGCAATTGAGCCCAAACTTTATGTTATTAAGTGAGACATTGAATG